TAAATTCTGCGAACTAAAATTAGCTGCCCAAAACTATGATCTGTCGTAGGAGTCTGAGTTGCTGGGTCTAACGTAGGTATATAGTACTAGGGTTTGGATAGTAAAGGTCAAATTAACCCTATGCCATTTGGTTAGAAATCCATATTCGTCAAGGCTCATTACTTTAGAGTCAAACCAATAAATCTTCTTGCCTCACAGTGCGGAAACTTACAATAGCGATGCAGAATATACTACACGATCAATACGGCAGCATAATCCCACCCCATGATGAATAACCATCCCTAGTGTCAAAAAGACTAGAGGATATGCGATTATCTCGAGTAAGTATTCTACTATTCTGGTGATTTCAACCGGTCGGAACCACGATTTTCGGTTACTACGATGGATTTTGGCTTTGTAAATTCAAAGATGGGCAAGTCTGGAGTCGGTGAATTCAAGCTTTTCATCTTTCTCCAATAGCGATACAGCGAAAGCTTGAAGACTCCCAAATTTAGGGCATTTCTGTGATTAATATAACCTAACTACTGTCAATTATCTCGATTCATCTTTCAGCGACGGATTTACTAGGGCTGATAATCCAAATTCCAGTGTTGGTATGGGGGGCAAGAACCAACACTAGAAAACGACATCAAATTCTCCTGAGCGAGGCCCGGTATATCAACCATGTAAGACGTCGCACTGAAATTATGGTTCTCACGGCAATCATATTTTTTGCAATATTTTTCCTCTGTTATCCTGTGCGACCGTCACAACTAAAGCCAGGGCTATTTTCAACTCGAGTAGCTCGGAGAATGAACCTTGGCACTCTGGCTTTCCACTGCCCAACGCCATCAAGCTTATGATTAGAAACACTTAGTTAACTTAGAGGCCATATGCAGGAACGGCGAGAAATGTCTTAGTCGCGTTCCATTGGCGCTACATCACAATCTCGGATCGTGTATATCTCCACCTGGCTAGTTTCGACGACACACTCTTTTTTTAAAGTAGCCAGAAACAACCGTCCAAGAAATGTCAGGGTGAAATATGGATTGAGAGATGAAAATCTAGCATTATTGCCTCAGTTTGGACTTTGAGAAACTACGTTCAAATTGGTCAATTGAAATTTTCGTGCTCTTGCATAATATGTAAAAGCGATACTATAGTGGTGCTAAATCATTGAAGTAGAAAGTCCGAACCCCCTGTCTACTATCATTTTGTCCACTAGGACATCCTAGAAATTTATTTATTTTTGGTCAAGGATACCTGCGACTCGTTATCTACTATTTTAGAAATTTGAAGTTTTTCAAGGTTCGAACCCTTGGAAACCTCCAGGGCTTGGAAGAGGCCAAAATGGATCCATTAAATGTCTTTAGCCGTGGAGATCGGGAGTCACCGCCGGGTTATATATAAAATGACCCAGGCCAGGCCGGACAGTTACTAAATACTAGTACTACCACCTTCCACCTGGACTTTGCATGTTCCAACTTCCAAGGTTGACACCCAGGCGCTCACTGGCAACCCTGGAAGGTTAATTTGTAAATTAAATTGCTGAGATTTCTCACTACTACCTTCCGATTCTCTTCTAATAGAAACGGCGCGAGATAAACATGGCATGTGGTGGAATTCTGCAAAGTGACTAATTCACGACCAAACAAAGCAAGCTAGGCAAGCAAATTGGAGGGCATCTGCCAAAGTATATGCAAGTTTACAAGTGCCAGGGATTGGAAATGACTAGGCAACGCGAGGAACGACCTCGGGATCTTTCACGATTGACACATTTTCTACGGAGTTGAAACGGCTCCTTTAGCATTTGCCGTTATCGTGAAACTATTGTAGCACTGGAGGACGCGACGTGGAAATTCTGAATCACGATCAATCATTTAATTAATCTAAGAAAGTTGCCCATTTTTGAGATATTGCGCCACTTGGCGTTTTAAAAGTTGAGTCGTGAGCATCTCTGGCTCCACCACCAACCAAGATCGAGGTGGAGATGTCTTAACCAGCTTCGCATTCTCGTCGGCTAGAGCGAGCTGCCGCGAACCGGTCGCTACACAGACCCTCTAGAAGACCCACGATTTCAAGGCCTGAAGAATCCAGCGAGACGTGCTATGGAGCTTCATGTAGAATCGTGGAGTCGCTCAACGGTTCGTGCCGCCTTCCAGGATCAATAAAAATCACTCTCGCCTGGGAGAATGTTTCCCCTGTTGCCCAGAGCTCCCGATGTGTACCAAGACTGCGCCGATCACACCATGTTTGGGCCGAGGATGTACGAGTACTATGTACCCCTTAGCGGCGCCACCGAAGTGTGATCTCAATGGCCCGACCGATCAGAGGTCAAATGCATGCAACGCGCTCTTCGCGCTCGAGTGAATTTTGAAGGATGCAAGTGATGATGATGGAAGAGGGGTCTCCAGGGCTTGGATTAAGGTCAAGGTGTACATCCTACCATGCAGTCCAAGATAAAATGACTCCCGGATCGCGTGCGTTGTCGAATCATATCCCTTCTATATTCTGGAAACATGCAGGAAAAAATGATCCTTTCTACCACCGAACTTCATTCGGAAGGTCCGCGATCCACATCCCCATGCAAACTTGGTTTCAAGGTCCAGCAACTTGACTCTTCTGGTGTCATGGCGCGCGCTAGTGCCACCAGCTGCAGGCATCGTCGCATTACTAGTAGGCGCTAGACCGGCATGACGCAGATCCGAGGATATCCTTGAGAAGTCGAGAGTCAAAGCTGGTGGGTGGAAGAGGTGAAGAGAGCGATCCAAGAACCACTCAGTATGTGCCGATAATTAAATAGACTTCGTGGGCTCCTCCTTACTCCACCGCGTGCCTTTGGCTCGTCATGATTGGCTTCGCGCCCAGACGGAGAAGAACCCCCTGGCCTTCCTCTCCCCACGGATCTGCGATTTTTTTTGCCATCTCTTTTGCTCCTGCGATCGCAGTGTGTTCTGTCTTTCCACGCATAGCAGTCATGTCGAGTGTAGACAAGGAGATCGTCAGCCATGAGGTCGGCTTGGACCAAAGCCTACAGGATGATCGCGATATGGAGCGACTGGGCAAGTCCCAGCAGTTGAAGGTCAGTCGAAGCGGGCGATGCGGGGATCACCGCGATAGCTTGAAGCACATGGTTACTGACTGGCAATACGAATAGCGAAACTTCAAGTTTTACTCCATTCTAGGATTCACTACGACTTTAATGGCGAGTTGGGAGTCGATTCTACTGTGAGCCCATCCGATCCGACTGGTCGCAAAAGAGGCCCCTTGCCGACTGACACACCCTGCGCAGCACGAGTACCTATGGCCTTACAGATGGAGGCCGCGCCGGCATGGTCTATGTCTATATCGCATCGTTTGTCGGATTCTTCGCCTCTGTGATCTCTATGGCGGAGATTGCTTCCATGTACGTATCGCAGGAAAATTGCTATTCGACGCGCCATGCACCCGAACTCGTTAGTCTAACTATTCGCCAGTTCGCCGACTTCTGGTGGACAATATCATTGGGTCAGTGAATTTGCTGCCCCGAGATTCCAGCGATTCCTGAGTTATCTCACTGGTAAGAATATTCTCGACCAAACCTTTTCTCTTCTGCTCTTCTATATTGAAGGGCTAGTTTGCATACTGACCCTATTGATCTTAGGATGGCTCTCGGTTCTGGGATGGCAAGCTGCCTTTGCTAGTATCTGCTTCCTTTGTGGGACTTTGATCCAGGGATTACTCGTTTTCAACTATTCCGACGACTCAGGATATGTTTACGGCTTCGAGCGCTGGCATGGTACTCTCCTCACGATTGCAATCGCGGTCGTCGGAACACTGATCAATACCCTTGGCGCACAATTGCTGGCTCCCCTTGAAGGAGTTATCCTATTTCTTCACCTTGGAGGATTCGTTGCAGTTCTGGTTCCTCTCTGGGCAATGGGCCCCGGAAAGGCCCCTGACTCTGCAGTCTGGACAGAGTTCTCCAACTTTGGAGGATGGTCAGGTATGGGCCTTGCATGTCTCGTTGGCCAGCTCACTCCTCTCTTCTCATGGACCGGTCCTGATGCTGCTACTCACATGGCCGAGGAGGTCCAAAATGCCGCCTTCGTTGTTCCCTGGTGCATGGTCTCAACCGCTCTCATCAACGGTGGATTAGGGTTCATCATGCTTGTCACCCTTCTCTATAACATGGGCAACATCCAGGATGTCATTGCCCCTGCTAGCGGATTTTCTTTCCTCCCCGCTGTTCAACATGCCACTGGCTCAACAGCCGCCGCAAATGGAGTCGCGGCGATTATTCTCGTTATGGAGGTTTGCAGTGCCATCAGTATTCTTGCTACCGCGTCTCGCCAAACCTTTGCATTTGCTCGCGACAATGCCCTGCCGTTCTCCGGTGCTCTTGCACATGTGAACAAGAAGTTACACATTCCTATTACGTCTGTATTGGTCTCAACTATGATCACTGTGCTGCTCTGCCTCATCAATATTGGATCGACCGCTGCATTCAACGCCGTTGCGTCCGTAATGATTGCGGCTCTCTTTACGACTTACATCCTGTCGATTGGCGCATTTATTCGCGCTCGTTTACTTCCAGGTGGTATCCCACATGCGCGATTTTCGCTAGGGAAATTCGGGTTGGCCATCAACGTTTTCTCGGTCGCATATCTCATTTTCGCCATCACCTTCACATTCTTCCCCACTGCGGCCAACCCGACGCCAGTTGATATGAACTGGTCGATTTTGGTCTTCGGAGTTGTCGTTATCTTTGCTTGTGTGCAATATCTCCTCCATGGACGCCGGATTTACCAAGCGCCTATCACCCAGGTCCGCAAGAACGAGTAAACAAGCTCTTTATTTTACTTGCGTACAGCGGAACCGCATTTGTGGAAATTTCGACTCATGGTTATTTGTCTCGAGATCTTATGTTTAATTGGCTATGGGCAGGCCCAAGTACATACTATGCCATCTAATTAAATCCCGTGGATATACTCTTGGCTTGTGGACATGAGCATTTAACACAAAATAATTGCGAGCAAATTTCAGTTGAGACAGTTAGTTGCAAGACTTAAAATGTCGTCGAGTCCTTCCGCATAGTCCACCCCAAACGGCATCAAAAGGTCGCTACTCGGTATCCCAGTTAACTCATGGTTTATCAAGTCTGGCCAATTGCCACACCCCAATGTCCTGGTGCTGGATTCCACCGGAGGAATATCTGGCGAGTCTCCGGATAGGCCACTCCGGTCTTTTTTATAGAATGTTTGAATTATGGACGCAATGTTCAAACCCATGCCTGCTTTATCGAACGCTTGCGCTTCGTGCGAGTCGGGTGAACCAGATCGCCTCTCCTCGGCCTGGAGCATCGCTTTAATCAATGGCACGCCACGACGAGCAATCATGTCCGAATCACAATGGGAAAGAATTGCAATGCCATCTTCAACAAATTGTCGATTTTGTGATGACTGGCTATCTGCCGTAGGTCGATGAAACATATCAAGACAAAGAATTATCTATACAAAATGCTTAGTATTGTTATGCTTGATCACAACTTCCAACTCGGCGCTTACACTTGCAGTTACGCTGAATGCTTGATGTATCCACAAAACTGGCCCATTCTCAAGTGTGGCCTCCTTCTGTTCTTTAATGATGGTGCGGGAAGCAGCAACGCAAGTCTTTCGAGTGAACTCAAACATTGGATTTACAAAGCTCAGGCTCAAGAATTTCCGATGAATCATGATCACCTTGTGAGAAGAGCTGATGGCCAAGCTTCGTCTCGCCCAGGGAACATAGCTTGGCCAAGATGGATCTAGAGGGACATTTTGTAAGTAGCGAGGAAGATGTTGCGTCGCCAGCGTGCGTAATCGCCGATCGTACTTCAGAACCTCTTCGTATCGCGTATACAAAGTATTAGAAGAAGTGAAGTCATCGTAGAGGCCTGGCATCAGATATGCGATGTTATAAAAGAGACGGGAGTAGCCTGTAACAGTCGGCTGGTCTTCTGAAATGGGAATAAGATGATTGTCACAATTTCCAGGTCTCTCAGTATTAAAGCACTTTCGGTGAATCAAATAACTTTCGGTGAAGGGAATGGAAAACCAGTCCTGGATACAGAGCTGGCACCATATGCGACGGCCGATTTCCTGGCTTAATGGGTCACAGGACGTTGATTCCTGATCCGCATCGAGCTGATGCAGCCCAAGGCCCTGTGCAATCCTGATAGCAGCGGCCAGAAGTACAGAGAAGCTATTGGATTTCCCAAGCATGTGGGCAGATATGGTTAGCGTCGCGATGGCCTGGACAGCATATACAGAGTGACAGGCCATGTAATTCGCCTGGTGGAGACAAGCAACAGAAGCCTTGAGCCATCGATGGGATAAAGCTCTCTTCTCCTGATCACGGAACCCCCAAGCTTGAGTGGTGGCCGTGGGAGCACTGGCTATTGACCCAGTGAGTACGGCGAAGAGAAGTGACATCCACTGTAAATCAACGCCAGATCCATCAATGCGTCCGCCTGCCCGAGCATAGAAATCTTCTAGCTCTTGGAGAAACGTCGTTGCGTGGAATGCTCCATGATACCATAGCAAACACTCGCAGTGATAAGTGACGAGCTCGTGAACTTTCTGTTTAATCGGCAGTAATAGCTCGCAGAAACTCATCATTGAGAGACCCGAAGTATGCAAGCCGTTCCAATCATCCTCAACAGGTAAATCTCCGGGCGAATGAGGCATGTCGTTTCTTTTTGCAATGTCATCTTGGTAGGAAGGGTCCTTGCGACGGCCCCAGGCGAGAAACTCCAGGATTGTTGCTGCATCTTCAACCTCGTTTGGCGTTTGAATGGAACTAGCTTTACTAGAGTTTGATACAGATCCAGCGATCGGATGATATACTAGAGAATTTGCAGGAGAGTATGTCGTGCTACTGAAATGGTACGAGGGCGTTGGTGTTCGTGCGCGCGTGGCGGCCTCGTTAGCCGCGCTGAGTTCGGCCTCGAGACAATTAATCTTGGATTTCAGCCCGTCAATGATCTTATATGCTTCAGAGGTTGACTGGGGGAATAGGGAAGTCCCAGCCTGCGTGTCAGGTCGAGCCACTTCCAGGCTCGGGGAGTCCCGCGCCTGAGCACGAGAGCATTGTGTGCCCTTCCGGGTACAGTTGCGACAGGGTACGGTCTTGTCGCATTTGATTTTGCGACGAGTGCACTCGACGCAAGCTAGTCGTTTGCGCTGAATACCAGAACTCATGTGTGCAATAGAATTGTCTAGGGGTGAACGTTGTAACTGTCAACTACCATAGTCTCCATGGTTGACTAGCCTTATCTGCGGAGACGAGCGACCAGTTAGTTTTACGGCATTACACAGCCACCTTATCGCCTATTAACCACTAGGCCGTCCATCAGCAGTAAAAGAAAGACTTTGCATTTATTATTATTGAAAAAAGTCAGATGTGTTGCCCTTTAAGGGAGGGGGGGGGGTTTTATTGCAATATACTGTAGACTTTTCCGATCGCTGCAGTATATACGTACTACTCTTCAACCGTCGCGAGAGATGATGATGAATTAAGCGAATAATGACCAAATGACAAGGAAATATACCAAGAGACTGCGAGGCTTTGTACGGCCGTATGAGCGTTGAGAAGCTCAATCACAGGGGGAAAGAAGATCTTGGGAATCGAAGAAGCAGGCCCCATTCTCATATGAAAATGAAATCTAGGATCTTCATACACGAATTGATTAACACTTTATGATCGAATTCCGGTTTCTCTCGATCTCGAGCTCGGCGAGCCCCGAGCCCCGTCGCCACGCTCTGCAATATGCTCGGCGAGGCCTCGGTCGAGGCCTCGGCCGAGCTTTCAAGATAAGTATACCATCGAACTCGAAAGCCACTAGGATGTGTGACATTTCTTTCAACATGGTTGTACAACCCTCCTCTATTTAACTCCGACTAAATAATTCTACTCAGAATCATCGAACAATACACTAAGCGCAACCTGTCCAAGAGTCAACAATAGCAGGCAGCATGGCCCAGACACAATACGTCGATCGCCCGATACCCCAAATCTCTCTAGCAGAATTTGAGACACGAATCGATCAAATCACGAAAGAATTAATCGAGGCCGCTGAAAATGTCGGCTTCTTCACACTGGTCGACCATGGCCTATCGAAACAAGATATCGAAGCTATTTTCTCGACATCTAAGAGCTTCTTCGACTTACCCGACCTCGCGAAAACAACCGTTCCGTGGAATGCAAACAACGTCGGATGGGAGGAGAACTCACAGGTTCGGCCCTCGACCGGGAAACCCGACAGCAAAGAGTCATACCAACTGCAATTTGGGGACAACATGAAGGGGCTATGGGTTGCAGACGAGCATCTACCAGAGTTTCAAACTACTGCTCTTGCTTTCATGCATCGGGTGCAGAAAATTTCGGAATGTCTCATGCGGTGCTTTGCACGCGGACTGGGATTCCCCGAAGACTTCTTTGTCAAATGCCACGATATCACGCGAGGGGACTCTCAAACCACTATGCGACTACTTCATTACTTCGCACTGCCGGAGGACCCGAATGGCAAAGAGTATCATCGCGCTGGGGCACATGCGGATTGGGACTTTCTGACGCTACTGTTCCAAAAAGAGGGACAGAGTGGACTGGAGATTTGCCCTGGGCGCGAGGTGGTAACCGAGTTTGGGATTGGGGATGAATGGACCAAAGTGGAGGCAAAGACCGGGGAAATCGTGTGCAATATTGGGGACTTACTCATGTCCTGGTCAGACGATCGGTTCAAATCGACATTTCACCGGGTAAAGGCACCATGTGAGCCCGGCGACTATTTTGGGGATCGTTATAGCATTGCATACTTCAACCAGCCTTGCAGGGATGCCCTGATTCAGGGACCGCTGAAGAAATATCCAATGGTAACTGGGGCTCAGTTTACCGAGAGTGCGATGAAGAGGAATTTTGCCGCGTTGCAGGAGAAGTTGAAGACCGTTGCGGCAGCATAGGGCCAGGCGCAGATGCAGGGCTAATCGATGGGCTTTTCGCATAAGGGTAACCGAGGGCACTAGTTGTTAGGTGTTGTATATAGGCATGGGGGAATTCGGGGCATCCATAGTAGATAAACAGCCGCGGCGAGCCGAGGCACTGAGCGCTCGGAGGGCACGGTGTCTTGGGACTTGTCTTGAGACCTTAATCCTTGTCAAGTGGGAATAAAGATAAATGAATATGATACTCCTATAAGTTGCCAAAGTCCCACCAAGTCGAAAAGCCATCGGCATTGCCGAGGGTGGATTCCGACTCGGCATATCCCAGATTCTCCATATCCACAAACTGTGAGGGGTCCGCCCAGAGCCAAGGCGTATTGCTCATGAGACTGTCTGCAGGGGCAACCAACTTGTCCCCCATGGCTGAGCTGGTTGGTGATGCTGGTGCTGACGCCAAATGGGGCATGTTGGGTGGCATATGTGCTGCAGATCCACCATCAGCGGTATTTACAGTGATATCAGGCGACATTGCCACAATAATTTCGAGTGTCGAGGTAGGATTTTCCACATCCTCGGGGAACACTGCAGGCGTGAGTGACGGATGCAACAAGCCGGCAGTAGACATGTCTAGCGAACTCGGTGTCAAATTGACCTGGAGAACCTCCCACATCAACGGGATACTAAGGTGTATCGTTGATGGTTCCCAGTCGAAGTCGACCTTCTCTGACCCAGAAGCTATATGCGTCATTTTGTCAAGTGTTCGATCCTAGGAAAAATCAAGGTGAGTACAGGTGACAAACAATATCAATGGTAGGGGGAAACGCACAAGAATCTCACACGCAGGAGAAAATGGGACGAAGCTTTTCAAAAATCTCCTGCATTTGGCAAAATCGGTTTTTGATTTGAACTTGAGCCTTGGGTCAGCAGCACAGCAGTAGTACAGATGCACAGTAGCCGCGATGGCAGCCGCATGTCCAAAGAAAGGATCAATGAGACGCATCTTCTTTTCAGATATCATGTCGATCATGCGAACAATCCAGGTCGCGTGGAGAAGGACAACCTCTGACGAGCGGCGCCAAAATGTATTAGGGATTGTCAGATTATGGTTGTATTGAGATGCCACAATATAGAGGAAAGGATGATTCAGGACGGTCAATATAGAATGATAAGTGAATTGGAGTTTGAGCCAGGGTCCCCAATATTCTCGATTATGCCGGAGTTCATCGGATCTGCGCTCGTAGAATTTAACCGAGTCGTACCGATGGCATAGAGAAAGCTTGTTCTCAAGTTCTGTTAGGTCCGAGAGGACCATCGCATACATAGAGTCATGTCGCCATGGTTCTCTCAGCTTACTCTGTGCACAGTCGTAGAGGTATGTTCTAACTCTGCTCCATACCCATCCAAAATGCAGGGCAAGGCTCCAGATACCGGTGGCATCGGGGCCAGAACACCCGACTTCGTCGTGAGGTAATGGGGGAGGTTTTGGATCAAGTTTCCTCTCTCTCTCCTGATCATCACCAGTGGAAACATAGAACGAGCGCAATACCTCTGATGGAACACTCAAAATTCCATTAATCTGGCCATATGATTGCTCCAGTGCTTGAAGGCTCCAGAATAACCTTTTCTTCCGCTCGGCAGATGGACATTCAATGCCGTACGTAGTGTCCAGATCAAGCATTGAGGACCGGCATAGTTGAAGAGCAAGACCCAGATGGAACCTTCCAAGTTGTATGTTTCCATCTATAACCTATTAGTTATTGGCACAGTAGATACTGATCCGCAATGTAGCTTACCTAAAAAGGACGAGTATGATAATAGACAAAGGCTTTCGATGGTTTCTAGTTCGACAGTCCCATTTGCGATACGCAACATGACCAATGTGCGGGCACTATCGCCATAATGAATCATCTCATCACGTTCTTGTGAGAATCGCGAAGTCAATGTTATGATGCTGCAAGCAAGTTCTTCGGAAACATAGCTAGGGTCTTTGACTTCTTCGCGATCGAAGCACCAGATAGGTTGTCTGTGGCAGTATTGAAAATAGAGACCGATAGCCTGTGATAGGCGGGAGGATGAATGTAATTTGGTGTCGTCAAGTCCGACCCCAAGCAGGAAAGGGTCACTGAAGTTGTTGCCCGGCTCCCCCGAGGAGGGGTACGAAGCGCCTGAATAGGCAGTGTCTGGAATATCATTGGGTCCGCTGTTATTCTGGTCTTGTGGGGGCCTATATGGAAAGGAAAAAGGTCAGCATGAGAAGAAATCACTTCACCAGGCGGTCCGACACGGTCCGTGTCTTACCTGTTTCCGTTCAAAATAAGATTGACCTTCTCCTCCAAGTATGCAAGACGATCGGCCTTCACTGATGATGAGTATCCATTAAGATATCCTTTATGGGGAGGATGCATACCGATGGGCCACTTCGCGAGCCTCTGGACACCGTTGTATATAGACAGGGCTGGTTCAACCGAACGCAGCTGGAACAAGCTGGTTTCTCAGCGGGGCATCGGGTCTTCTTTCTCCTGTTCAGTATAAATTAGTACAAAGAAGATATTCGAGACAGCGCATGCAACTATACCGGCAGTTTAGGCAAGCCTCGTGCGATCGCAATCTTCCACGATTGGTTTCACGCGGCATTATATGACGCAGTGCGGGGAGATGGCCGTTGGCGAAAAACTTTTTTCAAGAAAAGGGTGGAGTTCTGGAGGTTGCACAGAATGTGTTAAATAAAAACACGCCTAACTGATAAACGGTAGTGCCATTCCAAGGCAACAAAAGTAAGAAAGGAACAATTAAAAGGGGGAGTTATGTTAAAAGAGAAAGAATGAAGGCAGAGGATGACGGGGTTATGATAAAGTGAGAGCGGGGAAGTCCCGCGGAGACCAAACCAACCAACAAACCATTACTTACCCCGTAGCTTTGGAGTACATGCCAGCACTTGCGAGATCATGCAGAGGCCCAGTTTTGGGCCGCTAGACTTGGCTTAGACATGTGGACCCCCAGGTCTAGCCAAGGTTGCCAGGGCCAGGACGGTCCGTGTGCTGCCACTAGGTTTGCGATGTAACTCGCGCCGCTGAAAAAGGAAAATTTATCCTACACCCATCTCTCTCACCTCTCGAGGAGATCATCCCAGTCGCAGATCCCTGCCATAGGATTCTCTGTTATTCAATAGGATTCTCTCCGGTCGTGTATCATGTGTTCGCACCTGCTAGGGATGAAAAGGTTAACGCCGATAAGAATAAGGTTCCTCGAATCACATCGTGCGCGTTTCAAGTTCGTTATCGCGAAATTGGAGAGCTGGGGCCATGTGGGGTGGGATGGTTCAGAATCCTTTGGAACGAGGGTCAAGAAGATGATAAGCAAAAGGGCCCCGTTCTCGGTGGCCCCAGGAGGCTGGGGGTCCGCCCTCTCTGGTTAACGCCAGAGCGGTCTTAATACCAATCTTAGCCTGACTGGATTACTCCGTGGTGGTGGGGCTTTCTGCGAGTTCAAGTTGGGGTAAAATGTTTTTTGTTTAACGATAAACTGTATTCTCAGTGAAATACTTATTGAACGCCACAATGTTAACGCACTAAACAGTTCATCCTAGTATTCTATATACGCAAGCCGGAGGACAAAAATCGGACTCGAAGTCAATCGGTACTAATTTTTGCTCTAGCTAAAATGGAAATTATCATGAATTAAAATGAAGTCGTGATTTCAATGCAACATGTCAATGTTAAAGACCGCGACTGTCTTCAAACGCTCAAACGCCGTCATGAGAAACATAAAAAAAAAACTAGTAAGCGAGAGCCTCGTTACCACTCGCGCAAGCAACTCCTCCGCAGCATCCACCGGATGCCCCACAGTCAGCATTTGCGGGGGTTTGGGTGGTGAGTTTGGCGCAGAAGTCGATATCATCTTGGCTGGTCGTAGCTGTCGCTGGCAGGACTTGTCGAGAAGGCCAAATTGCCTGACCAAGCTCTTCCTCGCGCTTGTGGAAGTTGGTTACAATCTCTCGGACCACACTCTGGAAATATAATGGGCCCTTGTCTGTTGTCGGGTGTAGCTCGCCCTTGAGATTTTTGTATAATTGTTTGACCAAATCGAAGTCATCGTCGCTGGCGGACTTGTTCCGATAGACTTCGTATCGCTCAATGCTGCTCGTTGCGGACACAGGCACTAATCGACGTAGGAAGAAGAAATGTGGAGAAACAACCATGGAGGTATTGGGGAAGTAGTAGCTACTGGTTAGATTCAGACCCGCGGGGCTCTGTTCTGGCGTTGAGTCGGCGTTGTGAGTGACACTGCCATCCTTGGTGTCCAGGCTATAGTTGCTGAGAACTGAAAGAGAAGGTATATCGGGGTGGGATGTCTTCGTGTCGTAGCCCTCATTATAGTTGTTGGCTAATGTCTTCCAATTGAACTCTTCCTCCCTTTCCCAGGCATGGTCGAAGCTGTAATCCTCAACATCGAGATTCTGGAATTGACTCGTTAAGTCAACCCCCTGGATTTCTTCTTCCCAGGATAGTTCTGGAGTGTCCTTGCTATCCAGGTTGACCCAAATGAAGCCATTGACATCGATGTGAACATGAATGGGCAAGAGGCTGTTCTTGCTCTTGTCAAAGCCCTCAAGATCTTGATAGCCAGGTGCCTTTGCAAGCTTGCCATTTAATCCGTAGGACCATCCATGATACTTGCAGGAGAAAATCCGCGAAGTTCCCTCGCCTTCGGTCACCACAGGGAACGCACGGTGGCGACAAACGTTGTGGAAAGCATTGATGTTGCCCTCCCGATCACGAACAAGAATAAAGCCAAAGCCGGCAATATCATATCTGAGCCAATCGCCGGTGTTACAGAGGCGTAGCTTGTGTGTGGTTAAGAGCCATTTGCGTGAAAATATGGCACGGCGTTCCAGTTCGAACATATCGGGAGAAGTGTACCATGATGTAGGTAAAGCTGTCAAGGGCGTCGCGTCGCCAGATGCTTCGGTGAGTCCCAAGTAGCTTTTCAAGGTTGTCGACATATTTGAAAGTACGGAGAGGAGTCGTCAAATTATTTTCGGGTGAGATCTTTAACGCTTCTGGAGTTGTCTCCGTCGGCTGTGGGTGCTATTAACCTTGGAATTAATGCTATGAATTGAAGGAGTTGAGCGGGAGTTGAGTTTGTTTTATATTATCACTCCTCCCCCTCTATAACCCCTCTATATATTAGCCTTCAATTCCATTGTCCATCATAGACGTCACAACAACACGCCGGACAATCCGCGATAGAATCCGGGGTTGACTGCTCTGTGCCGGTCACAGGACCGGGCGAGACCACTTTAGAGAGGCCCCGCCCCATCTTATCAGGGATTGTGGAGAAAACACCATTGATCAACGCCCAATTGACACGGTGGACGGTTCTATCCAGCCGGCTGTCGTCAACGCCACTCCGGTCCGACTCGGCTCATAGTACCGTCCTTGTTGATACGTACACATTGGATTCGAAGGCATACGGGAGGAGTCAGCTCAATATGAAACGATGCCTAATTGATTGCCTCCCAACTTGAAATCCCGATCGTAGATTCTTGTAGGCTGCGCTTAGTTAAAAACACCAATTCATTTCTTACTGGCATGTCGCAAGCGGTTTCCGGACAATTGAGAGGCATCATGCTCACTCGATTTTAGTCTATGAAGCGGCTTCAGCCTCATTGGGGTTTAATTCAAACTTCACCTGCTTCCCGCGACAAAATTATCGCGGAGGCCAATGCTAGAGGTAAGCCGTACGTAGTACATCATTATCATAACCAACATCAATGAAATAGAAGAATTTGTATAAATATATTTCTCTAAGAAATATTTCTCTCAGAAATATCAAAAATCAATTTTTCGCAACTCGATCGATTCTGAAGCTTAACGCGTGTCCATCGGGTTGAGGTGGCTTAGTAGAGCAACGGGACATACTCTAAATTTCATGTTGCACAGGCTCATTTACTCTAGGTGTACCTTGAGAATTGAGATCCAACGCCACATACTATCCCTTTCGAGAATTACTGATGGGTTGGATTTCATCCCATTCTATTTTGAGGCTAACTTACTCTTCTTTCATGGAGTGCCTAGGTGGACTCGGAAATCGAATTTCTAGCGTCAAAATTACCGAAAGATAGCCATGGGAAATAATTGTATTTTTCTCCGGAAAGCAAACTATGACTTGGGCATTTATGCTTGCATGTATGCTAGTTTGGGTCTATGGGCTTGGCCGAGAATTCAAGACGAGCACATAATATGAAGCGGTGGAAGTTTGCGACAGCAAGCCCCAAGAAAAGGTCAAGTGAAAGAAATTGTGGCGCCTCTTCGTGACTAACCCCGCTCAATAGAGGCGTTATAACTTGGTCATGCGCCATCTTAGAATTCCGATCACATGAGCTGTTTCGATAAATGAATTTCAGCCCCTCACAACGTTTCTCGAATGTGCGATTATCCGGCTATTGGGGTCGATCTCTCCCCTGAATCATGTGTGACATCGATTTCTTGGGTTAAGGCCAGGTGGCGAGCCTGTAAAGATATCTTAATAACCGCTTCCTTTCAATAGAGGGTATTGTAGCCGCCTGACGTGGCTGCAGCCAAAAATAGTATGGTTTAGATGGCAAGGAACTTTTCAATCTGAAGTGAGTACCATGGAATTGGCAGGATGGATCGATCTAGATGCTGGAAACAAAGGTGACATCACGGGGATGAGTGAAGCAAGGAGTACATCCTCCTAGTCACTTGCAGGCCTGAACTGTAACTTATCTCATCTGAGACCCGGCCACGTCTATCGAGGGCGAAGAAAACTCCGCTCGGATCGTCGTCCGATTCCCGGCGGTGGCGGGCAGAGCTGCCGATGAGCTGATAACACGTTGAGAATTGTATCGAAATGACTGGTGGAATGCGGGGAAGAATGTCCGCATTGGGCATCGCTGTCCACCTGGCTATATTTCTTATCTTCTCTCATGTTTGAGGGATTGTCCAGGGTGATTTTGGACATGATTTGATCTATCAAGGGACTTTGATAGGTATTCGTGCCTTCAATGATAATTACTTGCCCCATAAACCATCTACAGGTTGTTTGTGTCTTATCAATAATGTTTTTGAAGAACTCCTTGTTCCAAAAAATGCCATTGAACCCCGCATAGAGCCGCTGGAGCCGCCAATCCCCGCGGATCGAGGAAGCTCCGCCCGACACCTTGACTTTCTGACCTCATGCAGGGTGAAACTTGTAGTAGTATGGCCGGAACCTTTCCATCCATACCATGTCATCCTAATTTTCATTTTGCCAGCAGCCAATTTTTGTTTATCTGGCGCCTGCTATCCCTTTGATTTTGCTGACCTGTGGTTGGCGGGTCGCGTTTGCTCGATAGAATTTTCACCCTGCTCCCCACGGGGCCGGCTCACACTTTCCACCATCGCGTATCATGAGCACCACAAATGATAACTACGCGATCCACAAGGTTTCTTTGAAGCGTACGCGTCAAGCATGTGGGCCCTGTCGGTAGGTTGCATCTTCAAACTTGATGCGCAAGCTCGGACACTGATCACAGGCGCATAGTCGGAAGAAGGCTCGCTGCCCCGGTGAAAAACCGGTCTGTTCGCTGTGCCAGCGACTCGGACAGGCCTGCGAATATGGGGCCCAAGCGGCAATCAGTAGAACTAGAGTCCGGAAGGAATCAATGAGCGGTGGATTGGACATTGATGCCGATGAGCCCCAAGAGGTACCAACCTTTTCCGAAGCTATCTATATCCAGCCATAATAATTAACTAATATTGCCATACTACTAGAACAATGGCTCAGATGTACATGATACGCGACGCCTTCGGCAAATTGAACAAAGACTCGAAGAAATCACTTCTATGCTTCAGTAAGACTCGCCCTCAGATAGTAGGCATGGGGAATTGTCTAGTATCATTGCTGATCGCGTGGCCTTGACACTTCTGCTTAGTGACCGCTTACCTCAGAGTAATATACCCACGAAGCCTCTGAGTAGATATCCTCCGCCCACCAGGGAAGATATCCCACCTGATGGCCCGACGATTACTGGCCCGATTGATCAATCAATCGCTCAAGGTGGCATCTCTCCCAGGTATGTCCGTCTTGACGATCCATAGACCCATTCCAATAGATAGTGTTGAATAACAGTTATTAGTGACACATTAGCATCCTCATTGATTCGGTCTGAGGTGGAGGTTTACTTGAGCCACTTCCATGATCAGCCTTATTGCGTCTTTTCAAAAGACTGGCTTTTACAGAATGCGAGAAACCTACCGCCAGAAATTTCATTTCCACTCGTGGCTCTTACGCTTCGTCTTTCCGTCAATTCGCCTGGTTTGTTTGGGTACGGTAGTTCCACAGGAAAGCACTGTGCTGAGCGCGCCTGGGAAATCTTATCGTCTCATCACCAAAATGGTAGAACTGGACTCTCATTCCTTCAAGGGAATTTCCTCATCGCCCAGCTGGACTTGGCGGATGGAAATTCCCACAGAGGGTGTTCATCGGTTGCACTTGGACTTCGCGTGATACAGACCCTTGGTCTGAACCAGGGAAAGAACCTATCAGGCCTGAGCCAGATAGAAGTGGAATCAAGGAGGCGAATTACTTGGGCATATTTCATGCTTGACCGCACCTACAATGCATCGCGGAATTATTCATTATGCCTCTCCGACACCCGCTTCACACTTGACTTCCCATCTCGAGAAGGAGAAAGGACAGGATTTCGTGGGTCTCTTCACGAAAAATCTATCCAACAAGGTCATAGAGTCGACCAGGGAATCATGGCTTGTTTACTCCGTCTCTTTTCGCTCTGGGGGAAAGCCACGGAGTGGGTATTTGAGTCTTTGCCAACATCCTCCCTTCCACCATGGCAAAGTGGATCTGCTCTGGCAATATTGGAATCAGAATGGATGCAATTCGAGACCCAGTTTGCAGACACTCACCGTTACATGAATGTTGATTTTAAACGACGTGCTCGCGATGAGCCACAGTCTCGGCCATATCTTCTTACCTGGCTATCCGTGCAATTCTTGTTTCACTCCATTCCGTGCCTACTTCACCACCCCTTTGTCACAATGATAAAGCTACGGCACATGCCCGGAAACCTGTCAGCAACGTTTCTTCAAAAATCTTTCGAGACCTCTTTGATCCATTCTCGATGGATTTCGAGGTTCATAAGAGAAATGGCCGAGGTAGATCTCCGGTTATATGACCCGTTCTTTGGATACCTCGCTGCCATTGCTGCAACAATTCAACTAGAGCATACGGGTAACAAGAATCCCAAAATTGCACTTCTTTTGAACAATGAATACCGAGATCTCGTTGCTTTCATGACCGAATTGTCTGCTGAGTGGGATAGCATGAGAATATTGGTTGGTGACCCGGAATCATACAAACAAAGAAAAGCTAACGCTAAATTTTCAGGTTAAACGATTGGATGAGTTAGCCGCCCGGCATCAAGACTATGGATCACTTTTCTACAACCAAGAGGGATTTTCTGGGGCCTTGTCAAGTATGGCAACCCCATCTAACCTTCCGCGGATGTCTTCCCAGGATGAATCTTTGATGTGGGACATACTCGACCTTACATCACTTGGCTTCAATCAAACATCACAGATCTCGGGAATGAAACCTCTCGCCGACAACGAAGTTTCGACATATGACAACGAAATGTCCAGATCCCCGTCGGAAGAGGACTTGGAAGATCAGGAAGTCGAGTCGCTGAATGTTCCCACTCACAAGACATCTGGAATTGGTGAAGAGGTGTCAGAACCGACCGATGAAATGCCAGGCCCCGAATGGCCATTCTCAAATCAAACTGGAAATAATTCAATTGGATCTGGTGTACCCGATATCCCGGATTGGATGATTTTCGGGGATTTGATGACAGACCATCTGTAATTCATAACCTTCGACATCTATGGATCTAGTGTTCGCTAGATACCTGCGGCGCTCCATACGCGCAGGGTGGTCAGTAGTTGTTTGTATACAGGGGTTTTTTACAGTGGTGTTGCAAAAGTTTGAAGAAGCTTCCTATTGGCCACCATTTCTGACCACTTCTAATGGCAGACAATGTAGTAGCTACCTGAGATGGAATAAATTGGCTAATTTATTCCATCTCAGGTAGCTACTAGTCTGCCATTAGAAGACGGAGGGCCGGACCGGTCAACAAGGGCTTGGCTTTTGCGGTGCCACCGTAAAATACCGCTATACGAGTACATAGACAACTACTGACCACCCTGCGCTTCTAGAGCGCCGTAGGTATCGTTGTATTTCTATTGCGATCAGCTTCTAGCGATCATCATTTCGATATTCAAATTGGGAAAAAGATTCATAAATTCTATTTCGTGATATGTCCATTTCTGGAACGCAAGTTGTGTAAGGTGTTCGTTTAGATTTTGCTTTGTCGAGAGGACAACTTGAGGGCAGAATCAAAGGTCGCTCGCTCACTGGCAGTCAGTTCTCGTCTTGCAGGACCGCCACGGCTACCATCTCCTGCGAATTCATCATCCCTGAAACCTTCACGGAATTGTGTGGGGAATCTCCACTTGTCGAGTAGCTTGCTTGGCAGGTTACGCTGGAAGGCTGCGCTGATGTATTTCCCGATGACGGGAAGGAACTTGAATGCACTGAAGGTTTCGTTAGCCATATCTTTTTTAAAGGAAATTCGGTCAAAAATTGGGTCCTTGACTTACTGTCCACTGCCACCGGTAGCGATGAAAAGGTTTTTGTGGTCAGGATGGAAGTCGAAGATGAAATCCCCGGTAGGCGTGTCATTATACCAGCAAATTCCAGTTCGCTCGAATCCTCGTGATACAAGGTGCGGAAACAGGTCACGCAATCCAGCTTCCATTCTCTTCAATCCTTCTGCAGGAACATAGTTGGCACGAGAAGCGACCGCATTCGTCGGTGGTGAGGATACGTTCGCGGACTCATTGTTGCGGGTATAGCCCAACCCGTGGACTGCAACCTTCAAATAGCCGGTCGCCTCATGGGGAGGGAAGCAGAAGAAGCCAGTTGAAAAGTTGAAATAAATGGGCAAGTCCTTCAGTTGAATGACCTCTTCCGGTGTCAATTTCAAGTAGCCGACAAGCTGACCGGCGGCAAGCATGGAATTCCAAGCAGGGACTAAGCTGGCAGTCCAAGCACCAGTAGCGACGATAAATTTGTCACCAGGAACTTTGTTACCGTCTGCGGTTATGGCGGCTTTGATGTTTCCATGCTGGTCCTTCTCAAAGTCGATGACCTGGCCGTTCGGACCAGTGATGAATGAAACTCCAGCGGAGATACAACGAGACGCCAATCGACTAATAGCCTTGCCTGCATCTGCCCATCCAGCGGCATTATTATAGAATCCATCAAACCCGGGACTTGCAAGACGACCAGTGAGCTTGGGGAACTTTTCCTTGGCCTCCTCCACGCTTTTGACCGCGTGCCATTCTTGGCCCATTTCACTCAAAACACGCTTTGTCTTGTCACTATATTCCTGAGCTTGTGGCTGGACGGGCTGCTCTGGTGTGCCATCCTGACACACCCAGAGACAGGGAGTTTGATAGAATGCGTCCGAGTACTCGGGGGTCTTCCAGAGTTCGAATGCCTCCTTTGCGATGCGAGCATAAATAGCGTCTCCGTAGTCGAAGCGGATGATGCGAGAAATATCATTACTGGATCCATCTGGAACAGGTGGCATAGATCGATCAAGAACCGTGACATATGTGTACCCTTCTTCCTTCAGTCTCAGGGCAGTCCCGAGACCAAAGGCTCCGGCACCAATGATAACAACTCGCTCTGACTTGGCCATTGAGAAGTGAAAAGTGGAAATGAAATGAAATCGTCAAATGTCCCGGTGGCAGATATCGTGCAGTTAGAAAATTCCCACGGAATTTATATATTTGTAAATGTTAGTAGCCACGCATACGCAGCCGGGCCGGGTTGGCAGACACGGCCCGTACACGGACCGTTCACATCCACATCGCGAGGCATGAAGTGGCGACAGACCCGGAGGGTTACCCATAAAACAATTTGTAATAGCAGTAAACGAGGTCATATAATGACAATGACAAGGTTGACTATGAACAGGATAATCTCTAGCTAGGAAGACTGACTCGTCTCTCTCGTCCTTCGATCACCGCCAATTTCTTGTTACCATCATAAGGAAGAACCAAGTTCAACAGCACTCCAATTACGGCAGCAATAATAAAAGGAGTCTCCACCACAAGATTGATTCCCTGCTCAAATCCCTGGAGCCTCACATTGGGACCATTGTAGGCTAAGACCTGGCTGAACCAAGTCGGGGCCACAATATCCATGAAGGCAATCCCTAGGGCAGTCGTCAAGATGAAGCGATTGCGCCTAGTAAAATCGATCAAACTTAGCACTTTGATTCCCGCTACCACAATCGTGCTATACAAGAAGACTTGCATTCCTCCAAGCACGGAAGGGGGCATGGAGCCGAATACAGCTCCGAATTTTCCAAATATGCCCATGAGAACCAAGAAGGCGGCAGCGCACCAGCCAGCTCTCCTACTCTGGAAAGAGATGACGGAAATTAGCGACAATTAACGATGGCCCCGGGTAAGGATATAAAATACGTACCGCACAGCCAGTCAAAGATATGACTCCATTGTTGCCAGCTTGGGAGACCATGGGTAATCCAGTACCGCAAGCACTGATCAGACTGCCAATACCATCGCAGAGGATTCCACCTTGAATTCTGCTGTTGAATTCAACTCCATCAACATCGAGACCCGATATTTCCGCGGTAGCCAAAATGTCTGGCATGCAGCTAACAGCTTCGCATATGAACATGATCAAAAGGGGTAGCACCAGTGCCCCGTCCACCGATAGCTTGAAGGTTTGTACCCAAAGGAACGTTGCGACCGGGGCTGCATCAATGTTTTCTCGCGACCAGTATCCAGTGGATCCGGATAATGCACATCCAACTGCTAGACCGAATACAACCGATGCAGAACGCATAAGTGGTGACCCGAAAATCTCCACGATGATAATCGTGACGAAGACACTAAAACCCAACCCAATGAGCTTGGGATGACCCCTAGAAGAATTGTTAGAATATCACAGTTGACCAGTAAAATCACACAAGGATAATGCAAGTTACGACCTACCAAGGAAGTGGTTTTGGCGCTCCAATGTCGGGACATAACGCATAAATCCCTGACCCTCCATCGCAATTCGAGCCGCCTCCCCAACTCTTCATTCCACTGGATATTAAATAAACACCAACGAGCAGAAGGAGAGATCCAGTAACAACCTTGGGAAATATTCTATTCAGAATTTTCGGAGGAGCGAAAGATATCAGAATTTGGATCCACACTGTGCAGAGCATTGTCCCCAACATCGCGCCCCAAGCATCCGGGCACGGTAGTCTCAGATCCATCGGATGAGCTAGGGCAAGTCCCATTTGAATATCGCATATCCGTATAGCTGAATGCAATGGCCAATATATCGAATGTGGGACCCACAACAGATAGTAGTCCGGTGCCAATATAGAATGGGGTATTGAACAAATGAACCCGGGTGACTTGGAGAGCCGTTGCTATCCCAGTAGTGATGAACGCCGCAGAAACAAGATACTGGCTTTGTTCTGCATCCAAATTGAATGCGCCGCTTGCGATTGCCAAAGGGGGAGAGACCACAGACCCAATCATGGTCAAGGCGTGCTGCAAGCCCAATATGATTGTGAGGAGAATGGGTACTTCATCGTTGAGCCCGTAGAATGGTGCTTCATGGTTCTTGTATCGCTTGTTTAACGGCCAGATGTTTGGTGTGATGAGATATAGATAATCCTTTGCATATCTTTGTCAGTATAGGCCCCATCGAGAAGAGATATGTTAGTCTCGTACATAGTTCCCGATCCATCCTTCAGAAGTTGTGAAGTATCGACGAAGATACTGGGATCGGGTTTCGGCGACGGGCGCGATTTCGATGATTTGAGATTCCCTGTGATCTGAATTGAAAAAAGAAGTGACCGGCATTCCTAGATCATCTTTTTCCGGAGACCTCCGACTTGCATCCATGATCGTCAGTAAATGTTGTCAAATCCGTTCCAATTGTGGGTGATAAACCTGCTGCCCGCTCAGCAAGACAGCGAGTGGCCGACGTCGATACTTCCCAATATATAGCATTTTTCTCTATCCATGAAGATGAAGATCGGTGATCTTCGTATCTCTTTCGTCATATCAAGCTCTCCTGGATGCAATCGATAACAATCAGGAGTTGTTGCTGATAAGATGCGAAGCGGCTTGGCCTCGCCGAGGACCGCAGACAGCGCGGAGTTATAATTACATCCGACCATCGTTACAAATTAGATACTCCCAGATACTCCCAGTAAAACACCCCTCGCCACAGTTTTGTCTTCTACGTCCCTCGGAGTCGTCCGTCTTGAAAATGGCCACGAGCAACCCTGCGACTCCACGCTGCACGCTATTCTACAACGCGACGATCATTACAGTGAACCAACGTCGTGAAATTCTTCACGAAGGATACATCCGCGTGGATATTGACAGGATAACGGAAATTGGGAAAGGGAAATACCCGATCGAACTACCAACCCAGACACAGCAGATTGACTGTCGTGGTAAAATAATTATCCCAGGACTGATCAATGCTCATGCTCACTTGGTGCAATCCTTGCTTCGTGGACTGGCAGAGGATCTTCCATTGCATAATTGGCTATGTGATGCAATTTGGCCACTAGAGGCTGTTTTCGCGGATAAAGATGGCTATCATGCGACACGATTGACGACGGCAGAGATGTTGAAGACAGGGACCACTTGCTTTCTTGATCCCATGCTGACATATCGCGCCGGATTTGATCAGGTTTGCACCGCTGTGGGCGAGATGGGAATAAGAGGTTGCCTGGTATGTTTCTATGGTTCACTTTGCCTAAGAGTGTACTGGTCACTAAAGCATATGTCGCAATTCGCAGGGCAAGCTCGTCAAATTTACGGAAACGAATCGCCAATTATCGATTTCAGATCCTCGCGATCAAGACCTACTAGCGATGTCTATTCCAGAACTTCTGAATGCTCATAAGAAACACCACCGCAGTCAGGATGGCAGGATTCATGTTTGGGCGGCCGCTGGTACGCCACGGGGCACGTCGATTGAGAAATATCTCGAGCTGGGAGAGACCTGCTCCGACAATGGCATCTCAGTGACTATGCACTGTGCTGAAGCCCCCAAGGATCGGACAATTTACCACGAAGCCTATGGCTGCAGTGCAATGGAGTTTGTCCGCGATGCAAAACTTTGCCCGCAACCCACTACTGCATCGGATGATGGTGGCCGACGATCCCATTCTCTTGTTCTGGCTCATATGGTGAATCTAGATCAAGAACTTGACATTTCACTGCTTGCAAACACGCAGACCACGGTGGCTCACAACCCAACATCAAACCTCAAGTTGGCGTCTGGAGTGGCACCGATCCCATCCATGCTTTCCCACACGCCACCTGTAAATGTTGCCTTGGGGACAGACGGCGCGCCATGCTCCAATCATTATGATATGATACAGGAGATGCACTTAGCTGGCATCCTCCACAAAGGGGTAAATCATGACGCTGGCTTGATCCCGGCCGAGGTTGCTCTGGAGATGGCGACCATCAATGGAGCACGAGCTCTTGGCTTGGAGGAAGAAATCGGAAGCCTCGAGACGGGGAAGAAGGCAGATCTTGTTGTGATTGATCCTTATGGTCGAGGTGGACTTGGCGCAGCACCCTGGAGCAGCGACTTGATTGAGTGTGGAGCCAGCCCTCTCACCGCAGTTGTCCATGGATGTACTGGTCGGGATGTTGATATCACCATGGTGAATGGAGAGATATTGGTTGAAAATGGAATCCTCAAAATGGGAGGCAAGGAGAAAGAGAGGGACCTTGTCGGCCTTGCACAGCATGCTGTCAGGAATATACTTCGACGATGCAACGCGGATCGGGGCGACCTAGAGAAGGTTGGTGGGAAACTTCTTCCCTCTTGGAAATATAGATAACAATGTGCATAATCATAAGCAATAAATAATTTTGTGCTCCGTACAGGCAGCTTGAAAATGTGGCAACTTCAAGTTGAAGGAATTCGGGTTGTTGTGCCCGCGGCGTTGTGCGGCCCCACCAGAACAATATCAAAACTTGCGATTGTTGTGTCGTTCATTCAACATTTCCCATTCACCATCGCTTCATTTTGCCATGTTCCTGGTCATATCTCCTTGGACTTACCTTAGAAAATTTATGGATAAATTGTTCGAAATGTCAGATATTTCAAAGCTACTCTTCATCTTTTTGCAAGAACTGCCATGGAGCGAGTTGTAATCGTCGGCGCAGGTGAGTAGACATTTGAATCTACACCCACTAGAAATTTCGAATGCTAAGATCCTCAGGGCTTTATGGTCTCATTGCGGCGAAGACATATCTTCAGGTCAATGGCGTGTACGACCATGACGAAAGAATGAAAGATGCGACCGCAGCTGAGACCGAGATCCCAAGCTGTTTCACCGACAAGACGCATATTAGCGAACGGGGCCAGGGGTGTTCCCTATTGGTGATTGATTCTGCATCAGATATCGGAGGAACCTGGGCTGAAGAGCGACTCTATCCCAATCTTCTCAGCCAAAACTCTTATGGACTGTATGAATTCAGCGATCTCTCGCTCACCGACGTCGTCCCACCGGACGAAGATGGACCTGGGCAGCAGTTTATTGCGGGCTGGAAGATCAATCGGTATCTTCATGCATGGGCGGAGAAGTGGAAGTTGAAAAAACACATTCGGCTGAACTGGAGGGTAAATATGGACAGCCTTAACACTATCTGAGCACTGGCTGATATCACGAACAGGTCGATAGCATCCAACGTCTGGAAGGCAAAGAATGGCAGCTCAACATCTGTATCACATCAGATAGCAACCGTGATATCAGCATTGTCTGCGACAAACTGATACTCGCCACAGGGCTCATGTCAGTGCCAAAGTTCCCACAAGTGGAATGGCCTCCGAAAAGCAAGAGAACCAACTCAGTAATCCACGCCAAAGATATTGGAAATTGGGCACGTCAGAATCTGGGATATCATCCCTGCCGACTCCCAAAAACGAGGAGAATAGTATGCCCCAACAGGAGCCGAGGAGCCGCCAACTTCGCTCGGTCGCGATCCACGGCGGTGCTAAATCCTCATTCGACCTGGTACACTTCTTCGCCACGCTGCATCAACATGACCCAAGGGCCCATCTGAACGTAACACCCCAGAATCCAGTGCAGATAAATTGGATCATTCGCGAAAAGGGCACTGGACCTTCGTGGATGGCACCGCCGATGTCAACTCTGCCCACTGGAGAAGTCGTCCCCAGCGATAAGGCAGCAAGCAGTCGGTTTCTGCATTACCTCGACCCATTCTGTTCGGAGATCCCAAAACGCGTCGTCTTTCAGAAGTTCAAAGGAGGATACTTTTGGAGCCTCCGCATGGAAGGATCTTGGTGGGCACGGATGCTTCACGGGAACCCGGTCGGTCGTTGGTTGATACGTTGGTTCTGGGGCTCACTTGATCGGGAGTTGGAAGAAACAGCACAATATATTAAGGATTCCAAGATGGGAATGCTCCGACCGAGTCACAGGTATGTATTTCTACCCATTGAGTGATCCAGGGCTTGTGATTGGAAACACTGACTGACGTTCCTAGTGTCGTATCATGCAACTCAACCATTGGCATCGCCAACCAGGCGAATCTATGGGAAACGATTCGATACTCTCATGTGAACATTTATCGGTCCACTGTACAGAGTATATCAGCCCTTGACGATGGGGACGCGAACGAGCGGAATGATGGAGTGAGAGTCATTTTGGGGGGCGGTGCCTGCCTTGAAGATGTCGACCTGGTCGTCCACGCCACAGGGTACAAACCCATTGTACCAATCAGATTTGTGCCTCAACTCCTTCGACTGCAACTTGGAATATCGGATATTTTAGACTACCAGCCTTCCCTGGAGACAGAATATGACATGGAAGGCATGCAGCACTGGCAGGAGCTGGATCAAAGATCAAAGGAACGAATTACAAAGACTTTGATTGACAATGGATGTTCCCTGGAGAACTGCGATACATCACTGGGCACTGAGCGAAGCCAAATGGTTCCATTTCGCCTCTTTCGCCGGATGGTGGCACCGGAATTAGTGGCCGAGGGTGATCGATCCTTTGCAGTTCTTGGAATCATTCTCACATCAACAATCGCAGTTGTGGCCGAAGTTCAAGCACTCTGGGTCGCTGCTTTTCTGATTGGGGAAATGGATGACTCCAGGTATTGTCCATTTGACTCTCTTCATCCGGACCTCTTTTCGAGAGATCGAATGGTGGAATCCATTGCGGAGGATGTGGCAATTGGAGCAGTGACTGGTAGTGGTTTGCAAGTTGATGCAATCCACTATAATGATATCCTAATGCAAGACCTCGGACTGAATCCCCATCGATTGGGTGGGGGAGGTGGAGAGAACTGACTGGGGTGTATCAGCCTTCAGCATATGCAGGAATTGTGGATGAGTGGAGGGGGAGAGGAAAAAAAAAGATGAGATGCAGCTTCAATGTATATTGCATAGACATTTCGTGAGGGCGAGAGTGTGTTGTAGTAGAGTAGAGTGTAATGAGTGTTGAGTGTTGTGTTTGATAGTAGACTCCACGTGACCAGTGCGTACACCTTCCTTTTTTGTCGTTGCCTTCTTTTGTTTCTCCGCATCTTCAACAACTCCAACCCCCCCCCCGCCGTGTCAGCCATGCCGAACGTTCCCAAGCAGACTCGGCGGCTTACCAGATGTCGCACGGGGTGTATGCGCTGTCGCATCCGCAGGCGGAAATGTCAGTATCTTTACAAGTATCACAGTATCACAGTCTCATGAGGGAGGCTAACTCGCAGAGCAGGTGATGAAGGCAAACCCAAATGCCGGAATTGTACTGACCGAGGGTTCAATTGTCAGTACGGCCCACAATTGACTTTCCTCACTAAGAATGCGCATACCGTTGAGTCATCCGAGGTTGGTACTGCCTCCGCTACATACGAGACTATCCAGGTAAGTATCCAGAGGCGCATCCCAACCCAAGCGGAGTTGAATTGAGCTGACAGGGGCCCAGTTCATCAACGAAGACCCCCAGAAGGATGAAGATGATGCAGAGTCTCCGAAAGAGCAGTCATCACCACCCGAAGGAGATCTTCAAATACACCGTGAACGAAAACGAGAACCCCATCACTCGGGCTCGGACACACACGCACAGTTACTCGATGTGGAGCTACCTCAATGGGAGGCGGATGGCCCTTCCTCTCAAGGTATCTCGCTCGCGCAGCCCTCAAAAACACTCTTCAACTACAATGATGAGTCCGCGGTCGCTGGTTTACTGGCATTGGGCACGAGCACGCAAGAGACCATGCCACCGAGCATGACCTTTTCGGAGTTTGCGATCTCCCAGCCAACAAAAGAGCCGTCTGTCACTCAAGTAATGACCCCAGCCAGAAATCCTGATTTTCCCACGGTCTTTTCTCCAGGCCACGTTGATAATGCTACACCTTCGACTCTCGCAATCTCATCCACACAGACATTGGAGCTCATTCGCCATTACCGTTATGAGGTCGCGCCGTGGGTAAGTACCATTTTACAATCCCCGGAATGAGAACGAAGCTCTTCTGACAAATCCAATCAGCTTGACATTTGCGACCTCGGCCAATTCTTCGGAATCCAAGGCTTGCAGCTAGCCATGGTCTCCCAGCCAGTCTGGCATTCCGTCCTAGCACTGTCCGAGGCGTCGATGAATTTGCTACGACCATTCTCGTCCTTGATCATCACGGACAAAACGCTAGGGGCTCCCGCGACTCCGGAGACGCAGCTAGACATCACGACACTGGCATTTCTCCGTGTGATAGATGAATCTAAGAACTGCATATTGAATTTCCAGGCAACATGGTCTCCTCAGAGGGTCTGTGACAAGGAATTATTAGATTCTCTGGGGCCACAAACAATACGCCGTGACCTCAATTCGGCCATTTACTGGTTGTTTGTTCGACTTGGTAAATTATGGCCCTCGGTGTCTATTCTCCGAAGAAATGAAGTTCTAACATTGCAATTGTTTAGACCTCGCAGCTGCTCTAGCCACGGATACCGACATCCAAGTTTCCCTACTCCCATCACTGCCCTACTTGACAAGTAGAGACCTGGAAACTGACCCATTTGAACATGTTTTCTGCTTCGCGCATCGCCCGCTTTGGTTATGTACAAAAGCAGTGCGATTCGTACACAATGATGACCCATCGCCCCAGAATCCACCGCTGCGCGTATGGATGGATCTCATGGAGGAGCTCGAACAATGGTATCAAGAACGGCCGCAAGGATTTCAACCCATGATGGAGATTGACCTTGAGGACCAGGCCACCGGGCAGGGACAGGGGTTCCCGGTCGTTCTTTTCGCTCATGGATCGGGGGGTGTTTAGCAACCAGCTGTACCATACAGCCATGTTGCTATTGCTGCATAATCGGCCACGCACTGCGCCGACACCCGGTTATCATTCAACGACCATGTCACCCCTTTGGCATGCCCAGCGAATATGCAGCATTTCTATCAATAATGAGCGTCGGGAGTGTTGGGATCCGGTTCTTTTGGCTTCATTTCTGACAGCGGCTCGTCGGATGACCCACGAGTCGCAACAACATGAAATTATGCGTGGTTTCGAGCGCATTCGAAAAGTCACCGGGTGGGATGCGAGTGACTTCCTGCACAGTCTCCAAGAGGAATGGGGATTTCTGGAGTCGTGATTAAGTTGAGATGTTTTCTGCCGAGATGAAATCTCGATCGAAACTAAATCAGCCAATTGCGACCGGTGACTGCTGTTGCGCTGCCATTCTCTCACGCCGGGACACTTGGTATCCCCAAGCCAACTCGAGATCTCGAATCCGCCAACATGCACCCCATCCAGTCTCGGCCTCGATCTTGCGAATGATATCGATGATAATGCCATGTTCCGAGACGTGGCTGAACAGGCGACCGGCGATCCAGAGAGGCTGGATGGCGTTGTTCAAACATCCCTGGTGTGGATTTGCGAGTGAGATGCCGCAGATCCGTCGCGCGTGCCACAGGGGTGAAACAGTTGCGGCAGGGCGCAACTTGATCGCCTTGGACATGCTGTTTAAAAGGAGGATGCAAGCAGTGTGATAGAGCTGATTCGACGAAATGGCGGCCCAGTGCAGGAAGAGTATATGTGGGAACGGCTTTGTCTGGGTCGTTTGGACCGGCAAAAGCTCTGGTGGTCTATTTTCGACCCATAGCTGCAGATCTTCCCACAGTCGCAGCCAACGACGGTTGAAGGTCTCGCCTGTACAATCGTTCTGCACACCCAACTCAATAAACTGAGTCCGGTCGGAGACCAATTCGCACGTCTTTGCGCACAGATACACGGCGTAGTTTGCGTGCATGTCGGGGGATTGGGCCGCTTGGAATAAGTGAGCGGCGTCATCCTCCTCGCAATCGGGTGCTAACCACTTGCTGGGCCGTAAGAGCGTGCTTTGCGTGCCGTCCGAAATGAGCGCGCCGCATAGATCTATACTAGTTAGCGGGGAGCGAGAAGAGAATAACCGTAGCGTTGATCGTCCAACCAGACATACCCATTCGCACGTAGCACCAAAAAACAGCCTGCAGCAGTCCGCTGCTGAAGCCATTGATTCCAAAGGCATCGAACAGAGCCGTACAGCCCTCTAAATGACGGCGCCAATCCTGAGCTCGGGCGGACATCATTTCCAAGCAGCAGAGAAGAACACATGCAGCGACGACCTTTGGATCCGGATTCTGCAGCAATGGGCTCAGTAGACGAATTGCTTCCTGGTATAACTCGATACTGTCGAAGGAGTCCTGAATGCCTGTCTTCCGTTCCATCTGTCGGGCCGATATCGCCAAGATGGCATTGAGGAGGGCGGGAAATGTACGAGCGAGAGCAGGGATCTGGACGCGAAATGTGCATTGCGAGTCGAACATGTCGAGCTGAAGAAGACAAGGAATCAAAACGATTAGCCACCGCGGTCTTCACTAGTTTCTTCGCATTCGAGAGTAACGCCCAGCCACATGGGATTGGAATTGGAACTTACCCAAGGTGCTACCTGTCCAACATAATTCTTCAAGTATTCAATCCGCCGGGAATTTGATAGGGCCGGTCGCATGGCCGCGCGCTCTCTTCGCGACGGTTCCTCGACATCTCGGCCCTGCTCAGGATCAGCCGGGCTACCCGCTCGTGTCGGCGCAGCAGATTGTGCGATGGTAAAGAGCATACAACGTAGCTCCTCCTGCGAGGCTAGAAATCCAGGATCGTGCGAGAAGCCATCGGTCCAGCTAGCTAGCGGAGATGCAAAGGCTTGGTGCTCGGTGGTATCGGAAGGGGTATAGACCGGGGCATGTCGCCATTCGGGGTTCATGGCATATGCAGGAGGGGGAGGTGAGACGACTTCCATGTCGGAGAATTGGGCGTCGAGTCGCCGCCGCTTTGTTGGGAGCATTGGGGCATTGAGGTGGTGGAGTGGGAGGTTGAAGGGGAAGAGTTGAAGTTGTGCGGAGAAGGTGAAATTGTGGGGAAGGCGGACGGCTTACTCTTCTTTGTATACTTCGCGTCTACTTCTCTTCTACTTCTACATCTATACAGCTATACAGCCATGTTCGCAGCTACGATGAGTCTGATATTGCATACACACTCACACCCACCAACCTGACAGACACACCCTCTACTACATTCCGATCCCCTTGGCAGGGCGTGGAACTACTCCTGCAAATACCGTTGAGCAAGGGATGTCGCAGAAACACCTCCTGGCCAACAAACGCGACTACTTTCGCTAATTATTTCTTTGCTCGCATTTCGTTGCTTCTGATTCAACCTGGTCGGTAATCCTTGACACTTAAACCGGCATCATGTACGGCCTCAAACAACTCTCTGTCCTGAGCTTCTTGCTGCTCTCCGCCTATGCCGCCAAAGAGGCTACACACACCACAGTATGTTAATTGAACAAAGAAAACGCGCTGAATCCAGTTACTGAGCGCTCAAAACAGGTGGGAATTGAGACCGCTGCTGGAAGTCGGGGAATCAAAGCCCCCCTAGACGACTGTTACGACGATATCGACGAGGAGTGAGTTTACCCACCAAGTCGAGCAATATCTTGTTGAACCAGGGACTAACAAGCTATTAGAGAGGTATTCACCGTGGCCATCAAAAAATACTGCCGCATATTCACGTGGGTTGATCATCCTTACCACAATTTCAATTGATCTTCACCTCGCTAACCTTCATACAGAGGTGTTGGATGCACCGGCCGCAACACTGTCCTGGCCCCCGGCGACCACTCGAGCAAAGACCCTGTCCCCGTTGGCGCCATCTACTGCCATTCGACTCGACCTTACTGAGGAGGAGATACCAGGGAAACAAATGTATTAATATAATCTTCATTCATGTCTACCAATTCTACTTGAAAACTCCGGCCATGGTCATTCTGCGTTATCCCAACCAATCCCTCAAGCGCATAATGACGCCTCTTCCTCATCTACCACCAATACCTTGATGCTTCCATTCCGTGTATCGGCGCAAAGATGCAAGGCATCCTCTGCCTTTTCGAGGGGGAAGACATGAGATACCAGTTTCTTCAAGTCCAGGATGCCACCACCCAGGCACTGGATGGCCGGAGGCCAAGTGTCGCGGTACCGGTTGATGAATCGTAGATCAATCTGCATAAAAAGTAGCTGATTAGTTATCGGTTCTATATGGATATTTCGGAATGTTCGCCTACCTCTGCCAGAGAAAGGTGCATAAAAGGAAGATTGTTCATAATAGCCTTTCCAACGCCAATCACCATGACGGTGCCACCACGACGACAGGTGTATGCAGCAGTGCATACGCTGCTTTCCACGCCTGTGCACTCCAGAATTGTCTCTGGGGCAACGTACTCGCTATCTCCGAACAAAGCCCGGATCGCTTGGGCATTACCCTCGGCGTCCTTAGTCCGATCCACTTGATAGGTAATGCACGAAGGGACAAACTCCTTGGCGAACGCCAGACGCGAAGACTCGAGATCAGTCACAACGATGGGATGGGCTCCAGAGGCTCGAGCCGCAGCCAGCGCGATCAAACCGATAGGACCAGCACCGCAGACCACGACACCGCGGCCGAGGCTTAGGCCGGCAGTCTTGATACCGTGCATCACGACAGAGAGAGGCTCAAGAAGGGCGCCCTCGGCGAAAGTGACATTGTCCGGGATCTTGTGCAGCCACTTGGCTGGGTGAACTTTGTATCGTTGAATTGTACCGGCATAAGGATAGACGCCGGCGAACTGGACATCCTCGCATAGATTGTAGCGACCTTCGTCACACAGAAAGCAGTGTTCACAGGGCACGCCCGGTTCCACTGCGACTCTGTCGCCTGTAAAATTATATCAGTACTCTGTACAGTGGTACCTGTCTCTCGCGCACACGATATCGGATCAGACTTGCCGGCCTTCAAATGGCTCACGCCCTCGCCACATTGCAGGACGATTCCCGATGCCTCGTGGCCTATAATGCAATCCCCTTCAAAAACCAATGATCCGATGCGACCAGTCTTCCAGAAATGAATGTCGGATCCGCAGATTCCGGTCGCTTTGATATGCACCAACACCTCGCCATGCCCGGGCGCGTTGACGGGAGCTTCGACTACTTTCAACTTGTGGTCGGCTGTCACCTGGAGTGAAGGGTTTGGATGTGAGGGCTTGAGCGTCGTTTGAGCCAGCGCCTTGGGCGTTACTGCGCTAGCGATGGGCTGGTCGACGAGGACTGAAGGGGCCATCTTGAGTTGATATGAGGAGTTTAAGTGAAAAAGGGCATTTTGGACGGCATTTTGGTATTAAGTATCAGGATAGGACCCATGTTGTCCAACCAGACGGTCGCATGGAGACGCCTGCAGTGGATGGCTCAACCTGCCTCTTTCATTCAAGTTTGTGATTGTAGGTTGATGTTGGGTTGTTTATCCACCGCTCCACTTGGTGGTTCGCCTTGCCTCATTCGGGGCCATCGTAATGCGATGAATAACTAGTACATCTGGTTCCCTTGGACCCTGCGTAGCAAAATGAAAGATTCAAAATCCTGTATACCATTATAATCTGCCTAGGTATGTCACTCTTCTCCTCATGATGGATCATTTACTCGGATCTCCTAGCAATAGTTACTATATATTCCGGTGATACGAGGTCATGGTACCACCACGAGGCTCTGGATCCGTTTTCTTTAGACCAGGTGACCTTGAGTACTACGAGTATTAGCGCGCTTCCTCGACAGTAATCACACACTCAACACCTTAACTCTACAAACATCACGCAGCCATCGAGGAAATATGCGGGGCCCCTCAAGGTGGCGGGGGTTGCGGGCTGAGGGCTCCACATCCGAATGCGGTAATTATAACCTCCGCATAGTCGGGGGGGACCCCAAGTCATGCAGACAAAGATTGATTGGGTCGTTATTTGGTTATTTGGTTAAGGTCACCAGTCCCAAAGATTGTTATGCAGGTTTTTATTCTTTCATTAGATCAAATTCATGCTTTATACTCAGGTGGCGGAGCTAACGCCTTTGATCTTATCTTCGTTGAATCGCCCTTCGATTGCGTTCTCATATAGTTGCGCAATAACGTCCGAATCTTGGGATCATTGGTATTCCAATCAGGGGTGTGGCCATCTGAGTTTTTTTTAAGCTGGCTGAAGCGCCGCTATCAATCAAAAGTCGAATCATCTCGCTCGTCGCCTCCACCGATTTTCCGTATAATCCCATAGCCCGAACCGTCACATGAAGGGCCCGGTTTCCATTCCTGCCTTTCATTTCAACATCCGTGCCATGTTTTATGAAAACTTGAACAATCTCAATCTTTCCCAATGTAATTGCCTTGTGGGAAAACGGTGCTTTCTCTCGATCAAAGGCCTGGCCCAGCTTGGGATAGATGCGTAAAAATACATCCACGGTTTTTCCGAACACATTCTGGACCGCATATGCAAAAGGCGTGTTTTCTTCGGAGTCTTTTGCCCCAACTGCCACGGTCGGTTCGGTCATCCGACTCCATAGATATCTATCCAGATCGAGTTCGTGCTTTAGGAGAAGGCCATATATTTCGTGGTGGCCATTCTTAGCAGCTAGATGCAGTGCTGTCTCGTATTTGGGCTCGGGAAGAGTAGGTGCTTTGTGATCTAAAAGAAGCTTGATGATTTCCGTATGGCCCAGTAATGCGGCAATGCGTAAGTTTATATGAAGTTCTCTCTTGCTCGCCTCTTCCTTTTTATCGCCCATCAAGGAGTCACAGTAAAGGAGCAAGCTGGCAATCTGTTTGTGACCAGCACGTACGGCAACTTGGAGTGGGGTTTTGTTGTTGCCGTCTTGGATCCCAGGAATTGCATTGTACTCGAATAAAAGGCGGGCGATATCCCAGTAATCTCTTTTGCGGCATTATGAAGAGCCGAGGTTCCGATCTCGTTCACAGTGTTCGGATCCTCTCCTCGCTCTAGGAGCGCTGTGACGAGATCAAGTCTACCATGATCGGCAGCAACAACAATAGTTTCGGTAATTTCGGATTTTCCACCTTTGAAATCCTCAGCCATATTGGCAGACGTGATAATATCTCAAGGAAAGGAAACGAGCAGGAGTTGAATTGCCCCAGCTGATGATCTCATCTCAGCCTCTTCGTTTGTTGGCGCCAAGTCTGCTTAGCCCAATTCGAGTTTGAATAAGCGAAGCGCCGTCATCAGCATCAGGCTTTAGTGGGGGATGCCTTACTTCCGGCGAAGCTGAAAAGTTTTGTGAGGTATTTTATGTTGATTAGGCAATATCTAGAGGAGATTTATTTACCCGGAAAATGCACCAGTTTCAAGATTCTACCACTAGGGTCGAGATACACACTTACTACTGGCGGTAGAACTCCAAGGACATTCGTGAATGAAAAAAAAATTAGTTTGATTATGACTTCAAAATTTTAACCCGAAACTGTTCACATCTTTTCTTAAAAGCTCCAAGTATAATAATCGACAAATAATAACGTTCTTGGGTAAACCATAAATCACGGTGGGATTTGTTAACTTTGAGCAACAACCCAAGTGTCGGACTGATAATATGTAATAATTCATAAGTCTCTTGATCGAACGCAGTATTAAAGAGCTTTATCGCCCAAAGTATGATCGAGGTGGGCTATGCGGAAGGAGGGGAGACGGTTGATCGTAAACTTGCTGCTGGTGGTGCCTTGGGTAGGGAGCTAAAGGAACATGATCACTGGAAACTGGATATGGATTTCCCTTTTGGAATTTGCTCTGTTGCTTTTCCATCTTGGCGACCTTATTCGCGTGTCGGAAGCCAGAATCAGGGCCCTGGAGAATCCGACCGGGGTGAAAGATGTTGAAAATAAAAACAGCGAAGAACATCGGTAGAGCATCGAAGACGTATTGGTACCACTCGTGTGTGTTGGTGGGCTCGTCGGCGCTGGTTCCATGCGAATATTCGGCCAGTCGGAAGGCGATACGAATCTAGTCGGGAAAGGATGATGTCAGTACGAAAGGGCCGAAGTGAACTTGGCGAGAAAGACATACCGTTATCATGGTCAGTGCAAAGTACTTTGTGTAAAAGAGCCACCTCCAGTTGAAGGCGAGGTTGGTCATCTTGCCCACTTGGACACCCGTTCTTTCTATTTCCAAGAGTTTGCGATGGAGATGAATTGTTAACCCAATGAAACATATGATGAATATTTCTTGCACTGCTATTCCCACCATGTAGATGTGTACTCCTCGCAAAACCACATCGGAATCAGCATCTGTTTGGACGAGAATACCAACTCCGATCAGCTGGACGATGAATGCAAGAATATCCAGACACACAAATATAAGCCCGAAGCGTCGTGCTGAAATTCGAATCAATGATTGCTCGGGAACGAAAAATTGGACCATGCGACCAAGGGTCATGTAAAGGAATGCATTGATCCCTAGTTCGTACGTTAGCTTTTTTTTCTTCTCTTTTCCCCTTGGATAGCATTTTCGAAAACCAGAATTGAAATTTTACTCACATATCGGCGCGACCAAAAAGAATACCATAAAATAAATATAGTATTTAGAGCTGTCCTGGTGTTGCGTTTCCATTGAACGACAAACCATCGCGATAAACTCCCATCCCGATCCCATAACAATCACCCAAGCATATAGTTTCCTATGCACACATCCTTGAACGAAATGCATCAAGGTCGTGAGACCAAACAAGATAAAAAACAAGGCAGCTGGTACTAATGACGGTTTGTAAAGAAGGATAGCGCCGCAAGCTTCGGGAAGAAGATATCCATTTTTACCAGGTTCGATGTGAAGACAGGTGGCTGTAGATGATGCGGAAGCTGTTGTGGATGCAGAGGCTGTGGTCGCCGACGGAGCCATGTCGACAGTTTGACGGTGTCTAGTTCTTCCAAGAACTGGAAGGCTGAACAGGGACTTATCTTCTTTCACAGAAAGAAACTTTCCATTTCTTGCGTATCACTTCCATACTTATAGATAACCCCTGATTGACAAGATCAGCCTGGTTGATCCCACATGAAATCGTCTCATCACATAACTAGCGATCGGTGGACAAAGTGCGTCATGCGCAGCGAAACAGGTCCAAGGTCCACATGGAATACTCCACGCGTGGTTGTGGATAAACGAGTCACCCAATTGAACCGTGCTGAGAGCCAGGGTCTTGACGGTCGCCATCTTTAATTTGGGGATCTAGCTTTTGTTCCGTTGATATGTGGAGCAAGATAAAGCTAGGGAAATTTTATTTTATTTTTATTTTTATTTTTTAGTTCATTTCATCTGGCGCGTTCCACCCACTAACTTCCTCAAGCAGAAATTGAATTGCGATCGCAAGTCACTCTTGACATGGCGTTTGAACTTGGAATACCATGCTGAGTTGCGATACAAACGTTGTTTGGGCGGGCGGACTTCTAACAGTCAAGGGGACGAACTCGAAAATTGGGATGGCGATCATGTTTCGTGTGGTGATGCCTGATGGTTCTTCATACTAGATTAGTAGAGTAAATACCCAGGTATGCAAGCTGTGAAACCTCCCACGTATCGGACTTGTCCTATTTATCAGTCTACTGTTCTTCAGACCCTGGAGATTCTTTTCTCATCACTTTTTCGCTCGATTATCCCAATTCTCCCCAATATAGGCAAGATATATGCCAGATACCCCCTACTATCCGGGAACCTCAACCATTGAATATTAGTAATAATTGCTTGGGTTCATTTGCAGTAAACAGCCATAAATAGCCTCATTTATGCTAGTGCCTCGCCCATCCAAGCCACAATTTCCAGTAAGAGGCAAGCCTCTCGTCGTGCTGACCGATGAGTAAGCTCAACAGTGGGGGGAAAGTGGTTTGATCGGCCAACGCAATCGCCCCCCTCCTCCACTAGACGACACTCCACGCGGTCTTTGCTCTTGCTGGTGCTTACGGAGTAGTACTCTGTGAGTTTAATGGGCGTCCGGCTTGCTCCCGTCCATATTAGCACCTCCGCTTCGCTTTGAAGGATTCGCTCTCCACTTTTGGCACTCCCTCCAGCAGTGCCCGATTTTCTGGGCGCGGCCAACTGACGCGGGGCAGATGGGTGGTATTCCATGGAGGTCAACAGCCTGCTCAAATTGTAAAAAACGAAAGATAAAAGTCAGTCCGGTGCTCTAATGCTCTCCGAGAACACGTGGTCTTTCCCTTGCTAACTTGAGCAGTGTGATGCCGCACGCCCAGAATGCGATCGCTGTCTCAAGCGTGGCATCCCTTGTCCGGGATATGCGAAATCCCGCATCTTCATCCACCAGTCTAACATTACACGACAACAGACGCGAGAGGTCGTACTTCCTCCATCTTCGAGGCAGACACAGCCGCCTGAATTGACACCCGTTGTACAGACTGGGCCGGTGATGCGGTCTCAGCTCTACTCTTTCTTACTGGGCGCATACTTCCCAACCAATGTTCGGGGCACGACGGATCTTGAACAAGTTCAATACTTCTTTCTCAACTCTTCTTCTATGTTAGAGAGACCGGGAAGTAAAAATGATAAGTTTATGATTTCTGAAAAGGCCCTTAGCGCCATGTCTTGTCTATCACTTGGTCGACTCAATCGTGATTATCGCATGGCTCGCTATGGTGTCCAGCTGCACCGCGCCACTACTCAGCATATTTCCAAATTAATGGTTCAGGATCCTTACAATGAAGATTACATCAGGGCTATGGTCATTTTAAAAATTCTCGAGGTGATTGATCCCTTTCTCCGCTTGGCAATTTCCAAATTTAGGGATCCTAACTGACGCCTCTTCTAGGGCCACCACTATCCGCATGGTTGCGACAATTGGGCCCCCGGTATGAAGCAAAACAATTTTCTCTTACGTGGTGCTCATCAAGGCCCTCCAACATCTTCTCTGATGCGTGCTATCTATCATCAGCAAAAGCAGGCAGTCGTACGGATTCCTTCTCGTACCCGGAAGATCTGTCACCTTTATCTGGACTAACATTGACCGTAGATCTATGCAATCACTGCAGTGAACTTCACTCGAGAGGAGTTTGAGTATTTGATAGAGTCTAAGACTGGTCACCCTATCGATGGGCTTTTCGAGATATTTGTGGAACTTGGATGCCTCGTCACAGATGTCGAACAAACTGATCACTCCGACCAGATGCGATGCCAGGAACTACTACAAAAGTGCCGCGCACTCAAAGAGAAAGCCTTGGATTGGTACGGAACCAACCTGACTCGCATTGGAGGGGCACCGTTCATAAATCATGAATCATATCAGTCGTTTTTGCCGCCCACTGATGATCTATTCGGCGCTGCATACTCTTTCGTCTCGCTTGACAACGCGAGGATACACATGTTCTACTGGAAGGCTTTGGCCATAAATCACTCGGTAATCTACCAAGCTGAGGTGCTTGTCCTCTCACACACTCAGAAGGCCTTCTCCGTAGACCCTACCACGCATGGCGACTTTCATCTCGCTGGTTTCTACGCCGACCAATTCTGTCGGTCGATTCCATATTTCCTCCAAGGCCACGTGGAGCTCTGGGGAATGGTCGCGGTTCTGGTTTCCATGCCTCATATGCTCAAGATCTACATCCATCTTCGAAACCAGAAGAATTTCTTCTGGTGCCTGCAATTTTGCTCCTTTTTGTCCATGTTCGGTATTGAAATGGCAACATACGTCAGTGAAGCGTGGAGGAAAACCTGGTACCTCGCAGAAGATCCGTCTGTTAATTCCATTCTCAGCTTATCGTTGAGATATGGGTTATCAAAAGAGATACCGGTATCGATGGTGGCCCCTCGTGGGAAGGTGGTAGAATTAGCAGAGGTTGATGAGGTGTTGAACCCGAGTACGCAGATAGAATAAATTAATTGTAGCATTCGTCTTCACTTCTTCGGGGAGAAAACCATATGCTTGCATTCCAGCTGATTGCATTTTCTACGACTAGAGTATTTATGTAAGAAATGGAAGTGGTGGATTGGACGTTCATTTCAAGAAGCAAATTAAAGAACAGATTCGAGCAGATCATGGGAATGGAGTGCTAGATAACAAAGGAGAAAGTGAAGCAAGAAACAAGTTAGGAGCAAGTGGGATTGCTGCCTCACTGATCTATGTCCGACTTGATCTCTGGCTCAATATTTATCAAGTCAGCAAAGCCTCCAATGTTTTCATATCCCTCGGTTAATTAGTTGGCTTTCTGAAGGAGTTCCTCTCGCCGACGGACAAGCAAGTCAACATCAAAAGCAGCGCGTGCTGATGCAAGGCGGACCTCAGATAGCACATGTTCCAGTGATTGAATATCGTTATACACGTTCGCCTCATTGAGGGGTGATATGTATCGGGCACCCGGCGGGGGGAGGGACATGACCTGCCCCTGGCTCGTAGTAGTAAAAGTTGAGCAGCGACACCGTGGGCTTGCAACGAGCATGGTTGACGATGATTCCGGCGAGGCAGTGAGTGTGATAACCCCAGAAGATGAGCGGGCATCACCATTCGGAGTACTGGAATTTCGTTGCTGCCCTTCCTGCGGCTGCTGTTGCGACTGCTCTAGGACATGTGCAGCAGGAGTCGGATACGGTTTGCAAGCAAACTGCACACTCAACTGAAGACTCGGAACTTTCTCCATGAAATACTCTCGTACCCATTGTGGCTCAGGGGGCTGCCACCGAGAGCACCTATTTCCAGCACCACTAAGGCCACATCCCATACAGCTACCGCCAAACAATGCCTTGGACGGAAAGATCTTCCCCTTAGTGTCGGAGACTTGAGGCAAATATGCGATCTTGCACGCCATAAAGGGGCCATGTCCGTCTTGACAGGTTATGCAACCCTGGCCTGATGGAGCGGCCTCGCCGAATCGCTGTCCATAAATAGCACGGAAAGCGAACAGATTAGTTGCTACACGATGATGGGGCTTGCCGTTGATCTCGCGCCAGTCAACATCTGGCCAGTCCCCTGAGTTAGCCACGCCAAAGGCAGGCTGGCATTCACCCGACATCAGCTTGGGATTGGTGCTCATGACGGGATTCCCTCGGTTGTCTAAACCCCTGGCAGTAAAGGCAGTAGGGCCAGCCTGCGTGTGGGTGGTTCGAGAGGGTATCGCGGTTTGACCTGGTTCATTCTGGGGCAATACCTTGCGGCTCGATTTGCGAGTTTTCTTCGGACGTGACTAGGGACTTTTTGGTTTCTCAGCTTGATCTTTGGGCGCCATTGATGGACGGCGGCGGGTTTCACCTACTGTAGGGAACGAGGCATTTCATTTTGCGGAAGAAGAGGGATGGTTGTCCTGAATCGTGTCGTCCTAATTATCTCTTTCCGCCTCTTCGTGACGAGTTTCGGGTGTTTCTGCGACGCTGCCATACACGGATTGGAAGAATTTCGCGAATTTCTGGGCTCCGTTCTCTGAAAATAACATTTTCCCGTTAGTCTCAGTTTCCTCTGCCTTTTCCTTGGCTCGGGATGCCTGCGTCTGCTCGCATTTCCTCAGAAGTGGACTGAGTCTCCAGCGAAATGATGGACCTGTTTGTTCCGCTGACTGAACCGCGTCGGCAATTGCATGAGCCAAGGTCAGTGAGTCCAACATCGCAAGGTTGACACCTTCCCCGGCCCACGGACACATGAGATGTGCCGCATCACCAACGAGAGTTGCAATTGGATTATGCTCCCACGATGCACCGATCGGAAGTGTATAGAGAGGGCGGATATCAATGGTGGCATCCGGGTTATCCATCGTTTCCTCGTCACAGGCAACAGCCACCAAGTCTTTCATGGTTTCGCCCCACTGCCCGAGCAGTTCGTTGTTTGTGAAAAGCATTTCCTTTGTTGCCGATGCTGGCTGATTTGCAAGACCCAATGTGACGGCCGCCTGTTCATCGGGGGTCGTCAAGAAGATATAGATCCTCGCCGAGTCCAGGGGTCCACGCTGGGACATGACCCCATGGCGAAGACCTAAAGCGGAGAAGCTCCCACGGCCAACCAGAACGTCCAGATGTGGATATTTTGTCGTCAATTGTCGAATAGTAAGGGTGATATTTTGAGTGCCCACGTAGTATGGCTTCACAGTAGTCAACATGCTCCGAACTTGGGACCAGGCTCCGTCGGCTCCAATAACAAAGTCGGCAAAGTGTCTTCCATGGACACCAAAGTCGAGCTGCACCTTGGTTCCGGCGGTAGTTTGAATCTCTGCCGCATACATTAACTTATGACACCATCTAATGGAATCCTCGGGTAGATGAGAGGCGAGCAGCTTGATCAACGCATGACGGGATATCTCTGGGCGATCACTCAACTCCCCTTGATCCTCGTGCAGAATGATACCATCTTTATCGGTAACCTTTTGCGCCTCGGTGCAGTCCCCCGTTAATCGGATGAATTCCTCCCACAATCCACATTCTCTGATAGCAGCGAGACCAGATTCCTGGTGAAGGTCTAAACACCCCGATGGCTTGGAAAGTTCTTCCTCGGTAGGTTTCTGGCGAAGCTCAAAAATAATCGATTTGATCCCACGGGCATGGAGTAGGAGATAGAGTGTCAACCCAGCAGGCCCAGCCCCGATAATGGCGATGCGCGGTGAAGAAGTTGTTGATGGCATTCTCTGGATGGAGACGGAGACGGAGATGGAGGAGGAGGAGATTTGGCAGGATTGGGAGGTTTAGATATTTGCCTTGTCTCGTGACTCTGGCCATGGCCCTTCCCCTTTTTATAGGAAAGCGCAAACTGCAAAGGTTCGCACCTTCCCCCGATTTCACGCACCTTCCCCAAGTGTGTACCATCTCCGTCGCGCCTTCCTCGTGGCCGATCGGGGTTTGCCAATCCCCGAAGTCACATGACACGGATCTTCGGGTTTCGCACCGCCCGAAGTTGCCTTTGCCTTTTGCCTTTCCCTCTCTCTTTGCCTCTTCCTCCAATAATAACAAGTTAAGACCCAATAGTGCCTAACGGCTGGGTTCAATTGACAATTGCCAGGGAGCCACAGTGGTCCCGCTCTCGGCGTCGACATGTCACAGCCTCAGTCCATCACGTCGGGATCGCCCAGCACCCGAGCGCGGCCTCAACGAGTACGAGTACTCGCATGTGTGCTCTGTCAGCAGCGCAAGGTCAAATGTGACCGAAAGTTTCCCTGCGCAAATTGTCTTCGGTTCGGGAAGGAATGCACCCCAGCGACAGTGACACCAAGGCGCCGAAGCCGTCGATTCCCGGAGCGAGACTTGTTAGATCGGATTCGCAAGTATGAAACGCTACTCCGCAAGAATCATGTCGAGTTTGAATCTTTGAAGAGTGCAGCTGCAGCAGAAACAACATCCCTGGATTCTGCACCTGTTGAGAGTGCTGAGAGTGACGATAATTCGGATAATGAGGACGAGCATGGCGGAATCCCAACCACGCCGAAAGAGGCTAGCGAGGGGAAGTATGTAGGATAATGATAACTTGACAGGCTGCTCCAAAGACACAATCAACTAATTTTTCTTCACTCACCAGAAACTTATGGCATGTTCTCAGGGAGCAATGGGTATGCCTGCGCCACTTTTTCTTTGATTTGTCGCATCATGCTAATTGCCAAAGAAATTACAATCATCGGATCACAACGGCGAGACCATCCATGATGCAGTGAACCAGGCTGGAATCAGACGAGCCATGGACCAGGTCTATGTCAACAATGACCATTTACTCTTCGGTCTACGACACACGCCTGTTGAACTGTCAACCCTTCATCCCAATCCAGTTCAGATTTTCCAACTCTGGCAGGTTTATTTGAACAATGTTGACCCCCTACTCAAGGTCACACACACCCCTACTCTGCAAGGGCGCATCATTGAGGCAACTAGCGATCTCGTTAATGTGACTCCAGATCTTGAAGCGCTAATGTTCAGTATCTATGCCATCTCAGTGATGAGCCTTACCACCGAAGAGTGCCAGGCCAGCTTCAATTCCTCCAGGGATGAAATGCTGTCCAAATATCAATTTGCCTGTCAGCAAGCGTTGCTTAACTCCGAGTATCTGCGTACAAATGACCGTGAATGCCTGGCTGCCTTTTATCTCTTTCTCGTAAGTCGTTCCGCTCCTCTCGCGCGGATACTTAGCAACTGGTTCTAATGCTTGATAGCTTTCAATCGGACCCAATACCGATCCTCGCTCTCTCTCATCCATGTTCGGAGTTGCGATGCGTATTGCAAATCGGATGGGTATCCACAATAACTCCACAGTAGTAGACAGCCCACCCTTTGAAGCTGAAATGCACCGCAGGCTCTGGTGGGCTCTGAAGCTCATCGATAGCCGTATCGGCGAGCTGAGCGAGTCTAAAACGGTCGCTTTGGATCCAACTTGGGACTGCAAAGTCCCCCTCAACGTCAATGATGCCGATCTTCGCCCGGAGATGAAAGATATACCGTCAGTTCAAAGCCAGACAAGCGATGCTATTTTCGTGGTGGTTCGATGTGTGCTGGGGGATTTCATTCGGCACGCCGAATTCCATCTTGACTTCACCAATCCGCCATTGAAATCCATCGTCAAGGGGGCTCAACGGGGCCTCGTTCCGGAAAACTGGAGTATGGTCGCGGTCGAAAAACTGATTGAAGATAGATACCTCAAGTCTTGTAATGCCGATAATCCCCTCCATTTGATGACGCTATGCATGGCCCGAATCCAATTAGCAAAAAGCCATCTGCTTGAACATTACTGGAGATATTCTGATTCCCCAGAAGCTCCGACAGATGCACAGCGAGATATAATGATGCGTCATGCCCTGACTGTGCTGGAATGTGACAGCAAGGTCATGAGCTCCTCTTTAACGAAGGGATATCGTTGGATTCTTCGTTTCTACTTCCCGTTCCCCGCCTATGTCCATATTCTACAGGATCTACACAAACGTCCCTTCTGCAATCAAGCAGAGAAGGCCTGGCAGGTTTTGAGCAATAATTTCCAAGTACGCGTGAATGTTCCGGAGGCTCGTGATGGCCCTTTCTTCGATATCTTCTCCAAAATCGTTCTTCCGGCATGGAAGCAGCGGGAGTCCTCATCGAATTCGAAGAACAGAGAGACAGCAATACCCGATATTGTTTCTATCATCAGAGAAAGAGAGATTCAAAAATCCGCAGCAGCTCAGACTGCAACAGCTGAGCAACTGGATAATATTTCTGGAATGAACCTGGACGAATTCCCGATGGCTATCCCGATGGGCCTTGGCAGCATTCCATGTGGCTTGGGAGGCCAGTATTTCCACCCAGGTGCTGGATTTGGTATGCAGTCCCAATATGAGCTTGACAGCGGTGCGAGTGCAATCCCCTTAGCAGGGCTGGATTGGACCTTTGGCGGACCCGCCGCTTGGTGACACTCTCCACTGAATGGCTCCGAACGGTGGATGTTTATTTCCATGCGCCCTTGCAGCTTCCATGTTCCCTGCGAAATCGCTTGAAAGTGTAGATTCGGCGCGAGTCGGATAGACCATACTACACTGTCAAATTTCGCGACTGGATCTACCGGGGTCTTAGTGAATCATACATCAATCCGACAAGCATGAACAATTATATTGACAATCGATATGGTGAAAGGAGAAGCCAGGGGATTATGGAAAGAGATGCCAGAATTCCTGCTTTCCTCTGACTTACTTCACAGCAGCCAATGTAGCTTCTGCCCATTTGTCTGACGAGACCCATCCGCCATCGACTATGATATCGTTGCCGGTGATGAAGCTCGCCTCTGGAGACGACAGAAAAGCTACTACATTGGCAATCTCGATTGGGCTTCCAATTCTCTTCGCAGGGATTCTAGAAATGGCCTCTTTAATAGCAGGTCCTCCAATTGGGCCTGCTATCTCTGCCGACCTATTGTGGTCGCTATCGCTCCTGGGCTCACCGAGTTGATTCGCGCTCCTTTACTACCCCATGCGCTTGCTGCAGCTTGAACACGGACGATGTTGGCTCTCTTCGAGACCGAATAAGCTATCATTCGGCTGACGTATTCCTTTGCAGCTTCATCTGAGTTGTCTGTGCTAGTATCGAATTCTGGGCGCAGAAGGAGCTCATTTGATGGAGCGATAGCCAGATGTTTCTCGAACTCCGGAGAAACTTCACTATGCTTTCCATGTCCGGCAATACTAGAAATAACGACCATTGCCGTTCCGGCTGTCACATAGGGATAAAATCCTTCGATCACTTGTGCCGCTCCCAGCAGGTCAACCTGGTAGATTTGGTCTGCCGAGGCCTGTACTGGCGACAGGCCCGCAGTATGAGCGATCGCACGGATGGAATCAATCTTTGCCACATGCTGCACAAGATTCTGGACTGATTCCATGTTACTAACGTCTGTTTGCACTGTGTCCACGATTTGCCCTTCTTCCCGCAGCGCCTGCGCCGACGTCTCAAGCTGCCTTTCTGAGAAGTCCGCGAGTACAATGTGGTGCCCACTTCCCATGCGGCGAGCAATGGCGAGTCCTATTCCACCACTGCCTACGACAACAAGAACACCGGCCGTGTTCTTCATAACTTCTGTTGTCAGGCCCATCGCTGATTGTTAACTGCAGCAATGGATTTGGTCAAAATATGGGACGCTTGCACGACGAAGGAAACATGGCAGAGGCTGCTTGGTGCTTGGGTGCGAACCCCTCTTATCGAGGAGATGTTGCAAAATCCCCCCTCCTGGTCTCATCGCATCATGATTGGCGTTGATCAATCAAGATCGAGAGATACTAGGAGTTATTCTCCTTCTCCTCTTTCACACTGCGGGGCATGCAGGCTTCGGTTACATTATGCACATAAGCGACAGCCAAATTGCCGTGATGAAGGCACGTGGCCAAGGAAAACGCCCGTCACGGCGAAAAGGAAGAAAGACAAGTGGTCTATGGAATGCGATGAGAGGGATAATGCCGAAGATTAAGCGCATGAAACGACGCCTATCCACAAAATGGAACCAATTTATTTGCAAAACTCAATAGGATTCGATTTTAGTCTTGGTCGTAGATTTCATGACTTTGAAAGTCCGATACTTACAAGCTATTTATATCCCTCACTACCTAAATTACCGTTACTTATCGTTTCAATTCTTCTTTGGGAGTGCCTCAAAGTCCTAGCCAGAACCGCGTCTTTCCAACATCAAACTCTCCTCGAAGCTCCTCCGAGCCTGTACCAGTCACCAGTACCTCGTAGCGCCCCTTTTCGGAGATCCACTGCTCACGGGTCTCGTCCCACCAACTGGAAGCGATCTTCTTCTCGACCACGAGCTGGACTGTCTTGGACTCCCCGTGTTGCAGGAATACCTTCTGGAATGCCTTGAGTTCACGGACAGGGCGATTAACATCTGTCTTGGGCGGGACAATCCAGAGCTGGACAATTTCAGCTCCCGCAATAGAGCCTGTGTTGGTGACGGTAACAGTTGCTGTAATCGGCTCGCCGGACTCCTCGTATTGAGATCGCTCAGGGACTGTATCCACTCGCAAATCGGATCGTGAGAAAGTCGTGTAAGATAGACCGTGGCCGAAGCGAAACGCAGGTTCAACAGCACTCTTCTCGAAGAATCGGTAGCCCACATATACATCCTCACCGTACAGAACACGGCCACGTTCAGACCGGAAGTTAACGTATGAAGGGTTGTCTTGAAGACGACGAGGGAATGTAATAGGTAACTTGGCCGACGGGTTAACGTCGCCATAGAGTACATCCGCGATTCCATTTCCGCACTCGTTGCCGCCAAACCAAGCCTGTACAACAGCACGAGCCTCATTTACCCATGGCATGGTCACGGGTGTACCGGACTGAATAACAACGACGGCATTAGGCTTGACTGCCAATACACGGCTGATCAATTCATCGCTGCCGGGCGGCAGGTCCATGTGGTCACGGTCGTATCCCTCAGTCTCCCATTCGCTAGTGAGACCCGCGAAAATGACTACCTGGTCGGCCTTTGCAGCTTCTTCGACAGCAGCGGAGATCATTTCTTCTTCGCTGATACGGCGAGTGGCACCAAAGCGGAATCCACCAGGTCCAAATGCGACGATTCCGCGGGTATCGAGGTCGGAGGTTGGGGCGCTGCCAAACTCGAAGACAACCTTGTATGTTTGGTTAGCCTTGAGCTCCTTGGACCCACGTACTTCGACAGTGCCGGTGCCAAAGAAGGCGGATCCTTGCTTCTGGTTTTTGGTGTTGTCTACAACAACCTCTCCATCCACGAGTAGTCGGCCAGTTCCTACGACAGTCACACCGAAATCGTACAGACCATCGGCCTCCGGGGTGAACAATCCTTCCATGTCGACAAAGTATGTCATGGACTTGATCTTCGGGTTGACATAGTCCATCAGGAACCCACTCGAGGAAGTGAGATGTAGCTCATCGACAACTTCCCGGTTCGATCCTGCACTTTGCGGCTCGTTGTATACCTTGAAGGTGAAACCCGCTTGACCATCCGCGGTCTTAAGAAGGGGACCCAGCAAGGGTAATTCCTTGTGCGAGTAGGCACCGTGGGTGAACTTCACCTCGCCGGTGCTCTTGGCAGACACTCCTTCAAAGGGTGTGACAAGATAATACGGGGCAAGTGAGGCGGAGCCACCACCGCAATATGAGGCAATGCGAGCATTGGGCCCGATGACTAGGACGGAGCTATCTTTTTTCAGTGGCAGGACGTCATTCTCGTTCTTCAAGAGAACAACCGACTCAGCTGCCGCACGGCGCATGAGAGCCTGGTCCTCGGGACGATTCAATGCCTTTTCTTGAGCACCTTCTGGTATCCCAAGGGGCTCAACCCAATTTACCAAGTTCAAGATATTGCGCACACGCTCATCCAGCTTGAACTGGGCAACCTTGTTGGATGAGACAGCGTGAGCGAGAGCCTCTCCGCGCCATCGTGTCTTGCCGGGCATTTCAATGTCAAGACCGGCGTTGATAGCGTCGGATGTGCTGTATGTGCCGAACCTAAAATCGGAGTTAGCATTCGTTGCTCGTCAACAAGAGAAATAAAATTAGAAGTACCAATCACTCATAACAAGTCCATCCCACCCCCACTCCTTACGCAGAATGTCATCGATAAGAGTCTTGTTCTCACTCACGTGAGTGCCGTTGACTTTATTGTATGCAGTCATAATACAAGCGGAGCGGCAAATGCGCATGGCAACCTGGAAGGGGAACAGGTAGATTTCGCGGAGAGCTCGTTCGGTGACAATGCTACTGACGGCCATTCTCTCATGCTCTTGGTCGTTGCAGACAAAGTGCTTCAGTGTCGCTGCCACACCCTTCTCCTGCATGCCCTTGCACATGTGGCCCGCCAGGGTGCCGGACAGAACACCATCCTCGGAGAAGGACTCAAAGCCACGTCCACCGAGGGGAGATCGCTGGATGTTGATTGTAGGGCCGAGAACGATATGTGTACCCTTGGCGATAGCCTCTTCGCCCATTAATTTCCCGACCTCCGACAGCAGCTCGACGTCCCAGGTCGCTCCCAGGGCGGTCGCGCACGGAAAGCAGGCGGCGGGGATGCCGTTGAAGAACCGAGTGCCACGAACACCATTGGGGCCATCTGACATGCGCAGCGATGGAATATTCAATCGTGGAATGGGAACTGTATGCCAGAAATCACGACCTGCAGAAAGTTAGCCGCGGATCAGCACGGAATGCCAGGACCTCGTCTCCATGACGTTCTTCACCACCATAGGTATGAGCTATGATGATTCTTGGATTTGACACAAGATGGAACCAAGAAAACAAGGAAATTCGAAACTAACCAGCTGTCAGAGCGACTTTCTCGCCGAGGGTGAGCTCCTCGATAGCTTGTTCGACGTCAATGCGGGCCATGGTGGGTGGGGGTTGACTGCCAGTGCGTAATCGTTTCTTCAAGTTTTTGACACGATGAAAGACCGCCTCGGGTGGATTATATTCTTCAACTTGGAAGCTTCTCGTCGACTCTGGCTAGGATTCAATTGTGCTAGAGGTCCGATACACTCGCTGCGCGAGATAAAAGAGTTGCGTTGGGGTGAGATGCAGCTGAATGACCGAGACAACAGAGCGGGGTTGATATTTAAGTAGTCGCCTGAACCGCTACTCCCCGCTTCGTACAGCGTACGAGTACATTAGCAGCGTTCAACACTGCCGTATAAGATAATGACATGTCGAAAGACACGATCCGCTGTTGGTGGAGTTGCGCTCGATGAGGCACGGAGAAGCGCCCGAGGTTTAGCCGGACACGGCAGTTCGGTCCGCCTGCCCGAGGAAGGTGTGACCCAAGTCCATGGGTTGGGGTACACCGGTTAAACTTCGGATGTTGTCCAGTGTATAGTTTAAGACTATGCTACTAGTATGTACATTAGTACTAGTAGTAGCATGCTCTCGGAGTTGCGGACATTTCATGTTCAGGTTCAGGTTAACTTGAAGCTGACGACTTTGGAAATATACTAGGAGTCCCGGGATTCTGAAGTCCTGTCATCAACTTGAAGGTTCCATTTATCCCTCCAGCCATATTGAGGTGATCTACCTAGGGAGTAATATGAAGGCCAAATCAAGAGGTTCAATCCTTCAGTTCAAGTTGGTTTCTATCCCACCATGTTAGACAGTGAACACAAGCAAGTCAGGTCCCAGGGTAGTTGATGTGTAGTTGATGTCTGTAGTATATGGAATCAACTCCCTTTCTTTCAACTACATGCTACCTCTTCCTCCAACGTGGACTCGGTCTCGGAGCTTCACTTTTATCCATCTATACCCTCGGATAGTCCACGGGTGTTGCCTCGCGTTTTTCAACCCCACCCATCTCTCTTCCCAGTCACCCACCAATACATCCCTCCCGTGAGTGTTCGAAGATGTCACGATATCCAGAGAAGTCATGCCTACAAGGAGACTCAGATCCTCCCGATTCAATGACCAAGGAGGAAAACAACCGACGACAACGCTGGCATGGAACGGACGGCGCACCAACTGACTTGAACCAACACTCCGAACCCCAGCTCACAGCAACGCCCAGGCCCCTCAAATATGGTAGGATCCAATCAGAGGGAGAGAAGCGAAAACAATGGCTAGAAGACCCCAACGAGCCAAACTGCTACATCCAAAGATCCACATTGACCATCGAGGACCTACGAACTGACTACAAGCTGCCGTGCACGCCTCACCCTTGCAGTCTCGAAAGTGTACTTACGCTGCATTGGATGGAACTTGGACCTCCAGAAATGCCTCGCTCACCCATTAAAGAGAATAATTTTCGGTCCTTCCATATCATGCACCATGACTTTACCTGGATTGGACATACCGGCCCCGACATGATAACCCTTGATCAAATAGAGAGAAACGAAGACTATGGCGCGCCGCATATCTCGCAGATCACCCAAGCGCTCTACCAAAGTAACTTTGATCTAGATGGGCTAAGGTATGCCTTTGTGACTAATGTCAAGAATACGGAGACCCTCCAATTCATCAAGCGCCAACTCTACAATGAAGCCAACACTGGTTTGACATGGCCCAATGACATCGCACAGCCCTGGGAAATCGGCACATCGGAATATGACGCGTTGTTAGGTACCAGAATTGGGAAGATGGTCGCTTATTTCCTCTTGGGGGCGTTTGGTAGAGGCACTCGACGAATCCAGCGTATCGTTACATGGCCAGCACGGGTTGGGGGTTTTGCAAACTTACGCTTTGACGTCGAGGTCGTTCGGTGACCAGATACATCTGTGGGCCAGGGTTTTGAGAACGTTCAGCGATGGAATTTCTTTTGCCCATGCCAGCGAACCATGAATTCCAAGGTTGGGCATGTCGAGGGAAAGAATCCAGACGCGGTGATACCTCGTCAAACAGGAAGTACTAGCAGATCACAGTATGAATCGAATATGATACGGTGGAATGTCCGAATACAGAGTGATTTGGGAACAGAATGTGCGATGAAATAAGAATTAGGGGTTCTCTATCATTTCATCTATCTATATCCAATGCCGTGTGTCCGAGTCTTTCTCGTAATCTCACAACCTCATGACCCATAATAGAAAAATCGTAAAAAGTCGCTTGCAATCATAGATATACTTTTATTTTCCAGATAATAGCTCTGGTCGCGTCAATCAGTCAATGTACTTGGGCAGAGTCTTCAGAATGCCGTCCCGGGAGATCTCCTCTAGCGCAATGGTGATCTGCTGCATGAAGCGCTTGTCGCTGCGAAGATCATCACCGAACAGGTTCTTGATACTGAGGAGCTCAGCGGGGTTTGTGCCTCCGGCATGGGCCTTGGCCTGGAGCTCCTCGACCATGGGATCTTCAACCTTGAAGCTATTTCCGTTGTCGTCAACTCCCTTGATGTAATGGAACCAGGCGGCCGCGACGAAGCACAGACGGCGGAAGGGGCCAGTGACCCAGATTGCCTCGGCAATGGAGGGCATGATGAACTGTGGAATCTTGCCGGAGGCGTTCAGGCAGACGCGGGGGAGCTGGTCCATGATGGTAGGGTTAGAGAACCGCTCCATCAAAGTCTGGCAATACTCGTCGATGTTGACACCCGGGATATCGGGCAGGTTAGGCTTCGACTCCTCTTGCATCATCTGCCATACAAACTTGCGGATACCGGGTGCTCCATAACCTCGTGGACGTACTTAAAGCCCGCCAACTGACCTGGATATCCGATGGCAGAGTGGCTGCCATTCAGTAGACGCAGCTTGTGCTTTTCGAACTGTTCAACGTCGTGAACGTTGTTAACAACCTGAACACCAACCTTCTCGAAAGGTGGACGGCCATCGGAGAACCGGTCCTCGATCACCCACTGCATGAATGGTTCGGTAACGACAGGCCATGAGTCCTCAATGCCAAAGTTATCTGCAAGAGCGGTCTTGTCTGCGGGCGCGGTCTGAGGTGTGATGCGGTCAACCATGGCGTTAGGGAAGTGGCCTTGCTCGGAGATCCACTTTGCAAGCTCCGGGTTTCGCAGGCGGGCGAAAGACTCGAGCATGTGGCGGGTGATGGAACCATTCTTCTGCATATTATCACAGGACATAACAGTGAAGGGCTTGAGACCCTGTTGGTGGCGGCGGGCGAGGGCAGCATAGAGGAAACCAAAGGTGGTATGCGGGGTCTTCTCGTTGGCTGGGTCGAGGTCGAATTGGATATCGGGATGTTCACTTTGCAGCTGGTGGGTATTCTCGTTATAGTAGTAGCCGCTCTCGGTGATGGTGAGGGAGACGATGTGGGTATCAGGGTGCGCCATCTTGGCAATAACAGCTTCACGATCATCCGGAGCAAAGAGGAAAGAATTGATGCTGCCGACAACGTTGGCGAAGCTCCCCTTAGCTGAGCGCTCGATGACGGTGTAAAGGCCGTCCTGTGCTCGCAGAACATCGCGCATTGCGACGTCGAAGGGCTGCAAGCCGACACCACAGATAGCATAATCATTCACACCATGGTTTTGCATCAGCTTATCGATATAGACGGCCAAGTGAGCTCGGTGGAAGCCGCCAACACCAATGTGGACGATCCCCTCCTTGACGGCGCCACCGCGTGCATAGGTCGGGACCTTGACTTGGGATTCGCCAGCGGTGGCGATCTGTGAGAGGTTCTTTGAGTTGAGCTTAAGGGGTGCCATGGTCAATTGAATGGATGGAATGAGGGAAGAAAGAGGAAAGAGAGTGTGAGATGAGAAGTTGAAAAGCAACACCAGCGCTGGGTCACCGCCAGTTTAATGGAAGATCGGAAAAAATGCAGGGCGAAGCTGGATTACATCACGCAGTGCAGATGCAAGCCAATCCGGACTTGAGTGGAGCCGGGGCACTCTCACCCTGGGGCAAGTGGATCCAAAATATTGTGGAATATTCTTAGCACAGGGGCAAATTGGGGCAATTCCAGCCCGAGCTCCCCCTTGGTCTCGCCTGCGCTGCTGGTGCTCGGGCCTAGCTTTCCCTGCTTGCGTCAGTCCTCTTTGCCTCCTCAACCCAAATACCAGGTTCCGCAATGCAAAGGCAGGTCAGGGCCGAGCCGGAAATCTCTGCAGGATCCATTGTCGATTTGATTGAGGCAGGAGTCCCGAGAGTTTCACTTTGTTCTGGGTTTCCTGGGTTTCCACATGGAATTGAAATCAAAATGGGTTGACAGTACCCCCGATAGTGGCCTCAGGCAGAAACACGCCAAGGCACCATTTCCCACCGCCCGGCAGAACCAGGTCACCTGATGCTGATTACTCATCGGAATGCCAAGGAATGCATCACTCTACAGTCCAGTCCATTGCTTGTTTGCTTGTTCATAACTTGAACTTCCCATGAACTGTACTTGTTCTCCTCCTCTTTTTCTTTTTGCAAAATTGAACAAGAAAACTAATTCAGACACCATGAATGTTTATATTGGCTAACAGGGCCAACTTTGCACATAAATGGAAGCTTCGAACATAACTCCTATGTATTGGCTCCCGGGTATTCGACGCCAACGTTACAGCTCAAGAACCCGACTCATATATGGAATGGACACTCAACAAATATTCTATGCATGTGCACTTGGAGCATCCGACACTGCTAGATGTCCTACATAATAATCTCCCAAATTTGTGCAAAGCATACAACGCAGCGGTGTTGCCTAAAAGGGGATCTGGTTCTATCTGTTGATTACGAACAGCCAGCCTAAGTCTGCTTCAGAGGGAAAACCTATACCAGCAGCCGTACACCCTATGCACCTGCATGGCCATGACTTCTATATACTATCACAAAGTACTGATCAGTGGGATGGAACGGTCAAAACCCAAAATCCTATACGTCGCGATACAGCCATGCTAGATGTGGCAAAAGGCCATATCCTCCTTGCATGGATGTCTGCTTGCTTCATTGTCACATCGGGTGGCATACTGCAATGGGCTTCGATCTTCAATTCATAGAGCTGCCGGATGAGATTCCTAGCTTGACAGACTGGACGGCTCTGACGCAAAATTGCCAAGTTTGGGAAAGAAACCCCGATGCTGTCAGACAGGAAGGTTATGACTTAGGGGTTTAGGTATCTCTACTATCAGAATGGTTGGTGAGCAGATAGAAAAACGGGCGCCAAGGCTCCGCCGTGATTGATTTCAATGGCTGACCTCGAGGGTCCGAGCATGGAATCTCCATCAACTAAAGGGAAACTATGTCCAATGGACTAGTAGTACCATCCCGCCCGCCGGGCCGTTTGCAATACAGCAAAATTATAGCAAAAATATAGTCATGCTGACAATATTGTCTACAATATAGCATTTTGAAACAGGGTAGTCATATGATAACCTCGTTTCTAATACTATATTGAAGAGAATATTATCAGTATGCCTAGATAATTGTATTCATTCGGGGCCATTGTATTCTACTACTACTACTACTAACTAGTATTTACATTCGCAAAGCAACGCATGCTGCTAAAGCAACGCGTGCCAAAGCAAAACCTAGAGATCAGCAAAACCTAGCGATCAAACTTAGCAAGGCCTAAAGATCGAAGTTAGTAAGATTCAAGTTGAAAGTAACTTGAAGATACAGTGGTCCTGACTATATTCTTTTGTTTGAGGTGTATTGTAGACTTAGTGACGGGCGGGATGGTATCTATTCAGATCCCGCAGTCTTGCTACCAGGAATTTTCAAATTCTACTTCGCAAAAGAGACTGCCATAATAGTCATTCAATTTGTCTTTACTACGCTAGGATTCGACAGGAATAACAACACTAAGTTAACAATTGCGCCAGTAATTCGAGTGCTGCTATTTGGACCACCTTTCTTACTAATTGGACCCCACTTTTGCTACTTGGACCTTAGTTCTTCTTAATCTAGATTAGAATGTGTTTCCAATCCAAATTTAGAGACACCTCTTTCATACGGTAGCATAGTCAAGGTTTGCAGCCTCGTGTTGACTGTCTTGGTATCCGCATCTAAATGGCAGACCAGTAGCTACCTAACATGGGAGAGATTGGCCTATTTGTCATGTCTTAGGTAGCTACTACTAGTCTAATATTCAAGGTTAGTTAATGATACTAGGCAATAGAGGGGTTTAAACTTTCGTTGTGCCACTGTATATCCAAATTTTTATAGGTTGAAATACATACTAATCTCAATTCAGAAAGGCCATGGCCTATTTAGCAAAAAGAGTAGTCCAACTAGCAGCGCTCAGGAATTCATGGCCGGATTTAACGGCAGTAGCGCCTGGATGCCTGAGACGATCCACAGATGATCGTGATTAGTTAGCTAGACGCGGCATTTAGTATTACAAAGCACGGAGTTAGCAGACCGAATAAGTATCTACTGTCCTAGACGAGAAGGATATATTAGGTCTATACCTTTGATAAGCCCCCCTTTCTGCAAGTTTTTACAATATTGAATAATTTGAATTGGCATGATGACCTCCCAAAAGATCCTAGTCATCGGTGCTGGGGAGTTGGGCTTCCAAGTGCTGCGTGCTTTGGTTGCGCACCCTCGCCGCCCCGCCACAATCGCAGTTTTGATGCGCCCTGGCAGCATCGACTCTTCCAGTCCGTCCAAACAAAAGCAAAAGACAGCACTTCAGCAGCTAGGCATTGATCTCGTCTCTGGGGATATTGTTGAAGATTCTGAGCGAACACTAGCTTCAATATTTGCAAACTATGACACCGTGATCGGATGCACGGGCTTTGTCTCAGGCACCGGCGTCCAACTCAAAATCACCCGTGCTGCCCTCGTTGCTGAAATACCACGATTTATCCCCTGGCAGTTTGGTGTGGATTACGATGCTATTGGACGAGGATCTCCTCAAGATCTCTTCGACGAGCAACTTGATGTGCGTGATCTTTTGCGGTCGCAGGCCAAGACCCACTGGGCAATTGTTTCCACGGGCATGTTCACGAGTTTTCTTTTTGAGCCCTCCTTTGGGGTAGTCGATCTAGAAAACGCCCGTGTCAATGCACTAGGAAGCTTAGAAAATCAAGTCACTATCACCACCGCGCAGGATATTGGACTGATCACCGCAGAAATTGTGTTGGGAGATGAGGATTTATTCAATAATCGCCCTATCTTCATCGGAGGGGATACTATCAGTTATGGAGAGCTGGCCCAGCTAGTCGAAAGACTTACTAGAAATCCCATCACCAGGAATGTGTTGACCATGGAGAAAATGCAGGATGCCTTAGCGTCTGACCCTCAAAATGGACTTCTCAAATATCAGGCGGTCTTCGGGCAGGGCCACGGCGTGGCGTGGGAGTTGGCTTCTACATGGAACCAGCAACGGGGAATACAAGCTGAGACAGCGGAGGAGTGGGCTAGGAAAAACTGGGCGGGGGTGAGGTTTTGATAGCATAATTTCGCCAACCATCTTGACATTATGTGTTTCTACATACTGTAAACTGAAGAAAAAATGTTAAAAGGAAATGTGATGGCTCTAGAAGACAGAAGAGAAGCTGACTATAAGCCTGTAGCATAGTTAAACTACAGGTAGTAGATCCACATGTCGGCATTCGACAGCAACGCCGATGTGGAGCAACTTAAGTCTGCCCTTTTTATTATTCTCTTACCAGAGCTTGAACCCTGGAAGTTTTGATCGGGCGCACCGATTGTTTTATGCCCACGATCCTTTTCCTCGTCCCATGGCCGTTCACATCAACCATGCACAGTTTCCCGGGGATGTCCAAGTCATTCGTGCGTTGTTCTTGGGCTACGCGACATCGCTAGGAATCGATCTGACATTCCAATCCTTTGAAGAGGAGCTCGACTCGATACCCGGCAAATACGCCACCACTGAAGGAGGCGCCCTTCTGATCGCACGTAATTCAGATCCATTGAATTCTCATGACGACGCCCCTTCCAATTTCATCAGATTAGGCTTGCCTGATTCTAACGCGACTCCGCCCGGGACCATCGGTTGCGTCGCACTCCGTCGTAGCTCGGACGGTTGGTGTGAAATGAAGCGCCTCTATGTTATCCCTGAGGCGCGCGGTCTTCAACTTGGTGATAGGCTAGTGGAGGCCATTATCGACCAAGCGAAATCCCTGGGGTATCGAGGAATTCGCCTGAGACACTTTGCCGGATATGCTTGCGGCGCGACGGTTGTATCGGAAGTATGGATTTGTTGAGACAACCCCCTACTATGATACACCTTTGGAGGGAACAATATTTCTGGCATGTGATTTTACGAGGGAATTGTAATCTCAACCTAGTTCAGTCTCCTTTACAATGAATTAAATGATGTATCGATGCCTCAGAGGTCTCATTTCCCTCACGCCTGCATAATGAGGTGTCAACATGACTCATCGAAGTCCCGTGAATAAGCGCGTTTGCGTTTGTTTCTTTTTGTCTTTGAGTTTTCTGCACCTTGGCGATTCGGTTGATTTGATTCTTTGTGTGATTAGCATTCGAGTGTCTTGACAGTATCAGAGATACAGAGGTAATCAGCTTAGAGCTACCAGCAACTGCCATTTCACTTCACTGTCTGGCTTTTTCATCCGTTTCGTTTCTAGCCCCACCCCACACTCCCCACTATCAGCGTCAGCGTGATTGTCATCGTCACAAAGTCACACCATGGCGAACTGGAGTCCTAATTGTACGTGCTTTTCCCGATCCTTCATGTGGCCTCTTTCGATGCTATCAATTTGATTGACTCAATTCCTGATACCCTTTTCTGCAGCCTGGACCACAAAACCCATCAAGCAGGATGTGGTCTACGAGGATGTACAAGGTGTCAAAGATGCACTGGAAAAGCTCCATAAGCTCCCACCGCTTGTTACCACCCAAGAGGTATTTCCCCACCGATTAGTTTATTGATGATGAGATCGGATGAGATCTGATGGCTAATCCGAACTTAGATCAACAACCTCAAGAGCAGCCTGAGAAATGTAGCCCTGGGGAAGGCGTTCGTTCTCCAAGGAGGTATCTCGTCCCAACTACTTTCTATCAATGAAGTTTCATCTAATTAGGTTCTTAGGCGATTGTGCCGAACTATTTGACTACTGCAATCAAGATATGATCGAGGCCAAAGTCAAGCTTTTGCTGCAAATGAGTTTGATTCTCATCTGGGGTACGAGAATGAGTCCCATCTTCCTCAAATCAAATCAATATACTCACATTCTACTCAGGAGCCAACAAACCCGTCATTCGAATTGCCCGCATTGCAGGCCAATTTGCCAAGTAAGCTTTATCTAGCTGTTCCCAATCGCGGTTACCTTTGCTGATCATTGTACCTAGACCGCGATCCAGCCCCACAGAAGTCATCAGCGGGGTAGAGATGCCCTCATTCCGTGGCGACAATATCAATGGGTTTGCTGCCGACGTGGAATCCAGGCGTCCAGACCCATCGCGTCTGGTATCAGCATACTTTCACTCTGCGGCGACCTTGAATTACCTGCGTGCATCTCTTTCTTCGGGTCTTGCAGACCTTCACTCTCCTCTCGACTGGGGTCTCGGCCATGTTATCACTCCCGCAATCAGGGAGCAATACGCCCAAATTGTCAAAGCAGTCAAAGATGCGCTAAAATTCATGAAGACTGTCGGCATTGATAAAGATCGAGGTGTAGAGACCGCTGATATCTATACCAGCCACGAGGGACTGTCCTTGGAATACGAACAGAGTCTGACACGATTGCTCCGGCACCCAGCTCATGCCAGCACGGAAACAACGGGGGAGATGGGAAGTGGTTTCTACGCCACCTCTGGCCACTTCATCTGGATTGGTGACCGCACGCGACAGCTCGATGGTGCCCATGTGGAGTTCTTCCGTGGAATTGCCAACCCAATCGGCATCAAGGTTGGACCTAGTATGCAGGGCGATGAGCTAGTCCGCTTGCTCGATGTGGTAAACCCAGCCAAGGAAATCGGTAAAGTGACTCTCATATCACGATACGGCGCGAAGAAAATTGCCAATTTCCTTCCAGGCCACATTGCCGCTGTCCAGGCGTCTGGCCATATTCCTGTCTGGCAATGCGACCCGATGCATGGCAATACACAAGCGACTCCCTCCGGCGTCAAGACTCGTCACTTTACGGATATATTAGAGGAACTGCGACAGGCTTTGGAGATTCATCGGGCGGCCGGGTCATTCTTGGGTGGTATGCATCTCGAGCTGACCGGCGAAGCAGTAACCGAGTGCGTGGGCGGTGCGGCTGGGCTTACTGAGGATGGGCTCGGGGAACGGTATACAACATTCTGTGACCCTCGTCTCAATGAGAAGCAAGCTCTTGAATTGGCCTTCCTTGTTGCAGGTTTCTACCGCCAGGAGTCAGACGATTAACCGTCAGAAACTCTCGATGAATACCCAAGGGCTACCCAAAATTTCGGTTTTTCAAGCGTCAGGATACTAGTATCTTAGATAATTCATAAAATTACATTGAAGTGCCTCAAGTCGTATTCCTGATCTCAACGTGTTTCAATAGATACTCGAAACGCAGATAAACTGAACTGTACAGATTGAAAGAGCATTGGCAAGGCATCTCCAATTAGGGTAGAGCTCGGTAGAAGCCGGAAAATCTTCAGTCAATTCCATTTTACCACGCAATAAACTGAAAGTAACCTGACAACCCTCACCGGGATGCCAAATATATTCAATCTATCACACTTTCTATGTGTTTACTGACTTGTAATTCCCTGTTGTATACTTCGATTTCGCTCTGGCCTGATAAATCAGGTATTGATGGTGAGATAAGGATGACTCAGCAACGATAAGGACGCCACTTTTTTTCTTTTTGATCCACTTCGAATTTCGACTCCCCGCGGTGTTCAATTGCATTGCAAATCCTCCGGAAATATTTCGATTAAAATCAAGGGACTGTACGCAGATTAAAATTGAAATTTCATGGCTACTCCTCGCCCTCTACCACTTGCCGAGGAGTGGAAAGACCCGGATTCATACGTCGACGAGTTGCTGGACTTTGCGACATCTTCTATTCTATTTATGAACCTCTGTGGTGGCGTGCATATCCTCGACTTTCTGACACGAAAACCTGACCTTTATTCTACCCTGCTTCCGCCTGATTGGAGGGAATTCTTCGAGCATCATGATGTTCACGAAGTTCTCCATCTCCTTCTGCATGAGAACATTGAAGCACTGCGGGCCCCACAGGATGACGAGAACGATGATGGTCAAACCTGGAATGGTGGCGCGCGTCCTCCTCAAAGTCTTATAGACTATATTCACAATATTCGCCGACTGAGCTTGCGGAGAGAATTTGATGTACCGCCGCCCTCCATGAGAACTGCACTTCCATATAAGACTACCGTTGGAATGAACAAAAAGAAACTCCATGAAGTTGAATTCTTCTCCCGTCATGTTGCTTCGCTATCGGATGTGGTGAATGAGCGCCGGAATGAGCCTGTATCCCACATTGTCGATTTCGGATCTGGACAAAACTATCTAGGTCGGACACTAGCTAGTTCGCCTTACCACAAGCACATTATCGCGATTGAAAGACACCATCACAACATCAGCGGTGCCCAAGGAATGGATATCCATGCCATGCTTGCTGAAAAGAAACAAAAGAAGGTATATGTGCATAAACGCAAGACTTCTTGCAACGACTGCGATGGCAAACCGGATGTCGCAGATTCCAGCGAGACCTCAGCACCCCAGCCGCGTCCAGAAATGCCTCAATCATCAATAAATACACATTCTGCACCGGGAAATGGTACAGAGGACCAAGAAATAACTACATTCAAAATGTTGGGCCAAATCGACTTGGGTCCCAACGAATTGCGAGCTTCTTCATCCAAAAAGCAATCGCAGCGACAAAAGCCCGAGGAAGCTGAAATCGACACCCGCGGCAAGCTCAGCTATATTGAGCATGATATATCAGACGGATACCTGGAACCTATAATTAACCATGTGGTGAACCCCTCCCCGTGGCGGACCCCAATGAAATCCAAGACTCAAATGAAACTTCAATCACGGTGAATTTGGACGACGAGCAACCGAGCGACGCTCGTGTCATGGTTGTTTCTCTCCATTCATGTGGCAATCTGTTACACCATGGTGTCCGATCTTTGGTCTTAAACCCGTCAGTTGTGGCTGTTGCAATGATCGGTTGCTGTTACAACCTCATGACCGAGCGGCTGGGGCCTGCAACTTATAAGCTTCCAATCCTCCGCTCCCTTCATCCACGGTTGAACCAAACTGGAAACTCGTATGATCCGCATGGATTCCCAATGTCTCAGCGCTTCGAAACACACGAAAGTGAGGGTGCTACTGGAATGAAGCTTAACATCACTGCTCGCATGATGGCCGTTCAAGCGCCCTATAACTGGGGCCGCGAGGAAAGTGAAGGCTTCTTTACCCGTCACTTCTTCCGCGCTCTGTTCCAGCGGGTACTCCTCGACCGAGGTGTTGTACCCCAGCCCGGTATTCCTAAGGATCTTTACAATGATGATGGTGACATCGATAGGCCCCCGCCACTTATTCTTGGATCTCTGCGCAAGTCGGCTTTCACGTCTTTCGCTGCATATGTACGAGCGGCTACTGTTCGACTCAGCCGGGATCCCCATCATGGTATGAAAATTCGGGAGCACATTTGTACAATGAGCGATGATGAGCTTGATCGCTACGAAAACGAATATCAGTATGCCAGGAAAAATCTCAGTTTGGTATGGAGTCTTATGGCTTTCAGTGCACAGGTCGTTGAGGCGATTATTGTGACAGATCGATGGCAATTTTTACGCGAGCATGATTCAGTCAAGGAATGCTGGGTGGAACCTGTTTTTGATTACTCTATCAGTCCTCGCAACCTGGCTGTCATCGGAATCAAGGCATAATTGCAGCTTCCTCGCAATAATTTCTCACCTTCAATAGATACAGCAGATGAAGAATACATTTGGTGCTGAAAATACCTACATCTGACAAAGGCATTCAGGGCAGTTATAAATACACAAATAGTAATGAAGAGAAAAATGGCTATAACTGCTACATCGATCTAACATTTATATTTCTCGTCCCAAATCTAGTTTCGACCACCACAGAAATTGTAAACAAACTTGAACACATGAGACATCTAAACGGGTTGCAATACCCTCAAATTCCTTCCGGACGAAAATGATACCCAAACTCGACCTCGGGAACTTGAACCCAATGCATCTCTGATTTCCCAAGGGTTAGGTGTTTGTCTCTCTTGTCGGATCACAACTTCCACTCGTGAATATTGGCCAAGCCATTCACTCCCGACAAGTCCTCTCGGTCTAGATATCCGCAAATCCTGCCCTGGGGGTCCCGCTTGCGGCGAATATCCATCAATCGCTTAGCGTTATCATCGGCCCAGAACTTCGTGCGTCGAACTTGAAAGTCCGAGTCTCCTAAGTAGGCGCCCACTGAATGACGCTCAACCTTTTCCATAATATTCTTCACCCATGCACGACAGCGAGTATCGTCTGACTCATCCTCCCATACCGTATACAACGCGAAATAGTGATCCGACTGCATGCTTAAAGCCATATCTGGGAGCTTCCTTCGGCTACAGGGGTTCATTGCATACCATAGCGAGAACGCCTTGCGATGCGGAAGTGTCGTAAATGCCTCCTCCAAGACTCTCGGGACATCCGCGTCGTTGTCAATGTACGCATTGTCAGTGCAGTAGCGATGCTTCTCCGGGTTTGCATTGGCCTGGTTGTTATACTGATTATCGAGGCTGTCTTCATTGCAAAACCACTCGCTAGTCGTCCCAGTTGGTCTGGTCTCTTGCGCCCGTTTCAGTGCCATTTCTGCTTCTTCGGGGCTATGCTTCATGGTCACAAATAGAACAAAAAGTGAGATCTCATCTGCGCCTTCGGGGTATTGTGAGACTACCGCAATCTCTGTATCGCTGTCGAAGGAAGGTGCAATAGCTATGATCCATTTGAAAACTTGGTGATAAAGACTGATTGGATAGATGTAGCCAGCTGATCGAAAGCCTTTTTCTGGATACGGAATCAGGTCGAGATGGAACCTGGCCACAACACCGGGGAATCCTGGCCTTTAGGTCAGTCACAATTCAAGTATTTTCTTTTTTATATCTGCCATTTTCCACTTACCTGGGCCGGCCCCACGGGCTGCCCAATATAGATCTTGGTTTTGAGAGGCATTGCAGTGAACCAAGTCGCCATCCGCAGTTACCACATCGAGTCCCTGGACTCTTTCGCAAGCCCAACCCCAGTTCTGAAGTCTGTTAGAACATACATTTCGGTGATTTCAATACCATCAAACTGCTCTCACCTTGCAATTCCATCCCATTCCACCCTGGAGCAAGAACCCGCCTAAGCCGACATCTGGGCAATGGCCCCCCCGGAAACATGAGCCCATGCTCTTTGTTCAGGACGGCGTTTACCTCACGTCCTGTCATGCTAGTTGAAACACGTGCTACACGGTTCTCCGCGTCTACTTCGATGCTTTTGTAGTTCCCCAAGTCAATCAGGATAGAGTTGTCTCGAACACTCCACGCCGCCCAGGAATGGCCTCCGGATCGCACAGCGACACGACACTTTCTTTCCACGGCCAGCTTCACGGCAGCAACAATATCTTCAGAGGAGCAAGCCTTCACGACCGCCAGTGGAAATCGGTCCGGGCGGCGGTGATTGAAGACTCGGCCCACCCTAGCATCTTCGTACGTGGCAGCATCCGCCTCTTCTTTCCAGACAATATGCATAGTTGGTGACTTCTTAGGATGTTGTTTGGGTAGGTGATAGATTCAAAGTCTTGCGGTGATATCTGTATTTGTAGTTCTTGGATAGACTTGGAGCATCGGATATTTGGAGGGGAAAGTACAATATCAAGTGGTCCACATCCCGAACTCCCAAGTATCCCATGGATGTAGTTCTTATACCCCGCAAAATGGAAATCTCCCCACTTCAACATCCCCACAACTTAAAAGTCTCTCGGGATATGGATGACGCGTGTTCTTTTTCTTTTCTTTCTCCCTCTGCGATACTTCTCAGATAGGATGCAGTGATTGCTCAACTTTTCATTGTTTTGTCACCTGACCTTCAACGTCTCCCTCTCTCCTTTGGCCACTCATTACACCCAACTTGAACTGAGATACACACTTGCGTCTCCTCTTCACGCCGGTCCTTCATATATATTTGAGCTTTCCTTCCCTCCTTGCTCCCGATCAAATGTTTCTGTCAGTTTCCGAAGCTATTTGGAAGCAGCCGCCATCCTACTAACGTGTTGATGGTACCGTTTGAGTGTAGCAGTATCGATTAACCGCCTTGATGCTGATCTGAACGAACCTCTGAGCAGTCCGCCTGGCAATGTTTGTTTTCTAACCGCCCCGAGGTGACACGTCATTGAATGCTCTCTTGATCACACTCTCAGTTGCGCCACCGCTTCTCTCAGCCGTCGATTTATTTGCCAACGCCACGAGGAACTGCGCATATGTACAAGCTGGCCCAATTCAAAACCGATCAATCCAACGCCGTGCGAGTACTCTCGCTGAGATTTTGCCGAAATTCGATCGTCACCATTGCCTCTTACAATCCGGTCGGGTTCGTCGCGCTTCCGGGCGTTAACATAAGCCACCTCTTACGGCCGGTTCCCTTCGTGGTGAAATATTTCGATCAAGAATAATGAGCTATCTCCAGTCAAGTCTTTTCTTCTTGCACAGCCGCGATGACCACCGATGACCACCGAATTTGGGTTCAAGGACATGTTTTGTGCCTTCCGGCACATTTCCAACTACACGCAATGAGCCTATTCCCTCCGTAACGTGCTCAATTGCCACGATAACAGGCGGTCAACGATAGATGCCACCAGACCGATGCCTTGTTTTCAGTACTATTCTGCCAGATCCCAAGAAAATATTCTCAGCCAAACAAAAAGAAAGCTATATAGCTCTCGATATCTGGAAGAGTCAGACCACAATAATCAGTTCAAGCAGTAGTCTCCCCGAGGCCTCAAACCTGTAATTCGGGTCACGGGTACAGCCCATTGAATACGATAACAATATGCAGGGCCTGCATATCGATCAGACCTTGAGCGGCTACTATGAAGCTCCGATCAGTATTTTGAATATGCGGTTAGAAAACAGTATATGCGTTTCACAATCTCCCCATTCTTGCAGCTGACAACCTTTGAAGTAATCGAAATTCCCAAGAGACATAGTAGAAAACTTTGGGAATACCCTGTCTGATGGTAAACGATAGCGGGTGGTGGTTTTATATAGAAACTGAGTTTACTGGGATTGAGAAAAAAAATGTCATAGATGACTTTGTTCCGGTGATCAAAAACATACAGCCAAGGAATATTGCTTGCATGCACAGTAATTTGACATGAGGAATAATTTGATGTGATAGATTGATCTCTTTTTCAAGTCATCGGCCTTTGCCGAAGTTTGTAAACTTCAGGAAAACGAAATCTTCCCTGGACATTTCCAGTTGATTGATGCCTCACCGACCACTCAATTTGCCCTCTCCCTTCCATCTCTATTGGTGGCTGTGGCCAGCAGAGGTCGAGGTATGTGATAATATCGGGCGTTGAAAGCGGCGCCCGTAGAGGACGCGGAAGTCGGGATCCTGGTCACTAGATGAATCGAATCTGTTAGGCGTTTTGCAACGAATGGAAAGTTCAAGAAACGTGATTGTCTCCATGTTGGCGGCCCACCAGCCGATGAGACCGGCGGCTTGTCCACGTCCACGTTCTTTTACGAAATCATCGCGGTGCCACTGGCCGCTGCGGACGTAGCCAGTTAGTACATTCAGACCACGAGACTTCTCTTCCAGGCTAATTGGACGGTTGGATGGGCTAACGACTATCATTCGTTAGCCTTTGTAGCATATAACCTTCGCATATATCAAGCCCTAACTCACAGCAACCGGAGTGCATCTGGCGAAGATGGCGCCGGAACTCTGTTTGTGTAGCAAAGGTTTGACTACACTGCCAGTGGTCAGAAGGGTCCTCGACCACTGGACAAACCAAGGTGTTCATTTTCGACAGGTGGAGGCGAGGGTTCGGGGGTTGATCACTGGGATTGTTAATATCCGCTGCTTTGATAGGTAGTAATTGCCTGCGGCGGCGGCGTTTAGGAACGCCTCGGGCTTCCAGCCAGGGTTCGGATTGATCACGGGGCCTTCATATGTAGTAGTTAGCGAATGTCTTCCAGATATAAGAACTTGAATTGAACGGACCGTGGTGGTAGCCAAAATTTGGGCTGGGGTTCTGCTCAACACCGACCCCAGGGCCCTCGAAATAAGCACAAGGAAGAACGCTTGGGAGAAGAGCGAAGTTGTTTGGGTCAGCCATAGTACTGAGTTGCATATGCTTGAAAGCGCAAATGAGATGAGAACTTCAGATTGAAAGAGAAGGGGATTCAGGTGGTGGTGGAGGTCAAGGAGTTGTTTGCATCGGCCGTACAAGCTCCCGGGTTGGCTCCCAAGTTCAAGTGATTGTTAGTACTACTGTTAGTATTTTTCAAGCTCTGAAGTAGCATTCACTAAAGGAAGACACACTCGGTCATTTGACATTCAACGGCAGGAGAAACTTCAAGTACTTTTCGAGTAGTAACAACCAGTGCTAACTACTAGTAGTACCTAGGTAGGTACTAGTACTTCGCCGGAAGTAAATTTGTAGCAACCAAACTCCATACCAATTAGATATATTGAAATCAAAAGCAAGAAAAGAAAGGAAGTATGGTGCTGTCAATTGGATTTATATAATTAAGCTTCATATACGCTTAGGTGTGCAGGATAATGAAATCTTGGCCCTTTGGCCCGTAGTCAGTTGAAACCTGTTGTTAGTATTTGTACACAGCGTTGCAGTAGAAGACTGTTCGATACCAGTTGGATAGCAATTTAGAGCCCTAGAGGGTCAATGCGTGCATTCTTGGCTACAAGCCGGGGAAGGAATATCAAAGGCCTCATTTCTCCTAGCCTCAGGCTTTCTATATTCGATACCACTGAGGACCCCCAGCAAAATGGGCAGTCCCAGAGCACTTTTCTAGTCTTTTTTTGGCGGGATGTTTCTGATCAAGCATGAATCTCCGCCTTCATCGCCACGACATCGCCGGGGCCCACGATCTGGACATGCGACGCACCCTTTTCCCCTTCCTCGAGCACCACACGATACTCATCACCGGCATATAGTGGGCTAGTAGCCCGGTATGAGATGCGCTGGGGGATCAATAGAGGTGCTTCTTCAGCTGCTTGTGTCTGACTCCGAATGTCGCGCCATAGATCCAGGATGGAGATTAGATTCAAGGGTCCGTGAACGACGATATCCTTGTGACCCTCAACATCTCGCGCCCAGGGTAGAGAGTAGTGGATCTTGTGTGGATTGAATGTGAGAGCGGAGAAACGGAAGAGCGTAACGGGGGGTTTGGAGGAGGGTGCGTGAATATGTGTTGCCCTCGGTGACGATGGCCGATGAGGTATGACTCGGAGTGGTCAGATGGGAGGTGCTCGGGGGTAATGATGATGATTGTGCCGTCGAAGAGGCTGATGGCGTAGGTAGGGCCTTGCGAAAGACCCAATTCCTGTGGACAGAAAATGGCGCGTTAGTTGGGGTTGATCTCTAAAGCTACCCTAGAGCCAGACACATACCTGCGGTCCACGATGGAGACGCCATTCTCGTTGGAAAACTCCTTCTCAACACCCACTACTACCATATCCTCGCCAGTCTTCTTGACGACTTTGGCCTCGGCACTCAACACGCGTGTTGTCTCGGTCACTTGCTGCCCCACGCGTAGTGGGTTTGGTCGACCCTGGGCATCGCGAGGCCAGCTCACTTCACCCCCAGCCCACATGCGGCGGGTGAAGGGTGATTCGGGATTGTATGAGGTATCAGTTCCATCAGCACCGAGCTCGGTTTCCAAAAAACCCGGGGTGAAGTAGACGAGGTGGTAACCCGGTGGGACGGGGGTGTGATGCGACGGAGCGAGCGCGGGGGTGGCGGGGAATAGCGAGGGACGGTTCAATGTGAGTGTCAAAAGGTTCAACTGGTTGGCATCGAGAATCTGAGTATGGCTTTGAGGGCCCAAGGACTGAAAACGCGAGAGGAATGAAGCAGCGACTGACGAGGCTGGCAGATGCGGAGATGCGGAGGAGAAGCGGACGGCGCGAAGAAGAAGCCGGGGCAGTCGAGGACGAGAGAGAATTGGTGAGAGTGAGAGGGACATGGTTGTGCAGGGATAATTAGAAGAGAAATTGAGAAGAATAGAAGTATCAAAATAAAGAAAGTGAAATCAAGGAGGGTTGAAGAGGAAATAAATGTATTCTTGGCTGGCAATGGTGGTGGTTGAAGTAGCCGGAGTCGGCTGTATGCAACTCTCCATCTACAACAATTTTGATATTTTGATATTTTGATATCCACCGATTTCCAAGGTTGACCCCCATTAATGTGTGGTTTTGAATTCTCGGCTACATACATCTGCACTACTACTACTATCTCCTACAGTTTTGCCTTTGCGTTTTCCATCAATCGACTGTAAATCTGCTGCAGCCGTCGTCGATTCACCTCGTCCACCTGGGGCTTGCATTGTTGGAGACTCAAGGGACCCCCAAGCTGCTTCAACCAGTAAGACCGACCACAATCGAACATCCAATGTCGTGAAGCTACTTGTACTAGCTCCGCCAGGAAACACTGCGGTGCATTGAGGTCCTCGGTAAAGATCACTCGAGGAAGATCATGGAGAACAGCAGGCGGCGCATTGCTGACAGCCATCTCCAAGAATGCGTCAAAAGTGAAGGGTTCATAGAGCTGCGCACCGACCTGCACAATACCCGTCGTTCGTGCAGCAGCATGTAATAAACATGCGTTGGCGACAAAGTCTACAGGAATCTCGTCGATGATGTTGGCGCCGGTCGTGTATCCCGCTGCTGCATGCCATACCTGTGTGGCGCCGCGGTCGGCCAAAAAATACTGGAAGAACTTATTCATCGGGGTCGAACTCTCCAGTCCATACAAGGGAAATGGATCTCGTAAAGCCTGGCCGAAAATGGTTGGTCGTACCAACAAGATGGGCAGCAGGGGGAACCGACGTGGGAGAAGTCGTTCCATGATATACTTGGCCTGCGCGTAGGGTGAGGAGAATCGATTCGCAATGGGGGACTGATTTAATTTCAAGATCGATGCTAACTCTTGCTCGGGGTCATCATCTCCATCATGATCGGGGAGACTATACGGTCGCTCTAACACTGGCCCATCGGGCAAGAAGCTGTTGGCGTACGCTGTGGATAGTTGAATGAGAAGCTTTAGCCGGCGGAACCGTGAAGCAATCCGGGCCATTTCCAATGCTGGGAGACAATTGTTCTCGAAGGCATCCACTAAACTTGCCTCGAGACTGATTTTGGCTGCTGTGTGGATGACCAGAGTAACCTGCTCGCGCAACTCCTCGAGCACCTCACTCTTGAGGCCAAAGTCCGCCGTCCGCATGTCCCCCACAATACAGTGCACTTTCCCCGAGGCTAAAATAGCCTGCACCTGGTCAGGCATGGATTTGGTCCATTTCTCGATTGCCTGCGCTGGTTCGCCTCGGATCAGGGCAAATATCTTGCGGGTAGGTAACTGGAGGGCCAGTTTGTATAGCAAACATCCTCCAAGCGATCCGGTGCTGCCCGTCAACAAGACGGTATGCCCCTCGAATACCTTGTTATAGCCTTCACGTAGGATATACTCTTGGGAAGATGCCGAGCTAGGGAGCGACGACATTGTGGTAGGTCCTAGCAGAGCTTCATTTCCTCCTGTGTGGTGCCTATTTCAGGTTTATATTGTGAATCGTACATGCTGTAATTTCTCAAGGATTGAGTATACCTTGGTAGGACAGAGTTACTATTATCCAATGTCACTCTGGGCATGTTTTTTTCCTGGGTGGCCTTCGACTGGTCCGGACTTGGTTCTGGTTGGGATTTGCGACGGCCCATTTGGTACCACTGCGCTTTGTAGGGTGAGATCGAAACCAACATGTGCAGCCGAGGCTTTCTGGAGACTTGCAAGCATGACATGGTACATACTAGAGTAGATGTTGATTGGAATCGCATGGTTCCTTGGCGAACAGGTGGTACATGTACGACCCTGATCTCGGGCTCCATGGGTTGGCCTACATGTGAGAGCCACCTTCGGCCGTGAAAGGCATATGGTTTTCATAACCTTAAAGAGGGGCTTTTAACTACTAGTAGAAGGTACACATGACCTAGACTTCAGCACTAAACTTGTGATGCAACCACGAATTTAATTCCCAGTCCATCTAGTCTTCGAAGAACCACGATGCATGATTCCAGCAAGACTCCGTATTACCAAAATTATTAAATACAACATGTACCAGTAGACTTAATGCATATTAACTAACTAACTAATATTAATTAACTAACTAATATTAACTAACTAACTAATATTAACTAACTAACTAATATTAACTAACTAACTAATATTAACTAACTAACTAATATTAACTAACTACGGTATTGACCTAACTAGTCCACCTGCCCTGAATAGATCGTGTTGGACTTCCTGACTTATTTCTTGCTGTCTTCTTCCAACTCTTCAACTATCTCAATATCATGATTCAAAACTTACCCGACAATCTAAATAAAACTCCCTAGAAGATGTCAATCCATTTGTATATCCTTTTTATACTCCCTTTATACCAATTTGTATACTTCGGGGAGGTCGGTGCCAACTCCGAAACCCCAGTCACCTGACCCGTCCAGTCCATCTTCAACTTCTCAACTTCTCAACTTCACCTGGACAAGTTCAACTTCATCTTGCATTCTCATTCTCATTTTTACGCTGAGGTGATGCTACTGCCGCACCTACGTACAACTCTTCGGGCGCGACCTCGATGCCCCATCCGCCTAGCTGCGCGGTGTGTATCCTCGGTGCCCCTTGTGCGCATTCAAGATGGTACTTTCTACCGCCGATACCCAACCGAGGATAAACAAGATGCCTTGACCAACCCGCCATTATTCCCTAAACTGAACTTCAGTCTCCCTGCGAAGCGATCCTCTCCGGAACAGAGTCTGCAGCATTGGGCCATCATCGGTCCATCCGGCCGCACCGACTTACTCGACATCCTCCGAGGCCTACATATCTCCATTCCACCGACCGCGCGCTCATACCCCTACCTGCGCACCGACGAAATTGCCGCAAAGGATCCGAAACTACGAGAAGTTGGCAATGCTATACAATACATCGGCTTCAGCGGCGAGGGATCCGGGGCCATTGGAGGTACCCGTGGTGCATATCTGAGTGCCCGGTATGAAAGTCTTCGCGAGGAGACCGATTGGACGGTCGAGCAGTTCCTTCGCGGCCAAACATCTCTGAATCCCATGGAAGGGGAAGAAAAGGGAACTGTCCGGGATGAGAAGCTGCTTGAGGAGGTAATTACCGATTTGCGCCTGGGTGCCTTGCTCGACATGCCGGTTGCGAATCTCAGTAATGGCCAAACTCGACGGGCGCGCATCGCAAAGGCCCTACTGAAAAAGCCGGAGCTTTTGCTGCTGGATGAACCCTTCAGTATGTTGTCCAATCATCCTCATCGCCTCGTTCGACGGAAGCTAACTCATTTCTAGTGGGACTGGACCCGGCCACAGTACGAAGCATCTCTGGGCTACTCCTTCGTTTGGCTGATAAATGTTCGCCGCGCCTTGTCCTAGCTCTGCGCCCGCAAGATACAGTGCCAGATTGGATTACTCACACAATGCTGGTTGGAAATACTCACCATGTCCTAGCACAAGGAACTCGGCCTGAGATGAATCAAGTTCTACAGACCTGGCGCAAGCTCACGGACCCTTCCCAGGCCAAGGATAAATCTGCAAACCTCGAAGATAAACCTATCTTGCTTCAGGCCCAAAAGGACCTTAAAGCAGGTAATCTTGACCACGAGTTGCTTCGGGACTTCACTGCGAACCAGAAGGCCTCAAATCGGCTCAAACAGCGCGAAACACCAATCGGGGGCGAAGCCCTGATTGAAATGGATGGCGTTCGGGTTCAATACGGCGACAAGGTCGTTCTTGGTAACTGGGAGCAGAATATCGAGAAACAACCCAAAAAGGGTCTTCACTGGCGTGTCCGGCGCGGCCAGCGCTGGGCCATCCTGGGCGCCAACGGATCTGGTAAAACGACCCTTCTGTCGTTAATCACCTCCGATCATCCTCAAACATACTCGCAACCTATCAAAATCCTTGGCCGCTCTCGCCTGCCCGAGGCTGGCAAGCCGGGGATTTCTATATTCGAGCTACAGTCCCGGCTGGGTCATTCCTCGCCCGAAATCCACGCCTTCTTTCCCCGTCAATTATCAATTCGTGCTGCCCTGGAATCTTCCTTTGCCGAGACCTTCCTCGCCCGGCCCAAGCTTGATCACGAGCGCGATCTAGATGTCTCCGCGGCTTTGCGAGAGTTCAAGGCTGAGTTGGATCCCAATGCAGCCTCTGCGCTGTCCAAGCCTCCCAAGATCGCGGATTCTGATCTTTTCCCCAAATTAAAGACGAAAGGCCAAGGCAATCCTACTCCTTATATACCTGATGACTTTGAAGTCGACTATGCCGATCAGGTGCTTTTCGGTCAACTCACCACCGCGCAACAGCGCATCGTGCTGTTCCTCCGCGCTCTCATCCACAAGCCCGATATTGTCATCCTCGACGAGCCGTTTTCCGGCTTGACGGCCTCGCAACGCGATAAGTGTCTGAGCTTCTTGGAAAATGGCCAATCCGTTCGACCTTCCGAGAACGTGCGACACCAGGGTCTATCCGATGAGCAGGCTCTGCTCATGATCAGTCATGTCAAAGAAGAGATCCCGGATTCCGTCCGTTATTACATGCGTCTGCCATCCGAATCAAATGACCCATCCGCAGATCCTCTTGATTTCCGATTTGGCGTGCTCAAATCTTCGAGCAACCTAGGCGATGCGAAAACGTGGAATGTGGCTTGGTCTTCACCAACCGAGTTCAAGAAGGCTACGAGGCGCAGCTTTCGCCGGGCCAGCAAGGAAGAAGCCCAGTCCGACTTTTCAACCTACGAATATTTCACAGCATGAGGAACATCTTTCACTCTTGCACACAGTTTGGCGCGGCTCCCTGCCTCTCCCGCATCCCCTCACCCATACCGTCCGAGCCAAAGGCTCCAGTCTCTCTGAGCCCCGACGTGGGGGAAACTCGTCCCTTAGATGTAAGCGAGGCGGTCTCATGGCCAAGCGAGTCTCCCTGGAGCTGAAGGATTGCATCTGCCCACTTTATACTAAGATTATGATGGATCTCGGGTATCCACAGGCAGAACTTCCATGCCTCATAAGAGCCAGAAACCGCTGTCCACCAGTCGCAAGACTTACGTGGCAAATTCACTCCGCTGCCCTGTATGGGGGATTTCTGGTACACCATACTCATTCACGTGGGGGGCCATTTTGTTGGGGAATGAATCGCATAAATAGATGATAGAAAGCGTAAATTGTACAAAATGCAAGGATATATACTGCCTTAAAAGGCCCACAAGAAAAACAGTCATTACAATTTCGCTTTGAACGATTGCCGCAAAGAATCCAGACTTGAGGGACCGTCGTATATTTGATGCTCGGCCATCCGCGTGTTGATCTAGCGAAAGAAGGAGATGTCAGCCAATGCACGTTTTGAAATAGAAGATGGTAACATACATGTTGAAGGCCAAGCTCGTTGACGTTTTCTACGCCAAGTAGTCGCATGCAGGTTTTGCTTTCGTCTGCCAGAACTGTACCACGATAAACAATTAGCGAAATGCAGGGCGATCAATGAAATCTGTTGTTGACTCACTTTGCAACGTCCGACGGACACCATCAACGCCACCGGCTGCGAGACCCCAGAGAGCAGCCCGGCCGAGACCAACTGCTTTTGCGCCCAGGCAAAGAGCCTTGACGATGTCGGTACCACGGCGGATACCGCCATCGACGTAGACCTCCAGTTTATCGAGAACTTCAGGGCAGTATTTTCGGATTTCAAGCAAGGTGTGTACAGCAGGCGGTGCGGTATCCAAAGCTCGACCGCCATGGTTGGAAAGTATGATTCCCCTGACCTGTGGAGTGTGCAATGAGGCAATGTATGCATCCTCATGTGTTTGTAGACCCTTCAAGACGATGGGAAGGTCGGTCTGTTGAGCAAGCCAGGGCAACGTTTCATGCCAGCGTAAGGAGGGATCGGTACCGGCGAACAGTTGTTGGCCGACACCTCCAGAGCCTCCAGAAACATCAGGGGTGTCGTCCGATGTTCGTTCGGCCGCCTTCACGCCACTCGAAACTGGAGCAGCTGCACCGACCAAGCTGTTGCGCTCGTCATCCTCCCGCTTTCCTGGGACCGGTGCATCGAGCGTGAGGACGATGAACTTGATTGCCTTGAGCTTGTTGATGCGGGCCAACATAGCCTCACTCTTCTTGCGGTCTGTTTGGACATATAGCTGCCAGCCAAAGACCTGATTGGGTGCGGCATCCTTGACGATTTGCTCGGGGGTCATAGAAGCATTGTTCGAGATGATCTGCATGGCTCCGAAGCTGCGACACGCCTCAGCCATGCCCGCCTCTCCGGCAGGGTGACCCAGACGCGCCATGGCGGCGGGGGCGATGAAAAAGGGCAATCCGACCTTGTGGCCCAGGATGGTGGTGTCCAATTCACATCGGGTGCAATCGACAAAGACCCGCGGACGAAGAAGGATTGATTGATAGATTCGATTGTTGAATTGTTTGGAGAACTTGTCGTCCGACGCAGACGAATAATACGCCCATGCCTTCTGGGTCACTTGTTTCGTAGCCACCTCTTCGATCTCGTCAAGATTGAGGAGGGTCTCCACGGGCGGAGGACCTTGTACTGGCTCCGATGCCTCCGCAGCGGGTTCCTCCTTGGCTAGAGTGCTGGCATCGACAGTCCCGAGGCATGCTTCGGGCTTCAGCTCCTCCTCCAAGATTCCCGGGGGGTGAATGGGGTCATATTCCTCGGTCGCATCGGTGCCGGAGAGCTTCAAGATGATTTTCGCACCCCCAGGGTGACTAGACAAGAAATCGGTGACCTAAGACTCGCGATTGTATTAGCATTCGGCCTGTTTATAAGGGGAGGAGTGGAAGGGAGGAACGAGCGCACATCGTAGACCTTGCCGTAGAGTATCACCCAGCAGCTTTCGCGAGTGTTGTGTTTGGCAACTTTAAATACTCTTTTGTTAGCTCGAGCAATGCGGGGAGGCGAGCACTAAGACTCGGGCTTAAGCAATTCTGTTGGAATCAAGGTACCTTCTGCGGCATCAAATATCTTGGCCATTGTTGCGGGAACCTACTAGTATCGCTGGATTATTTCACGACGAGACGAGCGAGCAGGAAAAGACCAAAGCAGGGCAGGGCGAGTGTTGAAAAAGGGCCTTTCGGAGAACCCGCCGTGCGGAGTGTGGGGAACAGGTTGGAAGGGGACCGGTGTCTGCTCCGTTGGGCAAATTCGATAGCCGGGATCAATGGCAATTGGCATTTGAATTTGAATTCTCGCAGGCATCATTGGTGGGAGAATGGTGGAGATATGTGGGGGTCAATTTCCCACGAGTCGAGATTGAGTAAGGCCATCGTCTGGATGATGCAGACCGCAACGTGGGGGTCGGATTTGGTCTCCCGAGAGGCAGAGCAGAATGAACCCTGGAGCAGTGGTGTTGATGATGGTGGTGGTGGAGGAGAAGAAACGGGACTCGGAGTGATGAAGTAGAAGTTGAAGTGATGAAGGTGCTTGCATCACGTGTCGTACTATGCCCTCAAGCTGCAGCTACGACTACTATATATATCTCCAGGGCTTCAAGCTTACCTACCAATACTACTACTAGTAGTACAAGTACTTTCACCCGGTCTTCAGGATTTACGGTATAATAGTACTAATAAAAGTCAATCTTATTTCCAATTTGAATCTCCCAATAACCGTGGACTCTTTTTGATTTGCCCACAACGTACTCGGACTCGGGCATTGTACAAGGGGCCCAGCCCTGGAAGCGCCTCTGGTCACGATCCAAAAAAGAGCACCCGACCGTGCAAGAAGGTCTGTTTTCGTTTGGTGACACGCAGTCACCATTGCCTTCATGATAATCGCAATCGGCTTCAGCTCGACTCGTCCCTGAACAACAACTTCGACGTATTCGAATACCCATTTCACCAACATGAGATCTTCATCGAGGTATTCACATGCGGGATTTCCAAGAATGTTTAAACAAAGGATGAAGAAGGGGATGAACTGGTACAGTAAGATGAGACTAAGGGCGTGCTTTAGCGACTTACGCAACGGATTCGTGGAAGGGGAACGAGAGTCTGCATACCTAATTCCCCATTGCGATGAGCATTCTAGGAGTGTCTGGAAGGTCTTCACTGATTTTCTGGCCAGATCAATGGCCGGATATGGTAGACTATCACCCTGATCACACTTCTTTGATTGATGCAGCACAATAAGCATCGTATAGCTGTTGAACAGCACGTCGACACAGAGCCAGATATCGATATGCTCTGTCGCCATTCGAAGAAGGCTCTCCTTATTTGCTGTTAGCACAGAGTTGCGGACTCTGCCATGCAGTAGGGACACCAAAGACAAGCATAACGTACCATATCCCAATCCGACAAAATAGACTGCACCTCATCGCTATAACCATCAATGATAGTATCGTGCGAAGCTGCATCCAGTTGGGCATCGCTCTCAATCCAATCGAGATACCTCATCACAGTGAAAGCAAGCCTCATCGAAGAAATAAAGTGAATCTGTATGAAATTTGACTTTCCATCGTCCACGCCATTAATTGTCGGGTCGGGGAAATCAACCTTCCACGATCCTGCAGGAATAAGAGCAGGTTTGCCGAAAGACATGCGAAAAATACAGTCTGTACGAAGGATATGCCAGAATCCGAAGCGTTTGCGGTTTCGCTCGACCTCGGCTTCTGGTGCGGCTGTACCGACTGGGATGGACTGTTGATCGTTCTCTGCACTTGAGAATTCGTCCACGGAGAAGTAGCCGAGGGCCTTTGCCACTCTGCATGAATGACTGAAGGCTTTCCAGGCTAGATTTACATTGCAGCCTTCGAGCGCTATTGATATCTAGTATAAGCCTGTTAGCAACGTGGGTTGGATGTAGACAAGGCTATGGATGGTTAATGGATACGCGATGTGCTTACCATCAGAGAAACGGCTAAGAGGTCGGTAGGGGTGTCCTGGATATTCTCCATCCATCCGTCGCTTAATGCAACGCACTTCGAATAGAGCGTTTGGATTAAGTTGCCTCTTCTTGGGTGTGCCTCGGCGTCCATCATACAGGCCCGGAGCAGAATTGAGTAGTATATTATTTGAGACGTATAATCTAGCTGAATGTGAGGGTTATCGATTAAGTCAGGGATTGCAGCCAAGAAGTCTTTCTTGAGAGGGTACTGGAAGCCTTCGAATTGGTAACGGCCATAGTGGTCTAAAAGAGTTAGAATATCGACGGCTATAAGTACGAGTTAGGTATATACTTGCCTTCGATGAGCCTCTTAGCGAGACTTTTCGAGATGTCGGGGTCCCCCAGCAGCTCGACGCTTTTCGGATTCTGCAGAGATTCGATCTCCGATATAGCGGAGGTGATCGCGCGGATAGATCGACTAGTGAAAAAGCACGAATTAAGATGTTTCAGGCAACAGAAAACGTTGGAGAGAAGGGAGTGTCGAGCATCTTCATCTTTGATACTGTTAACAAGATTTTGAATCGGCGAGGGGGCTATTGGTGGCGGATCTTCGCTCAGCGGTGGTGTCTGAGAGGCGTCTGAACCGACTGAAGTACTCGGCAAAGAGCAATGTTTTTCAAGACGGTCAAGACGGCCGAGGATATCTGAAAACAGATTTTCCTTGACTGGAGGATTTCTGTAAAAGCTAATCAGCTCCATGGTGGTTCATGGTGGTTTCAAGTCCCCATTATAGGCAGATAATACCTGGGTTTCTTGGGTCGGGATTTCCGAGACGTGTAGATACACTCGGCTGTGACTTTCTCACAATTGGTACACCGCGGAATGACTCGATCGCAGCGAACCTGGTAGATGGTTATTCGGGTTGCAATACCTAGCTGGGTTGCTACAGGGAAGATCATATCGTTACCTTCTTGGACTGGCAACGACCACACTAGGTGGGAAAATAATGTTAGCGGCTGGTAATGATAGACGGAAATAAAAGGGAATGTGTATTACCGAGATATCGTGTAAGGTATGTGGATGTTGATCGTTCATTTTCCAGTGCATCAGATATGTAGTTGTGTACTCGTAGTTTGTGAGTAGATGGGGTGGCTGACAGAAGTCAGGCATTAAGGCAGCAAGGCATTAACTAGTTAACTAAGCATTAGGCACTCAGGCACCCAGGCATCTATATCCACCGGAGGAAAGATCTGCCGACCCCGACCCGGACCCCCAGGACCCCGCCAAGACCCGCCTCTTTCCTTTCTCGTCAAGCTTCAACTGCAACTCCGCAAGTCCGCACCTCCACAATTCACTCCTCCTCCTCCGCTCACGATAATGATAACTTGAAAATGTTCGAGGTTTGTCTCTTCCCTTTCCATCTTCTTTCTATTTCACTTTCCGGCTCTGGTCTTTCTAACCTTACACCCACCCCAGCGACGTGCCGCAGACCGATACCACCTCCGCATGCACCGTGCCCGATCGGCCGTTCTCACTTCCGACGAGATTGTCGAGGTCCGCGCTGCCCAGCGTACCTTTGAAGGAGCTTATGTCCGGACAGCTCTCTCCCAGTTCTCCTTTTCTCTGGTTGTCCTCAAGATCTTCACCGCCGAGTTCTACAGTATTGGTGCTTTGTTTGCCATCTATGGCACCGGCGTTCTCATCATCGGACTATTCCGTCGCTCTCAGGGGAATCGACAATTTTTTGCTGAACTCGGGGAAGATGGGATCCACCGTCATAAGTTCCGTACCAGCGGCAACGCGGTCCTCACCCTGACGGCGTTGAGCATCGCCGCCTATGTGTGCTTGATTGGTTTGACCCTAAATCTGAGCAACTAATTCCATTCATCCTGACTGGGGAAATATTTTCTCTCCAAGTTCCTTCATCCGCCCTGGTTATCGATAACCGGATAGCCAAAGCGCGGGAAGTCCCGTGGCAGGAAGACCACTCCAGCGCTCCAAATCACCGCTCCATCAGCCACCCGCATATTCTGGACGTTGCTGCAAGATAGCACACGATTTGTCCGACACGGACCATCCAATCGGTGGAATTGAATAAGCTACTTCCATTCTACAGCTCCGCCAGGTTCCGCTTTTGACCTTTTGAGTTGCTGTCGCCGTCGCCATCGTCGTGGGGTTTCCCAAGAGTGCTTTACCCGGCGTCCGATCTAGGGACTGGCACTCTCTGAGCTCCATTTCACCTTCTGGCCCTGGATCTGTCTCGATTATATCAGTTTGGTCCTTATTGTTCGGGGATTGCTCGTTGCGCCGCCCGCGACGGCCTGTTACTACCGCAAATGTCCCCGTCCGTTTCGATAGTGTAGACTCGAGCGACGAGTCTCGGCCACGATGCTTTTTATCTAGCATCTCTTGTCATTTACCATACCATCCAATCCAATCTACTATCTACCAGCATCTACCAGTACCTACCATCTTTGCTATCCGCAACAACAATGTCGTAGTAGTGCTTGTAGTACCGCTGACAACTGTTACTGTTGATACTCCGCGGGGCATTTTCAGACCGCCCTCGCCACCGCCCTCGTCGCCCCGCGAAGCTCCCCGCAATCCAATTTCCAATTCGAAACTTGAAGGCGACCAGCTTTCTCCTTCACACCCAATCGTCAAGATGGAATTCGACCCCAAGACGCGTGAGTTGGAATAGTCTAACCTCCATATTTCGAATACAAAAAGAAAGAAAGAAATGAGCTAACCCACCTTAGCCCAGTTCCTCACGTCAGACCCGTCGAGCTTCGCCTCGGTCTCCGCCAGCGACCGATGGCCGGTCATTCTCGTGCGTAACTTGGATCCGATACAGCAAGATGCGACACTCAATCACTGACTCCGGGTCGGCTACTATAGACAGGCGCAATCGATGACCTCCATCGGACTGTTGGCACTGTCACTGATGACGAAAAGGCCAAGGATGGCAAGAGCATCATCGAGCAACTGGCCAAGATGAAATATGAGTTACAGCATAACCGGCCATTAACGTAAGTATTCTGCTGCCCTATTCTTTCCCTCAATGGACCTTCACTAACCATATATGTGATCAGACCCCTGGAAGACGATGGTGAAGCCGACATTGCGAGCTACAACAAGGAACTGGCCGAGCGAGGCAACCCCAAATGGCATGACGTGGCGTGGCTCTATGCAGAATGCTACCTTTGTACGACGAGGCCCTCTGATAACATAAAAACGTACTGAGGCTGACCTCTTGCCTGCAGATCGTCGTATGGAAACATTCTTTGCCCTCTCCAAGCACTGGAAGGGATACGATGTCTTCGCTCGCCAGAAGATGTCTACCTTCAAATCTTCACGCCCTGCCGTCCTGGAACTGGCTACTCGGTACCGTGAGCTTGCACAGGACGCAGAGTCTGGTGTCTCATCGGAGGGTAAATCTCCTGAGGAGGTGGAGCAGGCCCAGCGGCTGCTCTTCTCCGAGATGTGCGAGATCTGCCTGTGGGGCAATGCCACCGACCTTTCGCTGCTCACCTCTCTCACCTACGAAGACATTCAGAAGCTGCAAGGGTCGGAGGCGCGGAAGGCTTCGCAGAAAAACATCATCGTTAATGACCTTGACGCGGCATTCGAAACCATGCAAAAGGCCCGTCGTGAGAAGAAGGATGGTGAGCGACGGGTGGACATCGTACTCGATAACTCTGGCTTCGAGCTATTTGTCGACTTGATTCTGGCCGGGTACCTGCTGTCCGCTGGGCTGGCAACCACGATTGTCCTGCACCCGAAGCGTCTCCCTTGGTTTGTGTCTGACGTTACACCCAAGGACTTTTCTGATCTGCTGAATTCGATGGCGGACCCGCAGGCCTTCTACACTGCCGCTGATGATACCGACAAGACCTATCCGCCCCTTGCAGAGAAGGAGGTCGCTGATGTCCAGTTCCTTTTTGAACAATGGAGCCAATTCCACCAAGATGGCAAGCTGATTATCCGCCCACACTCATTCTGGACCACCCAGGGCTGTTACTGGCGGATGCCTCATGTGGCTCCCGAGCTTTTCGAGGACCTGAAGGAAAGCGAGCTCGTGCTTTTCAAGGGCGATCTGAACTACCGCAAACTGACCAACGATGTAAGCACACCCGGCTTTCTTTTCTTTCTCGATACTAACCTTTGCTTAGGCTGAATGGGACCCCACCACCCCATTCAAAACCGCCATTGGACCGATGGGTCCCCAGTCAGGAATTCGTGTCCTGGCATTCCGGACTTGCAAAGCCGACGTCGTGGTCGGCTTGCCTGCCGGCGAGGACGAGAAGCTTCGTCAACAGCCTAATGGGGGTGGTGCTGATGCGCGCAAATGGGCCTGGAGCGGGAAATGGGCCGTGGTGTCATTTTCTGACGGCAAACAATAGAGTGTCCGCGATATAACCGACCGCTTGTCGGCATGTGTGGAAAGATTTAGACTGTGTTCCAGTGTGCATTCGAGAAGGAATAGATCTCAGTAATAGAGTCCACTCATAAACTAGTATTCAATCAATCCAGCCATTTCCATCATTCATGCCCCCCCCCAAGTCCATGGATAATCTTCAGGGCTCCCAGCTGAGCTCTGGGTGAAGCCGACCCAACCTAAATCAGCAATCCGGTCAGAGGGCATCACCCTGGTAGGATTTTATGCTTGGCATGACCGGCGTAGGGGTCAAATGCGTGGATTTCCTTTAATCAGCTCAGATCTGTGCTGTCGAACCTTACATTCCAATCAATCTTGTATACTTAGCAGTACTCCTACTACTAGTACCTACCAGTAGATGACTCGGGATGGATATTTCTTTGACTAGTCTAAGTTCTACTATATACCTCGTCTTAAAGTCTTTAGTACCTGCTAATCTACTTTAATTCAGTCTCCAGGGGGGTTTCTCTTTCTCCACTACTAGTATTCAAGTTGTATAGAATGTACTGGTAAAAATGCTGAGCACAGCTAACTAAGGGCATGGCCTTCGGAAATTCCAAATTTCTGTTGTGAAAAAAGAAAACTTGTAAGATATAATTACTATTTAATCATCTAGGATAATCCTCATTAACTCAAGATATAAAGTATCAGCATTTCCCCAAACTCCAGATTATCTGATATCCGACCGGGGAGGCAAGGGTCAACTCCGACGAACTCGCCGAGATGCACAGAGTACTAATCCTCGGACCCACGAGATCTTGCAGGTATAGTACATAGTAGCCAATAATAGATCAAAATAGCAAATACATAGGAATTGCAAGAGCAACAGAAGCGTAGATCATCATCCGCCCTGTGGCCCTCTTTCATCTCGACTTGACTTCTCCGAATTGGAGATTGGAGGTCTGATCCCCACATTTTCCGTTTTCAAATCCGGCCGAGATGCCGAGTTTGCCATTGTGGATTATTAATGATGTACTACTCGTATTTTGCATTCTCGCCCAAATGTCCGAACGTACTACTTCGTGCAGCATGTGTATTCAATACTACGAGCGGGGTTGGTTCTAGTGCTCGTCAACTTGAATGGCTCCCTGTGTGCAGCCCTAAATTGAACCACTCCCGCCTGCAATACCTGATAGATCCCCAATTGTTCCCCATGACTCCCTAGTCCCGACCCATTTCCCGGTGGAGATGCTTTCTCCAATTCTGGGTTTTCTTCCAACGAGAGAGATAGTACATAAACCCCAGGGTCCTAGTCTCGCGCCCTTCGTGCTGCCTGATACGGTGTACATTTTCACCTTCAACTTGAAATAATCCTTGCATCCCGGTAGCCAACTTGACGCGCGTGGATGATAACCGACATTTCCTCGCCCCCACAGTCGGTTTGATCACCATGGAGAAACGCGACATGAGTCCTTCCATCGCCGACTCCCAGGAGATCGAATCGCTATATCTGGAACTAGACACGCCGCTCCCCACACCATGTATCTCTCTGCCACCAGGACCAGGCCAATCCGCGGCGCCTGAACCACCAAATCTGGAAAAATACACATCGCCGTTTTTGTGGCCGCGATGGCGCAAGTCCCTTATGACGTATATTTCTTGCGCTGTGACGGCTCTGGCTGGTTATTCGGCTGGCGAGGTTAGCCCGGCATCAGATGAACTGTGCAAAGAATGGGGCATCAGTTCTGTTGTCTACAACCTCAGTATCACCCTCTTTTGTGTTGGGTTCGCCCTGGCCCCTATGGTTCTCGCACCCTTTTCAGAAATCAATGGTCGACGCCCCATCTTCATTGCCAGTGGAGTCCTGTTCGTTGGTTAGTTGTTTCGATCTTTCCCCTTTTCCCAGGTACATGATCTTTCATGCTAATCGCTAGTCTCTTTCAGCTTGCTTACTGGCATGTGGAGGAACTCACATTTTTGCCGGCTTGCTTATTGCCCGTTTTTTCCAGGGCGTGGGTGGCTGTACGTATTGTTCTCTCCCCCTTCTGACTTTGAGGGTGAGATCGAGTGCTAAGAAATCTTCCAGCGACATTTTCCACTATGGTCGGCGGTGTCATCAGCGATATCTACCACGCTGAGGACCGAAACACACCGATGGCCCTCTTTTCAGGATCTGCGCTATTCGGAACTGGCCTTGCGCCCCTGCTAGCAGGCGCCGTGGTCACGCATACCTCCTGGCGTTGGATCTACTACTCACATGCCATGGTTTCGGCTGTCTTTGTCGTTATCATATTTTTCTTCTTCAAAGAGACCCGCGGCAGTGTTCTGTTGAGCCGGAAGGCAAAGGCCCTCAATGCCTACTACGAACAGTTGGAGAAGGCAGGCCACCACGGCGTCTTCATGTCTAGTGACGACTCATCTGAAAAGGTAGTGAAGCGGATTCGATGGAAAGTCAAGAGTGACGAGCAGCGTGATTCCTTGGCTACTATGATTCAGATCTCCGTCTACCGGCCGTTTCGTGAGTTCTTTCGTTTCCCGAAATCCTGCACCAAGATGCTGATGCTGATATATTACCAGACATGCTTGTCACAGAGCCTGTCGTTTTCTTTTTCTCTGTCTGGGTTTCTTTCAGTTGGGCCACATTGTATCTTCAATTCAGTTCCGTCCCTCTGGTCTTCCGCACGAACCATGGATTTAACGTTGAGCAGACTGGAGCTGTGTTCACCGGTAAGTAATAAGAACTTGAAATTTCAAGTTCCCTTCAAGTTTGCTAGACGAGATTTTGCACTAATACATATGCCCAGCTATGTGTGTCGGTGTTGTCCTCATCACGATCATAAGTATAACGCAAGAAAAAATCGCAGCGCGATTCGGAAAGCTCTCCTCGTCCGCCGAAGGCCGACTGTATTTCGTCTGCGTGGAATCCATATTGCTACCTATCGGCCTGTTCTGGTTCGGGTGGTCATCGTTTCCCTCCGTGCACTGGATCGTACCCTCGATGGCTGTGGGCTGTGCGACTATGGGTATCTTTTCAATTTATTTGGCTACTTTCAACTACCTGGCAGATGTCTACCACAGATACGCCAGCTCAGCAATTGCCGCGCAGTCTTGCTGTAAGTCCTCCTGACTGGCTTCTAGATAGTAAGCCTTTTGATATGCTAACCTGTTTCATGTGTCGCAGGCCGTAATCTTCTTGGTGGAGTTTTCCCACTGGTGACAACTGCAATGTTTACGAACCTGGGATTTCCCGAGGCCTCGAGTCTTCTCGGTGCTATTGTAGGTCTTCGCCTGCTGTGATAACCTACTTCTTTTGCTAATTTTCTCCTGCAGGGTGCTGTACTTACCCTCGTACCTTGGGTCCTAGCCTTTTATGGACCAAGAATTCGGGCAAATAGCAAAATGGCCAGCGTAAGTCGAACCCTGCGCTACACGAGGGTCTATGTAAAAAGATTGAAAACTAACTTCACGATAGGATCTTGCTCATTAAAATTTAGTCGACCCATGTCGATATTCTAACACGAATATGTGACTTGAACTATAGAACTCAATAGAATAATAAACTACCAGCCTTGCTGAGTCATTACAATGTTCCCTCGGAAGACTCGGAATATCTTCAAGTTCTTGACAACCAAGAGGAGTAATAGTATTTGTGATATTGTAAGATAGCTGTCATGTTATTTCTAGTATTGCTGTTCTATCGCCGGATCTGAAACCATAAATTATGCGTCTAGTCAAGAGATATGAATGAAAAGTTGTACCCCAAATTGGGTATCTCCAGGGATATTATGCATCTAACAACAGTCAGTGAGATCTCGAGGCACCTCGAGCCCCGGGAATCCAAGCCAGCCGTCCAACCGAGCTGGATCATCGAGGAAGATGACATGTCTACAGCTTGAACTGATCCCGCAGACACTCAGCAAAGCGCGAGATCGCCTCGTCGATCTTTTCGGATGAGGCGGCGGCGTATGTGGCGCGGAAAAACATCTTCTCTTCGACAACAGAACTATCGGCCTTGAACCAACTGCCTCGGGACAGCAGAACCTGGTGATCTACGGCAGACAAGAAGATCTCCTCTTCGATGGCATCGCGTGTCTTTCCAGAAGCGATTCCGGGGTGCTTGTGCCAATCAATTTCAATCCAGTGCTAGGAGAAGTGTCAGCTGTGTTCAAGGGGCAGGAGATATGTAAAGCGGTCAATACTTACGAACATTCCTGCGGCGGGAGGTGCCCAGTGGGCAATCTCCTGTGGCAGGTATTTCTCGCAAGATTGAAGAAGCGCATCGCGGCGATGGGTGTACTCCATGCGCAGATTGATCAGCCAATCCAGGTAACCAGAATGGCCCCAGTGTTCGTCGAGCAATTTGTAAAGCACCATCTGGGGAAACCCCACTGGGGTTTTGCGAGGAAGTCTCGAAGTTACGAACGAATCGCTCGACTACTTGCTCGGAAGCGACAATCCAGCCGACACGTGTACCGGGGGCCACGACCTTGGAGAATGACTCCAGACGAACAACGCGGCCATCAACGTCCATACTGAGGAACGACGGGACCAGAGACTTGATGAATTCATCGTGGCTGGCGGGTGGCGGCAGAGAAGGGGCATCCTTGCCAACATATGGCTGCATCTGCAGGAAGTAGTAAGGTTCATCCTCGACAATGATGATGTCGTGCTTCTGCGCAACCTTGTACACGGCTCGACGGCGCTCGGCTGATTGGGTGGCTCCAGTCGGGTTCTGACCAGTTGGGATTGTGTAGAGCACAAATGGCTTGCGGGCACCACGGGCTTGCTCGTCCCAGTTCGTGAGCAGATCATCCATGGCATCGGGGATCAGTCCTTGCTCGTCAATGGGAACGGCCAGCGCCTTGAGTCCCAGAGGAAAGGCGGTCTCAGCAGCACTGGCGAATGTGTATTCTTCCATGAGAATGAAGTCACCACGCTCGGTCAGTAGGCGCAGGCATGTATCCCAGGCATATGTGCTTCCAGCGGTTAGGGTGCATTGCCAATCGGCATAAGGTGGGCTGTGGATAATCTGTTCAAGTTAGTCCCGGGAAATCGATGCATCGTTATGTATCACATCATACCTCGGTATGTTCGGTGACGAATCGGAGGAGTTGGGCAGCACCCGTTGCTTGACCATAGTTCAATGCAATCTCCAGATCTACAGTTAATTGGTTAGCATCCCTTGTAGAAGATTACTCGAGCAGATGGAGACACACCGTAGAGACTAGAACCCTCTCTGATATCATGCTTTCCAGCACGCAACACAGATCCTGATTGACTAGTTGCCTCCGATGAGAACCCTGGTGGGGTAGGAACTTTGATATCGAGGTGCTCGAAAGGGAAGTATTCGGGGGAGGGTAGACCACCTCCGAGGGAAATCATGCCTAATGAGAAAGCAAATCAATACCATATTCAATAAGAGGAAGAACGATCTTCGTGTTGTGCATACCGGGGTTTTTCAGGAAACGTGCGGCGTTCTTCAATGTCGAGGCCTGGTAGATACAATATTAGGACAGGAGTTCTTTTCGATCGCAATATGACCCGGGAAAAAGCACAAACCTTGCGAGATTTGGCTTCGATGGAGAACCGGTCTGGCATTTAGGTCAGTATTTTCAACCTTCTATAGAGCGACCTGGGCGCAATTGATCACTCACGCTCAAAGCGCTTAGCCTTGGGCTTGGTGTAGCAAGCCTGTTGTGGTTAAAAAAAAAGAGTCGATCAGTCCAGATTCTTAGATTGTTTCTTGCTTTGTGATTCTGATTCTCATCACGCGCACTGTCTTTGTATTTGTTCAGGTTGGTCGTACCGGACTTTTGAACATGTCACTGCTGCAGGCCGCCGCGACTCCGGTGGGCATCTGAGCCATTTTCTCGCGCCATGCGGGAACTCCATTGACGGTCAAAGGGTTTGGCACTGGCAGCGATGAGGTGTCGGTGTCTCCCCTCATATCAATATCCAAAGGTGCGGGGGGGACTCATGGCGAAGGCGACGGGGGTCTGGAGTAAGTATCCGAGGTGTGAGGAGAAGGTGTAGAAGTTGAATAGTCAATGTTATCGAATGGAGCTAATTCGAAGGTGAAATCGGAGCAATCGCGGGGGGAGGTGTTTGCACCGTGGTGATATGAAGAAAGAGAAATACTCCAAGGAGGTGAAGAGTCAAAAACTCTCCACTCGGCAGGCCGCTCTCCCGCCCATCCCATGACTCATCCAAGAAAAGACACACGAACCACTCCAAAGCAACAAATATTCCAAAAAAGGTTACAATGTAGAAAGCTTGACAAAGAATCACGCCAAGTCATTGGGTGGTATATATTTCTGTTATCTAATTTGCTGTTGTAGGGTGTAAGGTGTAATATGTAGGGCGTGGGCGTAGGGCGCAAAGGAGGGGCTGATTCGGTAGATTTAACCCTGCATACTTGTGTATTACTGTAATTTACCCCAATTCTAGCAAATCACAGTCTTTAATTGGTGCACCCCAATACCGTACTGTTAACCATGAACGGAGGCAGTGGTACCCCGCATAGATAAGGCTATCGCCGGCATCGGCCCCGTCGATAAGCTTAAGCTTATCCCACGTGCCACATGGCCGATTTACCTTAAGTTACTAGTAGTTTGACTTACAGAGGCTGCTAAATGGACCATATGCCCTTCTGAATCCAGGTTAGTATGTAATCTCCATATAAGGTTGGATATACTTAGTCTACCTCTAGCGCTGTGAAAGTTTCTAGTCCCTTGTTGACCTCTCTTGTCTCCGCCTTCTTATGGCAGACTAGTACCTACCTAAGATCGAATAGAGTAGCTAATCTATTCTATCCTGGATAGGTACTAGTCTGCTAACTATTAGAAGACAGTAACTGATCGTAGACAACAGGAAGTCAGAAACTTTTGCGGTACTAGTACTACTGTAGAGACAGATAGAATATATCGAAATTTGCATAGAGATTACATACTAATCTGGATTCCGAAAGGCCCATGGTCCATTTAGCAAAAAGCGCGGTCCATTTAGCAGCCCTTGACTTACAGTACAGGTGTTCCCAAGCATGCTATTGACTGCTAGCTACAAGGCTCAGACTAGTCCTAGGTTGGTGCCATCTAGCCACAATGTCGATGTCATGTTTCAGGTTTCTAGATCTCCTGCCCTATATGTTTCCTTTCCCTCGCCGACCTTGGAATAGCTATATACTAAAATTCTTGCCTAAATGGCACCTGGGAAATTTCCGTTGGCGCCAGTGGCAACGCGCCACATTCACCTTCCGGGTATTAAGGGTACATACAGGTCCGATCCTGACACGCCGACCAAGCCAATGCCATAAGCCAAGACTGTGCTTTGCGACAACATGGTTACCCATTGAATTCCATCACACTCGACATTGCCTAGGCTACACAATCGTAAAAGTCCGTACATACTGCTAGAATCCCCATGGAGCACCTAGTAGACAGAATGGGATCTGAAGAATTCTGGAGGGGGATTGTGACTAGTAACGCATATGCGCCCTTGGCCCCATACGCCCCGAACGCGTAAAATGAACGCGGGCGCCTCTCCAAAAATGTGTGACAGTCTGACACGACGAGCATGCATATACCTATTTCCTTTAAGCTCCTCCTCGGAAGATTAGCCCGTCATTTAATTGAATTTTGTAGCAGGGATAAGTCGCGGCAAATAAGATGGATCGATCCTGCTCCTAAGCGCTCTTGGCGGCCGTTTCATGTCCGATCCCTGGACCCTGATTTATCGCCACACGCTGATTTCAATTTCCCCTTTGTCTCGGCACAAACCAAATACGCCATCATTTGTCCTTGCCTGCAAGCCTCGCCCTACTGCAAATGTTTTGTCAAATCAGATACGTCCATTGGACCTCAGCCATGAAACATTCAAGGGTTCAGGATCGGTCGGTGTGCGCAGGATTTTTGGTATTTCTCTCTAAGGTACCTCATGTACAGCCGTTTATATAAATGTCGAAGTCAGCTCTAGCTTCAAGAGTTATCTCACGATCTATTTTAGATCACAGTCATTCCTTTACCACTAGCATTACTATTGGTCCATCACTCCTTTATACGGCATTTCGATCTTACTCACGCCGAGGATCTAGAATATTGAGATTGAAGCTCTTTATACATAGTACAATACGCTCCTTGCGACACCAATTCCGCTCACCAACAGAATGCCATACTATACGGCGATCAAGTCGGCCGGCCGGCTCTTCGCTAGGCAGAATTTTGTGCTCTTTACGACCTGCTTCATCTGGCTTCCTATTCTTGTCAACTGCCATATTCATCAGAGAGCACCAGGAGGAGTTCATCGACATGCTTTGAAGCGAGGAGGGAGCAATTCCAACCAGTCTGATGATTTGAGTATATGGCAGCCTAGACCAGGTGTCAAATGGCAAATCCAGTTGGAGGAAGCCGTCGAGAACACTTCGATAAATGCCGACGTTTACGATATCGATCTATTTGACAACTCAGCAAAAACTATATCTGCGATTCACGAACATGGCACCCGGGTGATTTGCTACTTTTCGGCAGGGACATATGAAGAATGGCGTTCCGATGCAGACCAATTCTCTTCCTCCGACTTTGGGAGCAATCTTGATGATTGGCCTGGAGAACGATGGATTGATATCAATTCAAGCAACGTACGTCGGATCCTATCGGCTCGTCTTGACATGGCGCAGAAGAAAGGCTGTGATGGTGTTGATCCGGATAATATCGATGGATACAGCAATGAAAATGGGCTGGGCCTAACAACGGATGACTCGATTGATTTATTGAAGTACCTTGCGCTTGAGGCGCATTCACGCGGCATGTCGATCGGATTGAAGAACGGAGGTGACATAATTGGCGATGTCATCGACAAAATGCAATGGTCGGTCAACGAGCAGTGTGCCCAATACAATGAGTGCGACACATATGCTGCGTTCACAGATGTGAATAAGCCCGTTTTTCACATCGAGTACTCTGGCGAGGATGTGAGTTACAAAAGAAAACTGAAAGTTCGTGTCACGGAGGCGAAGAAGTCGGACGCTTGTCATGCGGAGGGTGCCGAAAAAATTCTCAACTGTCATCAAAAACATGGACCTCAGCGCGTGGGTGGAATATTGCTAGGACGTATGCTAGATTTGTCTGATACTGTATTTAGTTCATTTTCTTTTGAGGTTAAAACAATTCATGCACCAATCGAAAGCTTTCCACGTGGGTCTCTTCGGCCATTTTTGGGCAATCTTTAGTTTGAAGCTGAAGGTATTGTGTCGACTACCTCAGCTCCCTAGGAACCTAAGAGCCCTACAAGGCAGACCCTTTTTATCATGTACCGGTACTCATTTATTGGGGACCGCTGGTCTGCTTTTATTAAATATGTCTCTCCTGCTGCCTTCTTACATTTCATTAAGTGCACCGATTATATTTGGGTCAGCCAGTGGCTCACGCACCAAACTTGGAAGAGGTTCCCATGAAAAAATGGCTTTCAAAATTCTGGATTCGCGTTGTCAGGACCCAGAATATGTTTTCGGCTCCATGAATATTCTCTATACATGCGCCGAAGCCGGTGAATTGCTCACTGGAAACCTAACCGATACGGTTTACCAATGTCTTTGCGACTACTGCGAGAAATCTGATCCGGATTTGCTGGGATGCCCTTACCAAGCAATCATAACTTTATTTGGATTTGACGTCGACTTAGATCCATATCCATACTTCTCTGACAACAGCCGCTATTCCGATAGTATCAACAAACAGGAAAATACCGACATTGGAAGTCCTGGGGTGAGTGGCGGCTCAGTACTTTCATCTAAACGGGCCAGATAAGCGAGAACAATGGTCTTCTTACGATCGATTATAATGGCATCGAGAAGAACGGATTGCAGAGCGATAGAATGGCTGATCGTGCTGAGAATAGAACGAAGATAGTATCTAGTAGGCCCGATGTTGTGTCTGTTATCCAAAAGAAGATCCTATATTACCTTCCAGGGCTTGATGGAATTGTCCAGGGTATTAATTTATGATGGAATCAAGAAGAATTCATTAATAACGGTGATCACACTCGTTCAATACTACTTGTAGTACGCAAATCCGAGTCAACCTTGAGATGAGTAGATATGATGAAGTTACGAGTGCTAACAGTAGGAGTCAGCTTCTTGAATTACTTTCCAGCTTATCACATATTAAGGTGTCAAGACTCATCAAGCTTTCCTTGCTTTCTTCGGACATTATTTGGCAACTTGAAATAGAATATGAATTTTTCAAGGCTGTCAAGGCCTGGAGGGAATATATTATATTAGAATTCAAGTTCGTCATACCTGGGTATATGACATCATAGCTCGGGATACATATGTAGTTCGAGTCGTGTTGAAATCGCCGCGGGGCAAGACTATGGGACCTTACTAAATCAAATCAAGTCAAATATGCTGCTAGGGGAAAACGATCCAAAAGACACGAGAATAATCCTACATATCACTAGATGGACATTGGGTAGAAAAAGGGGGGCTTTTGACCGATGGGGACTTTCTCGGATCCGACGGTGGCCAAAAGACCCACTGCAACATAAGACATGCAAGTGGGCCTAGGCTGCGTGGCCGATTTCCCTCGTCAACTTGAACTGAGAAATTACACTTGCGGGGTACTGTATTCATACGCCTGCAGAAGACAAAGGGAAACAAAATCTCTTTCAACGAGTGAAACCCAGCAAACAGCTGCACCCGACATGAATCGCTTTATTCGGCCATCGCTTGACGCCATATTCAAGAAAAACAAAGAATGGGTTGCCACAAAAACGACCGCTGATCCTGCCTTTTTTGACAAGCTATCCGCGGGGCAGTCGCCGGACTATCTGTCAGTTGGTTAAGTCGCATCGCATCGCGAATGAACAGTATGCTGACTACAGATAGATACATTGGTTGTAGCGACAGCCGAGTGCCTGCCAATGAAATTATGGGCTTGGAGGCCGGGGAGGTGTTCGTTCACCGGAACATTGCAAATTTGGTCCCGAATGTCGACTTAAATGTGATGTCTGTCATTAATTATGCCGTTAGACACCTCCACGTCAAGCACATCATTGTTTGCGGCCACTACAATTGCGGAGGGGTTAAAGCAGCATTGACTTCGGCTGATTTGGGACTCCTGAACCCATGGCTTCGAAATATCCGCGACGTCTATCGACTTCATGAACAGGAGCTTGATGCGATTAAGGAGGATGACAAGAGGTACAACAGGCTGATTGAACTCAACGTCATTGAGTCATGCAGGAATATTATCAAAACTGCCGCTGTACAGCAAAGTTACGAGAAAAACCAGTATCCTATTGTCCATGGGCTGGTATTTGACCTTCGTGACGGTCTACTGAGAGACCTGGAGGTCGATTTCGAGTCGATGCTCCAAGACGTCAAGAAAATATACTGCCTCTCACCAGGTAGCAAAACGGAATAACCGAGCGTCAATTTGAGATTTGGTTGTGAAAGGGTGACGGTTTTCAAATTCACGGTATAGGAAACATTTATTTATACATCCTCCAAGACTTTAAAGGTGATCCCCATCTGCTAGTCTGAAGGCCCTCCCTGTATTGGTGTCATAAACGATTCCATGCAATTGGAGCCCTCTTGTTTTCGTTGCGTTGTGTACTTCAGGAAACTTTCGCAGAGAATGCAACTGGGCGAAAATATTCATTTCAACAAAAGCGCGGTCCCGGTGATAAGCTGAAAGGTGATTGACAGAGTTGTTGAAGGTTGAGTGTAAGGCATTTAGTTGACTGTCAAAATGTTAGTTAATTTCAATGCAGCGGTAGATTGGGCCAAATGCCTTAACCAAGGGCCACTCAAGCCCTGCCGTGCCTCCGATCGAACAATACCGCATCCGTAGTGGCCGCACACCACTATGTGCTTCACCTATGAGATAGTCAATTAGAATCGGGCAAACGCATAGGACAAACTCTTTTAATTACCTTCAGCGTTGAGACTGCGTGCTTGATAGTGACTTCGGAAGACATATCACCTTCAATTAACATGTTACCCAAGTTGCGATGTACAAGCATTTCGTCGGGTAGAAGATCAAGAATCTTCGTTTCTTCGAAGCAACTATCTGAGCATCCTATCCAGAGAACTTGCTGGACCGGCTTCTGAAGGCTAGGGATGAGGTTTGCACGAACAGGCATAGCCTCGAAATTTGTGTTGTCGTCAGTCAACATTTTGTTTCGCGGGGTTGACAAAGAGCAAAGTGTTGTTGCACGGCGGTTTTGTAAATAAATTCCGGGTTTTAAATGTCGATAGGCAAAGGGAAATCGGATCTTCAAGGGCATTTGAAATAGTTATATTTTCTCAAGGGATAGAAGGTGAGCCTATGAATGTAATGTCGGAAAAGGGCGGCACCCGGCCGAGTTAAATCGCGCGCGGGCAAGAACTGAATAGGATCTAGTAAATTTCCCGGGATTTTCTTCTTGTTCAGACCCCGAGTAACGAATTATGACACCCGGAGTTTTCGCCGATCTTGGGTACCTGGAAGTCCCGAGGAACAACTAGGAGGCGTTTCTCCGAGAGATTTCCGCACTCGGCCGGATTTGTATCAGATCCGACCGGTGGGAACTGCAAATACTAGTTAGTACTAGTAAGGTAGTTTCTGTCAATCCATTTTAAGCCCTAGCGTATATTGAATCATTAGAATATCAAGATTTTGCTGATACAATTACCTGATGACACAACATTGGAAGGAAAGGGTCTTGACACATACCAGTAGTATGATACACACCATATCCAAGGCTCTGCTTAAATTGCATTAAATAAAGTGATAATACAATTTCAAATTCAAGTTCTTAATAGTTAGTAACTCGGAAAGAGATGCTCTTTCAATACTACTAGGAATAAGCTGGAACTCCAGGTCGTTAGTACAGAGTAATGAAAACCTGCTTTTCAGGCGTGTCCCAAGTACAGATTATGAACAGCAAAGATGTAATGCATGTTCACGGGTGGGTGATGGTCGCGCCAGCGGCAGGATTCGAACCTACTACTAGAATGTCCTATTCTCATCGCTAATGCCTATTCTAACACCACCGCTGCTGTCGGGACGGAGATTTCTTCTATATTCATCGTGATGTATGTGCCCATAGGGATACTTCGCGGAGGTGCAGTTCAGGGGTATTGGCGTCAATGTCTGTGCGTGCAGGGCCATGGGAGACGTCTTAAAAAAACCCATATGGCCAGTTTGCAGGTCCAGTTGCACGTAGAGGGATCAATTTAGCTAGTCCTTTATGTAATTCAACAATCTCCTAGGCCTGTACTAGTAACTTCCAGAAGCGGCGATGACCTGATATTAGGATATACAGGACAAATTTGAAAGTTCTGTGATTTCGCTACTAGCAAGGCCAACTCGTCGTCAGGCTTCAGCCTAATGCATCGATTCGAATTTGAAGGTTATCAATTTTCGACACACAGCTATATTTGAATCTTTGTATTCAAGAATTTGAGTTGTATCTATTTTTTTTCTACTAATGAGAACTCCTCTTGCCAGCCTATTTTCCTTCCAGATGTCAATATGGGACAAGTTTAGTATATCTATCTTCTTTCTCTAGATTGGATCTTGCTTCAAAGGAAATTGCGGCGTTTTGGATGATTCTTTTGTTGCGTGCTGCGCAATCTTCTCTAAAATAGCATCAAACTGCTTATATCTTGGCAAATGGTCTGTTCCACCGAGCGAAGGCATTGTGCTCCAGATATTCAACTTATGGCCCGACATTATGCTCATGAATACTCGACCCATACTAGTAAAGCCGAATTCCCCTTCGAGCTTCTTTCCGAGAATCCTTCTAGCGAGGTCAAAATTTAAAATTCCGGCTTATTTTTTGCCGGGGAATTTATTAATTACAATTGGCAAAGTTACCACTCGAAATTTTAAATCCCAGAAATTGACGCTGCCGATGGAGTCCTTCATCATGGAATATCCGATTGAATAATCCACGATTTATGGACCCAAGCCTACGGTCCTGCTTTATGGAACGAAGTGTAATGCTGCTAATACTAGTCGAGTACTTGTAAGGTTAACGCTTGGAAAGAAGAGGGTTGACTTCTTCTTCCGACGTATGAAGGCAGCAGGTGAATTGTGTGTTTGATACTATACGAACTATTCTACTTAGGCATCTTTAATTCACCGGTCACTTGTGGCGTGTTACGCAGGTGAATGGCTCTTTGTATCGTGCTTGGTAATCATGTTGCACTGGGATAGGATTCGATTCTTGAATGACTGGGCCACAAAGATAAACCAGTCTGACTGGATAATACGGGGGCAATACCAGCTGTTTCTCTAGTCTGCTCTATGCATCGTTTTAACTAGAATGAGTCGTGGTAGAGACAATTTACAACCCTTTAAAGGTGAATCTGGCACCTGTTTTCAACTTTTTTTGCATAATCTCATTCCATTCAAGTTCTAATCAATCATAACGCAATAGCTCTCTGCATCCCAGTCATTCCTTGCTTCCGTTAGACCATTTGAAACCCAGCCATATCCTCCTCTGAACATGAGCATTTTCGTTCGTATTCTCAGTATTTTGCTATTGGCAACAATTGCCAATGCTGCACCTTTCACGGCAGAGCGCCAGGCTCAGCATGGATCTCGTCGCATTGCCCGTTTGAAAAGCCGCGCAAGTAATCCGCCTCACAAACCCGGAACCAACGAGATCCTTCGTCTTAATAAAACATCAAAAAATGAATATAGTTCCAACTGGGCCGGCGCCGTTCTTATCGGCACCGATTACACAGTTGTGACAGCAGAGTTTATCGTTCCAACCCCGCAGGTTCCTAGCGGGGGAGTTGGAAATAAACAATACTGTGCGTCTGCATGGGTTGGCATCGATGGAGACACCTGTGGTACCGCGATCCTGCAGACCGGGGTTGATTTCTGCGTCCAGGGCAGCTCGGCATCCTATTCCGCGTGGTACGAGTGGTATCCGGATTATGCATATGACTTCAATGATATCAGTATTTTGGCTGGTGATCTTATTAGAGTGACCGTGGATGCTACATCA